CTTAAGTATAGTTAGCCTACTTTTTAAACACGAAAATCGCATTCAGCATTGACGCAAGCGGTTGCCGTGGTAATGAACAACCTGCTTGTTAAAGCGAACGTGTTAATCCTGTATCTGAGGCAAAATTACTAAATATGCAGCGCGAGTTATATATTTCTAACTCCAAACAATTAGCCACTGAACCAGCTTATAAAATCTTCTTCAAGGCTGTGCTGGTTGCATTTGAGGTACAGGTCATGGGGTTTCTCAGATTTAGCTTGAGACCGGTATAAGCTTTCGCCTCGATAGTAGTCGTGTTTCCTTCATTGCGTATTTTTATGTTTTGAATATATCCCTCCACTGCATACTGTAACCCCTTTTGCCTCGATCTGGAGGATATCGCTGAGGTATTGCTCCAAAAAAGGTCACTGACACGCACGGGTAACGTTAACTTATACCTCTTCCCGTCATGGGAATCTGTCGCGCTGGTCGTGTTTGACCATTTGTTTGACGGGCGTAGCAACAATAACTAGGGGGCGTGGCTTTTGCGAACGGTCAATTGCTTTATGGCTTAGTGTGATTATCGAATCGTATAGGCTGTGATAAAGAAATAAATGTGCGCTGCGTGTTTCAGCTTGAAGCGGGACTGTGTTCATTTACACGTAGACAGTTCATGAGCGTCTCAGAGCGGCTCGATTCAGTAAACGCTTCTCATTATGAGCTTCACCTGTTATTATTACCTTAAAGAGCTGTTTCTACTGATTGAACCCATAAAGATTTGGGTAGCACTTTACTGTATAATAATGCATTAACTAATGTTAATTAACTTATAGACTGGTTTATATAGGTTTGCTCAGGGATGTTAAATAATATTCTTGACTTGAATAAAATCAGTTATTATAGATGTTACTTTTGTGTGTTCTTGTAATAAGCAGCTCTAATCAACTAGAGAAGCTTTAAGAATAATAAATCAATTTAAAAATAAAAGTTTGATGGTTTAACCTTTGAAAATGAAGAAATTAAGACAGCCATACATTTCAGTATTGTAACTTTACAGTTAAATTAGTATTGTATTATTTTTCTTAAATACTTGATGGTTTTATTTTACTGTGACATTTTTATTTAATAATATTAATAATAATTGTATAGTCATATTGATATATAATCACAAAGGTCTGGCCAAATTGTACATCCCTACAAACAAGCTGAGCAAACCTGGATTTTTCTTTTAAAAACACATTCACAGTTTGTATCAGAAAAATCGCAATTACAGATTTCTTCCACAGATTGTGCAGCCCTGGGTGGGCTGCCTAAGTGTTGCCGAGAAAGTTGCTAGGTTGGTCTCATGAATTGATCTTCTGGCCCAGATATGACTCAATGTGTATCTGTGGGATTTTGTCCCACCTGTTTTATGGTCCAGCAGGTGAAAGTCATGTATTTCATAGTAAAGTACCTCTCTCCCACACTCTGAAGTTCAAGACTTAAATGGATTGTTCACCCAAAAATGAAAATATTGTCATCATTTACTCACCCTTATGTTGTTTCAAACCTGCATGAATTTCTTTCTTCCGTTGAACACAAAAGAAGATGTTTTGAAGAATGTTGGTAACCAGACAATTGTTGGACCCCATTGACTTCCATACAGGTGAAACTCGAAAAATTACAATATGGTGCAAAAGTTCATTTATTTCAGTAATTCAACTTAAAAGGTGAAACTAATATATTAGACTCATTACATGCAAAGTGAGATATTTCAAACCTTTGTTTGTTAAAATTTTGATGATTATGGCTTACAGCTTATGAAAACCCCAAATTCAAAATTAGAATATTGTGAAAAGGTTTTCATATCTGTAACCTATAATCATCAAAATTATAACAAATAAAGGCTTGAAATATCTCACTTTGCATGTAATGAGTCTATTAGTTTCAAGAGTAAGTCAATGTGTGCCGTCATCTGTCATTCTTCAGAATATCTTCTTTTGTGTTCAACAGAAGAAAGAAACTCTTACAGGTTTGAAACAACTTGAGAGTGTGTAAATTATGACAGAATTTCCATTTTTGGGGCGAACTATCCCTTTAAGTCCGATTCTTTGATATACTCTGTGTTGAGTGTGAAAGTCTATTCAGTGTTTGCACATCGTTTCGATTGAATGCGACTGACTAAAATGTTTACGAGGATCATTTAGCAATGCATCTAAATGCTAGTTTGGAGCGAGAGATTGGTGGCGCCATTCAATCATTCGCTCCCTCAAGTGGCAAGAAGACAATTCAAAATGTAATATTACTCATTGAACCATCTTTGAAATTACCAAAGCCCTCCGTGAGCACTGATGGGTTTAGACTCTTTAATGGCTTGGCTTTCCTCTGGGGTGTGTTATTGTAGGTTTATTGTTTTGTGTGAGTCACAGACGAAATTGATATAACATTAGGTTTTTCTTGATGGAAAACCGTTGGGTGTCTTTTTCCATTTGTTCTCGGGGAAGTGCTCCTGTGCTCATGGGATTTGCTGCCTGTGCACAGTTCCTCATCCTCGTCCTCGTTCAAACATCCACACACGTTTGGCAGTGAGTGTCTTTTATGCTGGATTATACTTGTTGAAGCATTGGTTCTGCTGTGGCACGGATGGCACTCGCTCATCAGCGCTTGATTGGAGAGTCACTGCTTTGGCTTGTAATTACTGACAGCTGAGAGGACACACACACACACACACACACACACACACCTGTTGCACAGCTGCATGTGCGCGCGCAGACACACACTTGTTGGACGGCGCTTCGGATGAGAGATCTGCTCTGAACTAGAGACAGGCTCCCTACCTGAGCAACACTCAAGGCATCAGAGCTACAGACGCAAAGGCTTTTCTGGCATAACATCAGGTCCACATTGCAGCTCGCTCTTGCCAACAAACGCCCACTTCGACAGGAACAGAGCATCTGATCTGCGTGCAAAGCCACCAGCCAGAGACGGCTTTATTTGTACATTTCAGATTTATAGGAAATAATTCCTGTGTGAGCATATGCATTTCATCACGTTTATTTGCATAACTCTTTCCACTATAGCCTACATATTGTTCCAATGCAGTTTACAGAGAATGCTTGTTTTTCAGTGGTACAATTTAGGAAGTATTCTGTGCACTTTTGCTTTCGCCACGGAATAAAAAAATAAAAAAAGGTAATTGCTAGCCTGGTTAAAACCAGAGCATTCTCAGTTGTAAAGTTATGGTCTGGCAAAGCGTCATAGACAAATCATTTCCAGAGGGGCGTCACCAACGGGCGTCGCGGATAGACCTAAACCCAATCAGAGCGATGAAGGAGATGACGTATGCAGAGCGGCGGAGAAACATCTCCGAGTGTTGTTCTTTGCTCGGTTTTTAACAAAAAGGAAACGTTCAAATGGCTTAAAACAGACGCGATAGCTGATTGGAACGAGTGATGTTGGACGGCGGCATCCATCTTTGTAATGTAGGCTACAAAATCTGCTTCAAAATCCCAGCGCTGTCGTCATCGTGTAAAGCCGCCCCAACGCTTCTGATTGGTGCCTCGATTTCGGCGGATTGGAAATGGGCTTGAATGAGCTCTTTGACTAACTTTCAGAGCAAATCTAAATTTGCCGGAAGTTGTCTGGGTTTTCCCAGGCTAGGTAATTGCACCTTTTTAGCTCGCAATTCTGACGTTTTTCTCTCAAAGCAGATTTTTTTCCTCACAATATCTTAGAAAAAAATTATTGCGAGAGATACAAGTCAGATTTATTTATAAAGCGCTTTTTACAATACAGATTGTTTCAAATCAGCTTTACAGTGATAACAGGGAAATAATGCAACAAAGTTTGTTTCGGCTGTAAGATCTAGAAGAAAAATGCGATATATAATGTTTTTTGCGAGTGTATATCTCGCAATTTTTTACTTTCCCAGAATTGCGAGTAAAAAAAGTACGATTTTGTGAGATTTAAACGAATAATTGTGAGTAAAATAAAATTCAGAGTTTATACTGTACCTCTCAATTTTGAGTTTATAACTCGCAATTTTGACTTTTGAGAATTGTGAGATAAAAAGTCACAATTACTTTTAAAATATATATATATATATTGCATGGCAACAAATAAAACCCCAAGAATTGTGAGATATAAAAGCAGAATAGCAAGAAAAAAAAAGAAAAAAATCTAAATTGTGAGATTAAAAGACTTAATTACATTTTACATTTTTTTTATTCCCTGGCAGAAACAAGCTTTCATAGTATTCTGTTATCAGCCAGAGATAAGTGTGTAAATGTAATGTCCAAATGGCAGTAATATACAGCTATAATACATATGTGGAAAGTTAAAGTCATGTATTCAGTTAAGCAGACACAATGTTCAAACCAAGAACGATAACTATAACTATATTAGTGTCCACACCAACAGATGATATGGTTCTGTTTATTATAAGTGTATGTCATCCGCCACTTTAAATGCTCGAGTTCTTTAAAGCAGGATGGATTCTGATTGGCTGTCAATATTTTTATCATTCATCAGCTGGAAAAAATCATTCTGAAAGTGATTCCAACGATACTCTGTGCTTTTATCTTTATAGTTGTGGTATGAACTCTGTTTTAATATCTTGAACTATAGTATAGTTATCGTCCTTGGTGTGAACAGGCCTTAAGTGCTCATAATGATTACAATATAAACATAATATTACAATATAAGGATAATTTTTCTATGTAGAGCCAGAGTTGGGATCGAAGTCTGTGCAGTTTTCGGCATCGCCTGAATTCATCACAAAGTCTAGATCCAAACTGAATAAAGCTTTAACTTATAAATGTCATTTTTCGGTTCCGGTTTTTAAATGTTAACGTGTTTGTATCCTGAAGTAAAACCAGCGGATATGTTGAGTGTCTTTCCCTCATCAGCTGGTGTTCAGCAGTTTTTATCGTAGGATAAAGCGCTCGTGGGAAACGGTTGTGGGCGAGATCAGCCGTAAAGAGGCTTACTGGCTTATTTGAGATGCTTTATGGCAGCGAGGCTTCATTATTGTTTTCCCTCAGGAAGCAAAGCTCCGGGAGCTCCTGGATGTGGGGAATCTGGTGGGACGGATAGAGAACCGGATGCTAACGGTGGTGACGGGACCCGACATGGTCAATATCCAGTACCTGAACTTCATGGCCTTCCAAGAAGACGTCGCCAAGGTGTTTGCATCAGCATCAGAACATTTGATCCAAAAAGTAGTGCAAGGGCTTGACATTAACACACGCAACGCCAATGTTTCAGCAGTGCTAACAGTGTGTCATACTAGACACTTTGGCGGGTTAAACGTTATGTAAAATACATATACATTTTTCAATTGCAGTCTTTTAAAAAAGCATCGGAAATGATAAACTAAGTGCAATGTAGTGTTGTCAAAATATAAATTTTTCTATACTTTTCGATGCTGAAACACTTCTGTTCTGCAGAACACACACACAATGCCAGCTGCTCTCTCTCTCTCATCTCTCCGATAGCGAGTCACACACACACACAAACCCGCCTCTTCTCACTCACTCGCTTCATTTGCTCCGGATAAATATTGTTGCTGTTACAGGGCGTACATTTCAGTATTGCACATCATTTGACTCATTCCTGCAGATTTTGTGCTCAAAACACCCAAAGTGCGGCACATAAAGCTGCTTCTCAGTAGCCTACTAAATTAAGTTATTTTTCTCTGCTCATTGCACTTAAACAGTCAAATACACACAACAAACACCAGTCTTGGCGAGTATTCAGGTAAACACAGTTATGTTTTAAGTGAAAAAAAAAAAACCGTTGAGAAAGTAAATGCATGTGTAACAGTGTAATGGATCGGTGTGTCAGGTCTTAAAGTGACAGCAGCCTCTAATAAACCTGCTGCCAAATTATGAGATAATATAAAAAATATCTATATGGCAGTTTCCCCCATTGTATCATTATCAAATTTGTGGCCACAGTGACTGCTGAGCAAAAAAGTTAATGTCAAGCCCTGATAGCATGATATATATTTCTGTCAGTGAGATATTTGTGCAGCATTTATTTCAGTCAGGATACTTGACCTGAATAGATTTTAATGAAAAGCCGTGTTTTGTTTCTGCTTTGTCATTGATAAAGGAGTGGGCAGATGAGCTGTTCAGTCTGGCGTCTAACCTCCTGGCCCAGAACATGGGCAGAGAGTCCTGTCTGGAGAAAGCGTGAGTACCTGCAGATCTTTCGTCATCGTGGACCTTCACCTGAAGAACATCATGTCTCTTTTAAACCCATCCCCTCCCTTCATCCATCCATCCATCCCCTCCCATCATCCATCTATCCATCCCCTCCCTTCATCCATCCATCCATCCCCTCCCTTCATCCATCCCCTTCCTTCATCCATCCCTCCCTCCATCCATCCATCTCCTCCCTTCATCCATCCCCTTCCTTCATCCATCCCTCCCTCCATCCATCCATCCCCTCCCTTCATCCATCCCCTTCCTTCATCCATCCCTCCCTCCATCCATCCATCCCCTCCCTTCATCCATCCCCTTCCTTCATCCATCCCCTTCCTTCATCCATCCCTCCCTCCATCCATCCATCCCCTCCCTTCATCCATCCATCCATCCCCTCCCTTCATCCATCCCCTCCCTTCATCCATCCCCTTCCTTCATCCATCCCTCCCTCCATCCATCCATCCCCTCCCTTCATCCATCCCCTTCCTTCATCCATCCCTCCCTCCATCCATCCACTCCCTCCCTTAATCCATCCATCCATCCCCTCCCTTCATCCATACATCCATCCCCTCCCTTCATCCATCCCTTCATCCATCCATCCATCCATCCCTCCCTCTATCCATCCATCTCTCCATCCATCCATCCCCTCCCTTCATCCATCCATCCATCCATCCATCCCCTCCCTTCATCCATCCATCCATCTATCCCTCTATCTATCCATCCATCTCTCCATCCCCTCCCTTCATCCATCCATCTATCCCTCCCTCTATCTATCCATCCATCTCTCCATTCATCCATCCATCCATCCCTCCCTCCATCCATCTCTCCATCCCCTCCCTTCATCCATCCATCTATCCCTCCCTCTATCTATCCATCCATCTCTCCATTCATCCATCCATCCATTCATCCCCTCCCTTCATCCATCCCTCCATCCATCCAATGAAAATGTACAAGTGATGAATGGGATCTTTAAATTATCTGACATTCTGGTGAAAAAAGTTTACATTGCATGAGTTAAGTACCCTGTTCATCAGTAGTAAGTTATGGAGACACAAGTCCAAACAATGGCGTCGTTCCCACAGAATGACTGATGTAACTTTTCTATGAAACTGTTTTGTTTATCACCAGCTTCACGAGACTCAAGCTGCAGCCCAATCAAGAGGGTCGTGTCCCAGTGAAGAAGTAAGACACCACCCGTTTCACCTGATAAACCAGAGCATGAACAGATCGAATGATCCTAACGTTTCCCTCTCGTTCTGCAGCATATTCCGCATCTTCTCCGCTGACCGGAAGCGTGTGGAAACAGCACTGGAGAGCTGTAATCTTCCGTCCGGCCGGGTGAGCATATGTTGGGTTAATCGCTCCAGAAACCCACTGGCAGAGAGGAAGCCTGTGAGGGCTTTACCAAAAACCCTGCGCTTTCAGCTTGAAGCACGTCGCCTTTCTAAACGCCTGACAAATGACATCTTACCTTTTCATTCCCTGCAACAAGAGGAGTCTATTTGTTTGCCTTATCGTTTTACGGCAAATATAAAGGTTGAGCGGCGGACACAGGGAGATTTTCAAAATCCATAATGTTGAAAGGCCTCGGGAGACTCGCGAGGGGAAAAGTGTACAGCTAATGAGAAATCACCATGGGTTTACTCTCGCTGCCCTCCTCCTCTGACTCACTCGCATTCGCATCCTTTCATGGCTTTCTCTTTTTTGTTTGCTGCTTTATATTTTGACCAACAAAGCATTCATCAGCCTCGGGCGCTGGCGTGGCCTTCCAGACTCAGTGTTTCCAATGTTTCCTGCGGGAGATGAATGTCTAACAGCGCGTGGATGACATTGACTGATGTCCGTTATTGGGTTTGTCGTAACAACCAATTGATTCGGACTTGATGCTTCTCTTAGGATGGAATGAACTAATTAATATGGAGGCCAGCTTAAGTAGGCTATATTTGTTTTTATTAATATGAGAGCACGTTATTAAAAGCAGGTTTGGCTCCTCTATTTTTGGTGATTAAATGTTCCGACTCATGGTTAAAGACTGTCGGGACTAAATGGATGTTGTGTAATGAATATATGAATATGTATTTCATTGTTTGATTGTCTCTGCAGAATGACTCCATCCCGTTGGAGGATTTGACCCCTGACATTTACAAAGTGTTCATCAATCATCTCTGCCCGCGATCTGAGATCAACCAGATATTTGCTGATCTGTAAGTCTTTATGAAGCTGATTTCAGCTGAAGCTTTAGCCAATATGCCTTCAATAAAATACAAAAATATTTATTTGTTTATTCATTCATACATTTGTTTTTATTTGTCGTCTTTTCTGTTTTTATCTATTTAATCTATGTTTCTTATTTATTTATTTGTTTATTTATCTGTTTTTCTAATTAATTTTATTTATTTGTTTATGCGTTTATTTTTATGCATTGTTTTTATTTAGCCATTTTATCAATTTATCTGTCTTTCCATTTTTATCAGTTTATTTATTTATTATTATGTTTTATCTTTTCATTTATTTATTAAACTGTTTTTATTTATTTATACATTTATTTTATATACATTGTTTTTATTTACCGTTTTTTGTTTTTATCTATTAATTTGATTTACCTTTTTTCTATTTGTTTATTTATTTTTATTTATTTGTTTAGTTATTTTTATACACTGTTTTTATGTATTATTTTTCGGTTTTTAACAATTTATTTATTTGTTTGTTTGTTTATTTATTTTTGTTTTATCGATCTTTTTCTAATTTTATCTATATTTCTTACGTTTAAGTCTTTTTTGCATGTATTTTATCAGTTTTTTATATACATTTATTTTTTATACATTCTTTTTATTTATCATTTTTATCTTTATTTTTTATTTATTATGTATGTCTAATGATGCCTTCAAGTCATGTTGGAATGATTTGAGACGAGCGCATGAGCGCATGAGTGCATGTTACAATTAAAAAAAATCATAATGAAAGATAATTGGCATTGATCATAACTGAGACGTTAATAACAAAAACAACCTTCCTGAAAGTCATTGTGTAATTTACACACTGGGATGTTTCTGCTCATCTTATTGTTATGATTATCACTGTAAACCATACACTCTTTTTCTGTGTCTCACGCTCTCTCACACACATCTCTCACCGTCTCTGTCCAGTGGTGCGAAGAGCAGAAACTTCCTCACCATGGATGAGCTGACTGAATTCATAAACAACAAACAGCGAGACCCTCGTCTGAACGAGATCTTGTACCCGCCGCTGAAGCCGGAGCAAACCCAGATGCTCATGGAGAAGTTTGAGCCCAACCCAGGAATGATTCAAAAAGGTCTGTGTGAGACGAATGCCATCCTGCAATCGCCGTCACCTCGTTCCAAACTCTAACGGAGAACACTGATGAAGTTTTTACATTATGGCTGAACGATTTGGGGAAAAAAACACTTTATTTTAAGGTGATGTAGTTACACATTATTACATGTACTTACTATAGTAATAACAGTAAATGATGCATAATTACAAGCAACTAACCCTAACCGTAACTCTATAGTAAGTACATGTCGTCAATTAATATATTCTACAGTAGTACAATGTAACGAACCTTAAAATAAAGTGTCACCAAAAAAATTAATTGTTATCTATAAATCTAATCAAATTGTCTTTTCTGATATTTTCTATTTTGATTTAAAATGTGATTATATATAAAGAGCTCCACGTAAGTTTGCAAAGCTTGTATGTAGGGATGCACAATTTGGCCTGCTCCTAATCTTTTTTTTTATTAAATAAAATATTTGTAATTGTGCATTCTATTATTAAATAAAAAATAATAATAAGGAAAATATTACTATTGTTATAATTTATCATTTCAGTGTAAAATAAAAAACAAGAATTTAATAATTATTATTATTTTACAAAGCAACTGTAAAATTACAAAATTAAAAAAATTATTTATAAAAAATACATATATAAAGTGCTCCAAGTTTGCTGTAATTGTATGTTGGGTTGCACAATTTGGAAAATAAATATATAAATACATAAATCATATTGTGATTATATATCAATATGACTAAAACCAACAACAAAAATAATAATAATAATAATAATTATTACTATTAATAATAACAAAATAAGGAATAAATTAATATTGTTCTAATAATATTTCACTGTAAAACAAAAGTTTTTATAGTAATAACAATTTTATTTTAAAATTCACATTTCACCTAGCGCTTTTCATAATACATATTGTTGCAGCAGAAAAAAAAAAATACAACTGTAAAATTACAATACTAATATTTCTGTCTTCATATTTTCTCCTTTGTTGGCTACAGGTATCAACACATTCTCATTACAAATGTAGTAAATGTTCCATCATCCATCCAAAAAAACAAAAAAACAAAAAAAACACAGTGCCGCTCCACTCCAAACCCGATATATTTATTCAATTAAATCGCACTAAGGCGCATCTCTGTATTGATTTCATTTAGATGCATCGTTTATAGTGACTATAATAAGAAGTTCATATGACTCATTCACTATATCCCAAATCTCCTGAAGTCACATGATGCTTTGTGTGAGAAAAAGACCCAAATGTAGTCATTATTCACTGAAAATCTTCAGCTCTTAAATGAAATATGGCTCTGATGTTGAACTTTTCTGTCAGTAAATGTTTTAATCCAGCAGCTCAGACCATTGCTTGTCTTGTCAGGATCAGGTTTTCTCCGTATCCCATCATCCCCGGCGATCAGTGTAACCGCAGACGAGAATTAGCTGAGTTTGCAGCTGTTTATTTATCGATCGCCGATAGACAGCTGGAGTGTAATTGATTATCTCTGATAACTCTGTGGGTGGTTTTGGCCCTGCGTTCCCATGAGGTTTGATGAGGTCTTTTTAACAGAACGCCGTCAGTTCCTGTCATCATATACTAATATGAAATATAATCCCTCATTAGTTTTTCCACCCAACTTCTGATTGACAGCCGCATTAAAACTGTCTGTCGCTTCAAACAGCAAATACGTCGGGATTTAACCTGGAGCGCATGTCCCGAAAAGAGACACATTATAAATCCCATCAGTTTTAAATGCCTGGATGGATACACTCATATCAGAAACCGTTGGGAGGCTTAAAAAATGTAACTTTGCAGAAACACGTTTGAGAATTTTTGTCATTAAAATGTTTAAATCAGGCCTGAAACATTATAGCAACAACCAAATATAAAAATATTCTCAGTCATTCATCTCTTGTTTACGTCTTTTCCCTCCTCTGGAGATTTGCTTTTTGTCAGCGAATCAGCTCACAGGCTCATGAATATTAATTAAAAAATCTCTCATTTTTAATGATCTGTTTCAGTCGAGTTATTGCCTGTATAAGGCAACTGTAAATTCACTGATTTAATATGCTAATTATTTAATGAGTGTATTATCGGTTTTAGTATATTATGTATGTAATTAGTATATAAATATACTAATTAATATACTTAAACTAATGTACTAATTCATGCTAAACTCAAAAGAATAGCTAGTTATTAAAAATTTTGTATTTTTTGTATGCTTTTATGTTGTAAATCTCTCATATATAAGGATCTGTTTCAGTTGGGATGTTGCCTTAGAAGTAAATTCACTAATTTAATATGCTAATCAATATGTATATTATTTGCACATTTCATTATATTATTTATATTACAGTTTTTTACAGTCGCTAGGACACATTTCTCAATACTTAGGTCCCTTTTTCAAAACTCTTCACACAGTTCTCCTAACCAGCTATCAGCTCGGCACAGCAGTTCATTTCACTTTCAAAATGCACTGAAACTACAAAATCAATGTCTCAAATCAACACATTCTTCCATAACACTAGCAAAGGTTGACAGCCAACAACACACTTTGTCACCCACAAAACAATGACCTAAAACACACTAACAACAGGTAGCATTGTACAATGTTTTCTTCTGTAAAACAAGAACACCTCTCTACTGTTTAGATTCACTGGAGTGATGTTACTGAAATGAATCAGACATGATAGTCTTTTTTTTTTTTTTTTGCACTGAGTAATTCCAAAATACAAGAATTTGTATACACACCATCCACCGATACAGAAACAATAGGAATGCTAATCTACTCGGTCTTCTGCATTTGGCCACAGATTCTCATCCACATCAGATCTTATGTCATCTAGGGCAATACACCTAGGAAAGAATCTTCTGGCATGCCGGATCCATCCCTGGCAATCTTCTGCTGATATGTCCAGGCATCCAGCATTCATTGCGTCCAGGAGGGACATTTGATCATGTGGATGGTGGTCATAAACCTTCCACCTCCATGAGGAAAATAATTCCTCTATGGGGTTGAGGAATGGAGAGTAAGGTGGGAGGAAAAGTGACACCATTCTGGGATGGGCTGCAAACCACTCGGTGACTGCACAGGAGTGGTGAAATACAATTATAAATGTTGGCTGATTTCTTGTCTCTGCATCCCTTTCCTCACCTAGCACAACCCTTCCATATATATCATGCAGGAACGCAAGGATACGCTCAGTGTTGTATGACCCAATTAGTGGTTTGTGTAACAGCAGTCCATCAGTGGATATTGCTGCGCACATTGTGATGTGGGACATCCACTGTGGCTCTCTTCCCAATCACATTCCTTCCTCGTTGCCCGCCTCATCCACAAAGATGAAAATGTGGGCTGTTTGCCTGCCTTCAATCTCCATGACTCTCTAAAATAAATCCACAAGGTAACATATGAGTTAGGCTATTACAGTAGTATACATTACCTAAAAAATTGTCTTTGTGTGTGTTTGGTTTTGTTCAAAAACAGTTCTGTATTTTATTGTGGTCTTACCTGGACATATTGGTTCCGGAGTTGCTTGACATGTCTCAAAAGGCACAGTGTACAGTTGCTTCATTCTGACCTGATGTATTTTCAGGGCTCTAAAAATAGTTGCTTACACTGTGAATATTTGCAATAGTAACGCTGTCTGCCAAGACTCTGTCTCGAATCTCAGTGAGTTTTATGCTATTGTTTCTGATGACCAATCAATCAGCCAAATCTGCAATGCTCAACAGTCAACGCTCAACAGTTTCCTGCACATCAGTGAACATCCTACCTCTCCCACCTGTGTGAGGTAACCGTTGAGTCCTAAGCAGAAATGCAAAAGCAATTACACACAAGTGGGTTTGCTCTATTTACTTCTGTAATATGCAGCTCAGTCAGATGCCCTTGCAGAAAACAAGTTACCTGTTGGTTTGCCGGAAAACTCTAACAATAGATGCCACTGTTGAGCGTTGCAGATTTGGCTGGCCGTGGAGCGTGGGCGGGCCTGGCAGTGCAGGAAGCCTGGGCGGAGCCAGCCGGCCTCCATGGCCTTAATCAGGTACCTACTCTCGGGAAGAGACTCTGCCGTGGCGGCCCTCTCGGGACGAGACTCTGCCGTGGCGGCCCTCTCGGGACGAGACTCTGCCGTGGCGGCCCTCTCGGGACGAGACTCTGGCGTGGCGGCCCTCTCGGGACGAGACTCTGGCGTGGCGGCCCTCTCGGGACGAGACTCTGGCGTGGCGGCCCTCTCGGGACGAGAATCTGACGTGGCGGCCCTCTCGGGACGAGACTCTGGCGTGGCGGCCCTCTCGGGACGAGACTCTGACGTGGCGGCCCTTTCGGGACGAGACTCTGCCGTGGCGGCCCTCTCGGGACGAGACTCTGCCGTGGCGGCCCTCTCGGGACGAGACTCTGGCGTGGCGGCCCTCTCGGGACGAGACTCTGGCGTGGCGGCCCTCTCGGGACGAGACTCTGGCGTGGCGGCCCTCTCGGGACGAGACTCTGCCGTGGCGGCCCTCTCGGGACGAGACTCTGCCGTGGCGGCCCTCTTCGGGACGAGACTCTGGCGTGGCGGCCCTCTCGGGACGAGACTCTGCCGTGGCGGCCCTCTCGGGACGAGACTCTGGCGTGGCGGCCCTCTCGGGACGAGACTCTGGCGTGGCGGCCCTCTCGGGACGAGACTCTGCCGTGGCGGCCCTTTCAGGACGAGAATCTGACGTGGCGGCCCTCTCGGGACGAGACTCTGCCGTGGCGGCCCTCTCGGGACGAGACTCTGCCGTGGCGGCCCTCTCGGGACGAGACTCTGGCGTGGCGGCCCTCTCGGGACGAGACTCTGGCGTGGCGGCCCTCTCGGGACGAGACTCTGCCGTGGCGGCCCTCTCGGGACGAGACTCTGGCGTGGCGGCCCTCTCGGGACGAGACTCTGCCGTGGCGGCCCTTTCGGGACGAGAATCTGACGTGGCGGCCCTCTCGGGACGAGACTCTGCCGTGGCGGCCCTCTCGGGACGAGACTCTGGCGTGGCGGCCCTCTCGGGACGAGACTCTGGCGTGGCGGCCCTCTCGGGACGAGACTCTGGCGTGGCGGCCCTCTCGGGACGAGACTCTGCCGTGGCAGCCCTCTCGGGACGAGACTCTGCCGTGGCGGCCCTCTCGGGACGAGACTCTGGCGTGGCGGCCCTCTCGGGACGAGACTCTGACGTGGCGGCCCTCTCGGGACGAGACTCTGGCGTGGCGGCCCTCTCGGGACAAAACTCTGACGTGGCGGCCCTCTCGGGACGAGACTCTGGCGTGGCGGCCCTCTCGGGACAGAGGATTTTAATGGCCAGAGTCTCGTCCCGAGAGGGCCGCCACGCCAGAGTCTCATCCCGAGATGGCCGCCACGCCAGAGTCTCGTCTCTGGCGTGACCTTTCGGGACGAGACTCTGGCGTGGCGGCCATCTCGGGATGAGACTCTGGCGTGGCGGCCCTCTCGGGACGAGACTCTGGCGTGGCGGCCCTCTCGGGATGAGACTCTGGCGTGGCGGCCCTCTCGGGACGAGACTCTGCCGTGGCGGCCCTCTTCTGCCGTGGCGGCCCTCTCGGGATGAGACTCTGGTGTGGCGGCCATCTCGGGATGAGACTCTGGCGTGGCGGCCATCATGGGCGAGGGCTCACGGGCTGGAGCCGATGTGTGTGCTGCCCACACACAAAATAGCTGTCGACTATCATAAGTGCTGAATCATCCGGAGCTGACTCAGGCGCAGCGGCCATCTTGTCCGAAGACACAGGCACGGCTGGCATGATGTGAACAGTCTCAGGCTTGGCAGGCAGGACGTGAGCTGGCTCTGGCTGAGAGGATACTGTGGGCTTGTGGGCTCCTCATCCGCAAATCCCACAGTAAATGATGAGCCGCTCAACAAAAGGGCAAAGTCAATATATTCAGCCAAAGTTATTCAGTGGGACATTGCTCTCAGGCATTAAGTAATTCCAATGGTAATTAAGTCCATTGCGAACGATGCCCTTGAGGACAGCATCATTAAAATCCAGTTTTAATGGAATAAAACTGGAAAACATAGTCCTGAATGGACTGGTCACCTTGACGCAGATTTAGGAGGTCAACTGCTGGGTTCATGGTAGGTCAAGTTTTCTGTAATGAAGTCCACTGGAGGCAAGACAGGGGACACCTTTGAACAATGAACCAATGACAACATGACACATCAGACAAGGGAACACATGGCAGGATCACATGACTTGAACAGAGGAACACATGACAGACATGAAACAGGAACATGAAACATATCCAAATCGTGACAATATTATATATATAATATACATTATATTACATAAACACAAACTTTTATTTTAGATGTGATTAATCGCGATTAATTGATTTGACAGCCCCAATAAGTATATTAATACACTAATTAATTTACTGATAAAAATAATTAATACTGAAAAGTATAATTAATACAATTACCAAACTTTTTTGTGCAGTATGTATTTATGTAATTCATAAGGATCTGTATGTCAGTCTGGATGTTGCCTAAGAAGGCCGTTGCCAATGTAGGTGTTTTTTGAGCAGAGCCTTTGAGTTTTCTTATATTTATTCTATGGAAAGAAAACAAAACCTCCATACCGTTCTCTACTTTTCATTACCATAGCAACAATAACTCCCGAGATGCAGTCGCGCCGGTTTATTTATATCTGTGCGAGCACAAGGCTCCACGGGCGAACTGGAGATCAGGGCAGTGTATGACAGGAGATTGATCAGCCAGGGACGGCGATAGATGAGGATGATCATGAGGCTCTTTAGCTCGCGGTTCTGGCACGACACACCGCTGTCATACAGATTACGACTCTATGTTCTCTGTGTAATCTCAAAGACAGGCGGTGGACAGTCGAACGCCCACGCCAGACACACGAGACGCTGATATTTGCATAGTATTGATTGTAGATTTGGAAGAACAACTGGGTTGTAAAGGCGGGAATGGTCTGCGGTGGCAGGATTACATTGTGTCCGAGAGACATTCGTTGTTCGATTGCCAGTAAACGCTGGAGACATTGTTCTTATTTTTATATTTGAAAAAAAGTTTCTTTTCAAGGTTTGCTGGTATTAGTTGTTTTATCTGGGACCAGTGGCATAAACTATTATCTATACATATGAAATAATGATCAGATAAATATAGTGTTTTTAAATGGAGCAGTTTAAAAGACAAAAAGAAAATCTTTAAAAAAGTTTGCATATGTGTTTTTTGTTGAGTATCATATTTGATACATCATGCTTTTATGGCTCATATAGTATAATATAGTGAGAATATGGAGGGGAAAACAGCTCAAATTTAGACTCAAACAGAGCAAAAATATGAATGCTGATCTTTATATTACCAAAAGTGAGATGAAATTCTGATGCTTGTAATGTAAATCGATGAGATCTTTATTACAGTGTAACATATACTAACATAAAATGTATATAAATATCAGTAATCACTCTATATCTTCCAATAATGTCTAAGTAAGATGATATTTAAATGCTTAGTTTTATAATCAAAGCTCTGTAGTTTATAATGCAATGCAATACAATGATGATTGAGAGATGAACAAATAAACCTTCCTCACATTTGAACATGATTTTACTATAAAATGATGTATGAATAATCATGCAAACCGAAATTTCTTCAGTCCAGTAAGTGTTGATCTTAAAATATTACTAATGATATAAAAGTTAATCTTATATTTACTTAATAAAAATCAGATTTTTTTTTTTCACAATAAAAAGACTTGGTAGCATGCACTAGCTGAAGGGATTTGTACAATTACACTAAAAGATTTTTACTTTGCTAAAAAAGCATAATCTCGAGTCAGTCAACCAGACAGTTGCATAAAATCTTCTTTTGGCCAAATTGGAGAATGAAAAGTTTGACTGATTTTCCACTAGCTGACTGATTTTTGCTCAACTCTTAACATAATAGCTAGTCTAGCCTGAGCAATCCAGTGTAAAAACCCTCTAAAATCGTGCAACTATCCTGTCTGAACATCTCGGTGACCAGAAAAGCACCTTAGGATGCAGGACTGTGACAACAGATGCAATCTACATTCTTATCTCGTTCCTGTTCTTTCATTCTCCGTTTAACTCGACAAGACAATTGCAGAATTTCAGCAGTGTGCGGTAATTGTAGTCTTTAAAAACCGTTCGACTCCCCTTTGGAGACAGCGAGGTGGTTTGTGTTATTTCGGTGTGCAAATCAAAGGCTGTTTGCTCCGGAGTGACAGAGACGTGGCGATCCCGATCCCGAGCAGTGTCTTCCAGCCGGAACAAGGGCCACGGTTAATTACCTTTGGAGCTCTGCAAAGAATGAGCTTAATGAATGTAAACCGCTGATGAGAATTAGTCTCGGAGGACGCTCGTCCCCCGGTGTCTTCTCTTCAAGCGCGAGTGCCGTTCAGGGAACACTGATCTTCCAGCTCCAGTTTAATTTGAAGTCTGTTTGCAGTTGCAGTGCTAATTTACTCGACGAGACAAGTTGTTAGTTTAGGTGAGAACGAGAGAGATAATTTTCTGAGGTGAAAGAACCTCTGTTGCTCGCAGATGAAGGTGAATTGAACACAATGCCGTCTTTATTTTGTCACTTTGGTGCCGTAGTGATCCTGCCGTAAAACTACTCTAGCCTACCGTTCAGAAGCTCTTTTCTTTATTTAATTGTTTAAAAGTGACAGAAAGAAATTGTGTCCATAAGAATTCCGTCATATAAATGTTATTTTTAATGTTTTATCCATCAAAGAATGGATAATGTTTTCAAAATTGATAATAATCTTAGATGTTTCTTGAACATCATATTAGAGTGATTTCTGAAGGATCATGTGATGCTAAAGACGGGAGTAATGATGCTGAAAATTCATCTTTGATTACAAGAATAAATTACAGAAAACACGTATTTTAAATTGCATATCACAAATAGGTTACACTTTATTTTAAGGTGTCATTGTCACAGTGTAATTATATATTTAAGTACTGAGTAATATTAATAGAGAACATGTACTTACTATAGAGTTAGGGTTTGGTTTAAGGGTTAGTTGCATGTAATTATGCATAATTTACTGTTATTGCTATGGTGAGTACATGTAACATGTGTAAGGACACTGTCAAATATAGTGTTATCCACAAATATGATTTAAATTGCATGCAAGCAATGCTCCTCTTGTTGTGATGTGTTGTGATATTTGTGTAACAGGGCAGATCTCAGTGGAGGGCTTCTCCAGATATCTGATCAGTCAAGAGAACAGTGTCATTCCTGCCGAAAAACTGGACCAGAGTGAAGACATGACCTTCCCACTCTCTCAGTACTTCATCAACTCCTCCCACAACACTTACCTCACAGGTACCGCAATACTCATATCAAACATATCACATGCATGCGCAATATGCAAATAGATCCAAAAAATGATACCGAACTCAATTCATTAAAGGGTTAGTTCACCCAAAAATGAAAATGATGTCATTAATGACTCTCCCTCATGTCGTCCCAAGCCCGTCAGACCTCCGTTCATCTTCAGAACACAGTTTAAGATATTTTAGATTTAGTCCGAGAGCTTTCTGTCCCTCCATTGTAAATGTGTGTACGGTATACTGTCCTTGTCCAGAAAGGAAATAAAACACACGTCAGCGGCGGCACTGAACACGGATCCACAACAGAACCCGTATACACACACACACACACACCAGACACACGTCAGCAGCGTCTTACGTCAGCAGCGGCACTGAACGCGGATCCACAACAGAACCAGAATACACACACACACACACACCAGACACACGTCAGCAGCGTCTTACGTCAGCAGCGGCACTGAACGCGGATCCACAACAGAACCAGAATACACACACACACACACACACACACACCAGACACACGTCAGCAGCGTCTTACGTCAGCGGCGGCACTGAACGCGGATCCACAACAGAACCAGAATACACACACACACACACACACACACACACACACACGTCAGCAGCGTCTTACCTCAGCGGCGTCACTGAACGCAGATCCACAACAGAACCAGAATACACACACACACACACACACACACACACACCAGACACACGTCAGCAGCGTCTTACGTCAGCGGCGGCACTGAACGCGGATCCACAACAGAACCGGAATACACACACACACACACACACACACACACACCAGACACACGTCAGCAGCGTCTTACGTCAGCGGCGGCACTGAACGCGGATCCACAACAGAACCAGAATACACACACACACACACACACACACACACACAAGACACACGTCAGCAGCGTCTTACCTCAGCGGCGGCACTGAACGCGGATCCACAACAGAACCAGAATACACACACACACACACACACACACCAGACACACGTCAGCAGCGTCTTACCTCAGCGGCGGCACTGAACGCGGATCCACAACAGAACCGGAAGACAATACAATGCTGAATAAAGTCCTAGTTTTTGTTATTTTTGGACCAAAATGTATTTTCGATGCTTCAACACACTCTAACTAACCCACTGATGTCACATGGACTACTTTGATGATGTCTTTATCTCCTTTCTGGACAAGGACAGTATACCGTACACACATTTACAATGGAGGGACAGAAAGCTCTCGGACTAAATCTAAAATATCTTAAACTGTGTTCCGAAGATGAACGGAGGTCTTACGGGCGACGACATGAGGGAGAGTCATTAATGACATCATTTTCATTTTTGGGTGAACTAACTCTTTAATGCATAAAGTTGCAAAATTTCATAATAGACTGCACACTTAAGACTGACTGATCGAAACATTCTATGAATAATATAAATTGCACAGAAGCAGAGCTGCCTTGAAAACTCCATAATAATATTTCCTCATTTGGCACTGTTTTAGATGAATTAGTACATTTACATTTAAGCCTACTTACGGTAAAGTGCATTACATCACGTAAGAGCCAATTATCAGGAGGGAGTTGAGAATACAGCGCATGCTCAGCTAGACCTCAAAAACCAAGCAGAAATGAATTATAAATGCAATTACAGTGAATGTCCTGCTAATGTATCAATCTAAACCTCAGCCGGAGCAGGAGTGCAGATCTCCGGAAGAACACACTCAACTACAGGACAACCGCTGGTCTTAAAGGAACAGCTCTTTATGTTGTTCCAAGCTGATATAGCTGATATACTGTTTTTTTATTCCATCAAAAGCATGAGGAGTCAAGTTCAAAAAAGACCAAAAAAAGCCCATGAAAATATCATAACGCAGTTCATACGAGAGTGAGAGTGTGTGTGTGTGTGTGTGTGTGTGTGAGAGAGAGAGATGGGCAGGTTTAGTGGTAGGGTTAGTGTTAGTGTTAGTGAGTGAGTGAGTGAGTGAGTGAGTGAGTGAGTGAGTGAGTGAGTGAGTGAGTGAGTGAGTGAGTGAGTGAGTGAGTGAGTGAGTGAGTGAGTGAGTGAGTGAGTGAGTGAGTGAGTGAGTGAGTGAGTGAGTGAGTGAGGGAGGTGGGGTTAGTGTGTGTGTGTGTGTGTGACATGTAGGTTTAGGGGTCGGGTTGGTGTGTGTGTATGTGACATGCAGGTTTAGGGGTCGGGTTGGTGTGTGTGTGTGTGTGTGTGAGAGAGAGAGATGGGTAGGTTTAGTGGTAGGGTTAGTGTTAGGTGAGAGGATATACAGTTTGACAGTTTGTACAGAATAAAAACCATTATGTCTATGGAAAGTCTACGTAAAGATATAAAAACAAGTGTGTGTGTGTATGTGATGGGTAGGTTTAGTGTGTGTGTGTGTGTGTGTGTGTGTGTGTGCGTGTGTGCGTGAGTGTGTGTGTGTGTGTGTGTGACATGTAGGTTTAGGGGTCAGGTTGGTGTGTGTGTGTGTGTGTGTGTGTGAGAGAGAGATGGGCAGGTTTAGGGGATGGGTTGGTGTGTGTGTGTGTGTGTGTGTGTGAGAGAGAGAGAGATGGGCAGGTTTAGGGGATGGGTTGGTGTGTGTGTGTGTGTGTGTGTGTGTGTGTGTGTGTGTGTGTGTGAGAGAGAGAGATGGGCAGGTTTAGGGGTAGGGTTAGTGTTAGGGGAGAGAATATACAGTTTGTTCAGTATAAAACCATTATGTCTATGGAAAGTCTACGTAAAGATATAAAAACAAGTGTGTGTGTGTGTGTGGTCAGCGGGTCAGCTCGCTGGGAACTCCTCAGTGGAGATGTATCGTCAGACTCTTCTGTCTGGTTGTCGGTGTGTGGAGCTCGACTGCTGGAAGGGCCGAACAGCGGAGGAGGAGCCCGTCATCACACACGGATTCACCATGACCTCAGAAATCTGCTTCAAGGTGACCGCAGCCCAACACGCGCACACACACACACACACACACACGAGAGCCTGGGGTCAGTCTTGAGTTTTCACACTGCTTTTCATCAGGGCCTGCAGTTAAGTGGTGCTTACCTTGGTTTCTGTAAAAAATAACCAATAATTCAAAAGGTGTACTGAGTAATTTTTTCACTGACTGATACGCAATCAAATGCAAAGTCTGTCTGCAGAAGTTAGTGCTTGTTTAATTTTATTAAAGCTAATTGATTTAAATAATTAATAATACATTATTTATTTAGTTTTTATTTAAATGTATTACTCTATATTTTATATATATATATTTTTTCTTCTATATTTTATATGAATTAATTTTATATAGTAATTGATTAATTGAATAATTTTAATATGTATTATTTATTTATTTAAGCTTTATTATTTACTTAATTTTAGTTTTCTTTTTAATCGTTTATATTTTATTCTACATTTCATTTTATATATACACTACCGTTCAAAAGTTTGGGGTCAGTGAGAATTTTTTTTTTTTTTTTTGGAGGAAAGAAATCAATACTTAATTTGATCGAAAGTGACAGTAAAGACATTTATAATGTTACAAAAGATTCTATTTCAAACAAATGCTGTTCTTTTGAACTTCCTATTCATCAAAGAAACTGACAGACCAACAACTGTTTCAACATTGATAATAATAATAAATGTTTCTTGAGCATCAAATCCTCATATTATACTGATTTGTGAAGGATCATTTGACACTGAAGACACTGACACTGGTGATGCTGAAAATTCAGCTTTGATCACAGGAATAAATTACACTTTACTATATATTCACACAGAAAACAGCTGATTTACACTGGAATAATATTTAATACTATAACTGATTTTTGTTGTATTTTTAATCAAATAAGCGCAGCCATGGTTAGCAGAAGAGAATCTTTTAAAAGTATTTAAAATCGTACCGACCCCAAACTTTTGAACGGTAGTGTAAATCATTTTATTATTTTATTTTCTATAGCTAAGAGTGAAGTACATTTTATTAATTGCCTAATTTAAATTATTTTGTTCAGCAGAATTCCACAAAATGTATAATAACAAGTGATATAGAAAGTACAATAATAAAAAGTCAGTTTGCATAGCATTCACTGTTATAACTGCAATAAAATATTAGAAATAATCACTATAAATAAAGCTATTGCACTACATCTAAATATTTACACATTTAAATCCAGTTCAATCTGTTGTTGTTTTGCAGGAAGTGATCGAAGCCATAGCGGAGTGCGCTTTTAAAACGTCTCCTTTCCCTGTCATCCTGTCCTTTGAGAATCATGTGGACTCGTAAGTGAAGACACACACACACACACACACACACACGTTCCTCTGATACTCTCGTCCCGTAGCGCCTGAAACTATGGCAACACGGAGGACAGCGATTATAACCGTCTCTGAAACGCATAATTTGTTTTCTGTCATCATTGTTCTCTTGTGAGATGTGGCGGCTTTATTTTCTGCATGAAATCAAAGATGACATGATGTGTTTCTCGGTCTGGGAATTTCATATCAGTCGCAGGAGGACTCGTAGTTTCCCAGGAATGAGGAATGAGAAACCAATTTAGTTCGGTGTTGTGATAGTTGTTTTATGACAGCTCTAATTTTGTTGATATTGAATCGCAGCCCCAAACAGCAAGCCAAAATGGCAGAATATTGCAGATCGATATTCGGGGACGCTCTTTTGACCGAGCCGCTTGAGAAATATCCTGTAAGTTTGTCACTCCCACATCCACTGGTGCTCTTTCTGCAGTCGAGGCGATGTTCTCATGAGAAGTTCTGTTTCAGCTGGAATCAGGAGTTCCTCTGCCAAGCCCTCACGAGCTCATGGGAAAGATCCTCATCAAGAACAAGAAATCTCACCTGAAACCGTCCGACGGGAGCACGAAGAAGAAGCTGTCCGAGCAAGTGTCCAACACCAACAGCGACTCGTCCAGCGTCTTTGAGCCGTCGTCACCCAGTGCTGGACCTGCAGGTATTGCTCATGTTACACACCGTTTCACCTTCAAATCTGCATGTCCATAAAACTCAATGGGCCCTATTTAAGGATCTAAGCTGATCCTTTTGGTTTTGGTTCAATATGTCAGGTTTTGGTTCAAAATATGTGCCAAACATATATTTTTATTCAAAGATCAACAGTCTGTCATTAGTCTTTAGTCTGCCACAAAAAAAAAAAAAAAAAAAAAAACATTAAAATCATGAACTCAAATGTCATTGTGGAAAAAAAAATGTGTTACTGTTGTAACAGTGCACAGGCTAAATCAGACCTTTCAGGCTATAGCCTAACGCTAATAAGCCTTATGCCAAAATTATTATTACAACTAAATTGTGGTCATTAAATAGGAAAACTAAATAATTGTGTAGATGATTTGCTTCAAGTGTAACCCGACATCAGACATTAAGGCCCGGCCGAAGTATTTTTTTGCACACAGTGACGCGACCAATCAATCACTCCTTCAATGCTGCGTTCACACCAGACGCGAATAGCGTGTCAAATTCGCGCCTACCGCGTATAGTTATACGAATCCATTCGCGCGTCAAGAGCGTTTAGACTGGCTGCCTGCACATTCACTGTCCTCGCGGCTGCTGCAATTGGAAGGGGCTGCTGCAGGACGACTCAACTTCCACGGACAGTTTTTAATGTTTTATCAAGATTTTGCTTTAGTAGCCTATAATTTTCGGGACAATTAATGCCGGTTTCGGGATTCGGGACAACAGCTTAGATTTCGGGACTGTCCCGAATTTTTCGGAACTTCTGGTCACCCTAGTCTAACTAGACGCGATAGACGCGTATTTGACGCTCTATTCGCGTTCGGTGTGAACACACCATAAAGCTCACGGCGCACGTGTGCACTTGGGTCGTGTCCGAATCCACTTTTGCTAGTTTAACGACGGGAAAAATGGTCGGCGCTCCCGGCGCTGGTCTAAAAGGGTTGTCCCTATTCTCTTAATGAGTCATGGGTGTGTTTTGGGGCGTAACGTGAAATAAACCAATCAGGATCTCATCTCTCATTTAATTTCCTTTATAGAGCTGGTAAGTCCCGCCCCTTCCGCTTACCCCGCTGGACCTCTAGGTTGAAAAATCGTCAATGCAAGTGAATGAGAGAAAATAATTATTTTCTAATCCCGTTTGAATTTTGCAATGAATGTGAACATATGTTGTCTATGAATTTTTTATATAATTTTTCGAGTAAAGAATGCTACAATTTAGCGGGTAGAATTTTCATACGGTTAAGGTGATGATACACAGGCAGGGCCGGATTATCCATAGACGGGATTGGGCGAGTGCCCTGGGGCACCAGCCAATAGGGGGGCACCAAATGATTAAGAGAATGACTAAACCTTTAAAATAGTTTTCATGTTTTGTATATATATTATTTTGCTGGAAGAGATGCAGATATAAAAGGAACAGTTAATGATAACATGTATACAGAGAGACTATAAAATATGCAAATAAAGAATCGCGATTGGGTCAGGTCACAGTGTAGCCTATTTCTTCGAAATGAAGAAAAGACAGAGACATCGATCGGCATCACCAGCAGAAGCCACTAGCAGCGAAAAATGCCTCAACCGATACCCAAGCAGCAGCTAATGTTGTGAGCAAAGGCGGTAGCCTAACACAAAGTCTAGAAAAAGTTGTTCTGCTAAAGGTAAGGCTTATTTACCATTATTTCTGGGCAAATAGGCTACTGTATGTGACGCTGTTGTCGATTTGAAATTTGGAACGGTTTTCTCTTTTAGCTGGTTGCTTAGTTAACGTTAGAGATGCTTATTAGATGCATAACTTTTGTTTCAATCGGACTGAATTCATTCCGATCGATGAATCTGAATGTTATGTTTACATGAACGCTAAACGTGATCGGGTTGATGTGCGCGTTAATACGCAAGCTTAAAATCGGAAGAGGTAACGTTAGTAGGCTATACTGTGCATATACCCATCTCCTACATTGGTTCTTTATTTGTTTTAAACAGCAGGCTTAATATTTATCCATATCTGGTCATAATTTGTGGACAATGAGCACATGAACCGTTGTTGTACCGTGTTGCTTATATTTATCAGTAAAATGCCCCTCCCTTCTCGCGCCCAAAACCAGTCGTCTCTGGGTGATAATCCGAAAAATGACTGGTGGGACATTGTCCTGCTCCACTTCACAGACGCTGAGTGAAAGGAGAATTTTAAAATGACGGGACACTTGATTATATGACACTTTATTCAACAGGAAGAACATTTCGAGCGTCATACGTCATTACGCTATTTCAAAGTCATTGCACATACGCAGTCCTTTCAGTTTCGCTTTTTAATCCGAATAAAAAAAAGGAATAACCCACCCCTTTCAATCCGATCGAAATTTGATTCCGATCGAGCTCAATCGGATCAATAAAGGTTGAATAAAAGCTTTTCAGTTCGATTGAGCCGTCAATCCGATTACTAATGGATTTGGTTGCATTGTTTTGCTGCTGTGCGTCTCTGTGGTGCTGAATTTATCTGATTCTTGGGCTTGCTTATTTGGTATATGTTTTTTTTAGACATAAGGTTTTGCAAGTAGTCCTCATACATGCCATTTATGATGGAAATGAAGATATTTAGTATGACATGTTCATGTTGCACTAACATGTGAGTTGTATGGGGTGGGGGGCACTTAAAATGTGGTCACCCTAGGGCACTACACTGTGTTAATCCGGGCCTGTACACAGTGCAACTTTTTGAGCAATTTTGCTAGGCAATCTTGCCGAGCGATTGTTGCTTGGGCACTTTCCCATTGAAAATGGGCAATACATTTCTATCTGGATAATTTAGATCGGCCGTGGGCCCTGTGTCTCATCTGGTTACCCATTGACAGCAACATTGCCCAGCAACGTTGCTCAAAACGTTGCCCTGTGTATCATCACCTTTAGACTTTGTGTGAGAGCACTTTGTGGACTACAACTCTTCACTGCTTTCGACGCGTTTGATATACGTCACCACCACTAGCACACGGATCCCGCTAAACATGCCTTTGTTTGAATGGTGACATTTGGGTACAAAACACACAGGCATCTCGATCTAATTCCTTAGATTATCGCACCGTGATTTGTGGAGGGGAAATGTGTTATGCGGTGACGTCACATATGCGACGTGTAGTCTTTCTCGTTATGTCTATTCCACAACTGCGAGCCAAAGAATCATACAATATACTGTCAAACTCGTTACATGAGAAGTTATATAAAAAATTCACGGACAACATATGTTCACATTCATGGCACAATTCAAACGGGATTAGAAAATAATTATTTTCTCTCATTCACTTGCATTGACGCTTTTTCAACCTAGAGGTCCACTTGGAGTTTTACGGATGGGCGGGACTTACCAGCTCTATAAGCCAGTTGCGCTCGTGCCATGGCGGATTCGCTATTTACATGGAGGAATTTGCAAGTGGAAAAACTGAACGCTTCTCTAGCGAGGAAACAGATCTGCTCGTGCACGAGCTGTGTGTGTGTGTGTGAGGTTAAAGACCATCCATGTGACAAGCCGGATTCCACCATATCTTTACGTACACAATAAAATCTTTTACATTGTAATCCTTTTATTTTGAATATTTGGCTTGTTTGTGTGCTGCTGCACGTCCCTGTGTGTGTAATAAGCAGAGTGTGTGTGTGCGTAATAAGCAGAGTGTACGCGTGTTGTGGACCCACTTATAGGCACATACTATAGACCAGGTGTCAGTTGGTCAACGGCTCAGTCTATTTCAGTTCCTCAAAATATCAACGCGCCAACAATGCTCCTGAACACACACCTGGTTGTCAGACCAGCAGCCCATGGGCGCACAGATGGGCGCAAATGCATTTGCTATTTACAGCACGTGAAGATGAAAACACTCGCGTCGCGCCTGCGCATTGGGCCGGGTGTGTGATAGGACCCAATACCTGTGTTATTGATATGGAATAAGGCGAGAAGCGTTGATGTTGACTGGTACTATACTTTATTATATATGTACTATAGTACTATATTACTATATGTCCCTGGTCTATTCAACCTTCTTATTTGAAACTTCTCTTAAGTGAAATGAAAACCCTTGATATGTCACATCTATCTTGAGTGAAAAGAAAGAAAGCCCAGTAAACACCAGTAACTCGTCATCAGCTCGATTAGCTCCACCGTGAGCCGGTCTCTGTGTTCAGCCTCATGTGGAGAGTCAAGCGTCTGACATTTCAGACTCTCCGCAGGTCCGAGACGTGTGTGTTCATGTCTGACAGACCCTCTGCAGGTCCGAGACGTGTGTGTTCATGTCTGACAGAGAGCCGCTGATGGATGCCAGAGGTTTGTAAAGGTTGAATCCGGACAGCATTGATGCAGAAAGCAGATGTTGAACAGCTGGGTGTGTATTCCTCCAGACCTCCACCTGCAGAAGCACAGAGACCTGAACCTGAGCATGCTGAGCTCGACTCCTTCATCACACACTGCCTTTCAGAACCAAATAAAGCTTAGAAACTCCTCTGTAGAGGAGCACACCTGTCAAAAGACAGTTCTTTAAAAAGAAGTCTCTTCTGCTCACCACAGCTGCATTTATTTAATCACAAATACAGTAAAACTGTCATATAGTAAAATATTTTTTTAATTCAAATTTGCTGTTTTCTATGTGAATATATAGTAAACTATAATTTATTCCTGTGATCAAAGCTGAATTTTCAGCATCATTACTCCAGTCTTCAGTGTCACATGATCCTTCAGAAATCACTCTAATATGATGATTTGCTGCTCAATTATTAATAATGGTTCTAAAATGTTTTTTTTTTAAATGCTTACATTGTTGTGGAAACTGTGATGCATTTTTCTTTCAGGATTCTTTAATGAATTGAAAGTTCAAAAGAACAGCATTTATTTAAAAAATAATCTTTTGTAACATTATAAATGTCTTTACTGTCACTTTTGATCAATTGAATGCATCTTTGCTGAATAAAAGTGTTCATTTCTGTTTTTATTTTTATATTAATTTTAATATGGTAGTGTATCACATTTTGGAAACCAATATGAAGCAGCTCAACTGTTTTCAACATTGATAATAATAATAAATGTTTCTTGAGCATCAAATCATCATATTAGAGTGATTTCTGAAGGATCATGTGACACTGAAGACTGGAGTAATGATGCTGAAAATTCAGCTTTGATCACAGGAATAAATTATAGTTTAATATATATTTACATAGAAAATTGCTATTTTGAATTCTAAAAATATTTGAATGATGAGTGCATTTTGACTTGAGCATGAACTATCCCTTTAAAGCAGCAGGTCGTGAAGGTCTGGTGTGTCTCAGACCCACATCTGAACGCCACACACACACACACACACACACACCTGCCGTCTTCATCATGAGCTGAACAGGTCTTCCTGTCTCTGAGCTCGATCTGATCTCAGACCAGCTCTGCTTATATTGAGCGGATCGAGACGAGGACAGAACTGACTCCGCCGTCCGCTTTAGATGCGCATGTTTGCTTTGGGATTTGATTTGAAGTATAATGTTATGTTTGTCGTTTAGCGCCGGCAGAGGTGGAGGCTGAGGATGACGAGGATGAAGATGATGACGATGACGACTGTAAGAAGTCCATGGACGAGGTCAGTAAGAGTTTGTTTCTATTATCAGTTGTGTATCCATAAATAAGTGTTATTTATCTACAATGATAGGATTTATTTATGATATAATTGCTTTTGTTTTTATATTTTCTGTTTTCATTTTAGTTTAGAAGTTTTAGCTTTAATTTGTTTTTATTGCAGTTTTAGTAATTGTAGGACTTCAACCTAAACTTATTTCAGTTAGTTGGAAAGGCAACATTTCTCATTTCTATTTTTTGTTGGTTTCTTTTAATATATTTTTATATAGCTTCAATGCATTTTTATTAATTTAATAAAAACATGGCATTTTAGTAATTAAGTAGAGAAATAAACGAGTACTTAAACTTATTTCAATTAGTTGCCATGGCAATGCTTCTAATTTCTATTATTTATTTATTTATTTTAGTTTGTTGCAAAGGCAACATTTCTATTTTTTGTTGGTTTCTTTTAAAATATTTTTACATAGCTTCTTTTATATATATTTTTAAATTTTATAGCAATTAAACTTTTTTCAGTTAGTTGCCATGGCAATGTTTCTAATTTCTATTTTTTATTTATTTTTTATTTTATTTCAGTTTGTTGCAAAGGCAATATATCTCATTTCTATTTTTTTTTTTTTTTGTTGGTTTCTTTTAAAATATTTATATAAAGCTTCAATGTATTTATTGATTTGAGAATCTTTTTATTTTGGTAATTTTGGTATTTAGACTTATTTCAAATAGTTGCCAAGGCAATGTTTTCAATTTCTATTTTTAATATTCCATTTTTATATTGATTTTCCCTCTATGTTTCTGTATGGCTTTATTTTTATTTCACTTTTAGTTTTTAGTTTAAGTTTGAGGAATTTATTATGTGCTTTTGTCGTCTTCTTATTATTTTAGTATTTCTATGTAGCTTTCATTTCTGCATGGTTTTCTTATTTAAATTAATTAATTAAAATAAAATTTAATTTATTTATTTATTTATTTTATTTTATTTCAGTCAGTTTCCAAGGCAAAATTTTCAATTCATTTCTAATTTAAGTTTGTCCTCTTATATTTACATTTTATTTCAGCTTTATTAAAAAGTACAAATGTTCTCAGCAGATTGTCAAATGATGAGCTTAACCTTGATAAAAGTATGAGGCGTGTGTGTGTGTGTGTGTGTGTGTTTTCTCAGGGTACAGCAGGATCTGAAGCCTTCGCCACTGAAGAAATGTCCACTCTGGTCAATTACATCCAGCCCACAAAGTTCCACTCGTTCGAGGTTTCCAAGAGTGAGTACGACTGCATGCGATAACACGCGCTGATTTGAAGATCTCGCTCAAACTCGACGTGTCTGCTTTCAGAAACCAAACGCAGTTATCAGATGTCATCGTTTGTGGAGACCAAAGCCCTGGAGCAGCTGACCAAGACCCCGGTGGAGTTCGTGGAGCATCCTTTACCCCGTAACCTCCAGGAGGAGTGTGTTTGACTTCTGTAGCGACGTCACACACAACCCACATAACACATCAGACACATGACAGGAAACCAGGACAAGTGCATCTATTATTTATGCCATAACTTATGACCCAAATAATCACATCTGTCATATTTCAGAACTCTAGTCCATACGACTCTTCTGAAGCTGTTTAATAGGTTTGTGTGAAGATTGCTCACATATTCAGACTTTACAATATCAGATCATCAACGACACGGTGCTTCGTTACGGATCACGAGTCACGACAGGTTTGAATTTGTGGAAGAGTGAATTAGATTTCTTTTATGAAAGGATATTGTTTTCATTTCATGCCATTTTTTCGGGGTGCGTCTCACAAAACCTGCCAATACATGTCTGGGTCACATTTCACCACAAATACAAATTAAAGAAATGAATAAGAAATTTACATTTGGATTAAACAAAACAAAGCCTATTTTTAGGGCCTTTTATTGACAATTAAGTACATTTTCACCCTCACTATATTGTGAAAAACAATGATATGTTATTTAAATTGCAAAGTATTTATATATATATATATAATATTTAATATTATAATATTTTTATATATATATTATTCCACATTTATTGTTTTACTTTTTCATTTATTTTATTTAGAACGTTTTTTTATTTGAAATAGAAACCTTTTTTTGATTTTTAAAATTATTTTTAATTATATTGTTTTATATTTCTACAAAGCTTTAATTTATTTCAGTTTCAGTTTTTCGTAATTTCAGGACTTCAACCTAAACTTATTCCAGTTTGTTGCAAAGTCAACATTTGAAAAAGAAATTTGGGGTTGCTTTTTTATATATTTCTATATAGTTCAATGTATTTTTTATTCATTTTATTTTTATGTCAGTGATTTTAGAACTTAAACTTAGTTCAGTTAGTTGCCAAAGCAATGTTGCTAATTTATATTTTTTAGTTGTTTTTTACTTGCTGACTAAAAGTGTTAATTTATATATATATATATATATATATATATATATATTATATATCCCAAACTAAATATGTAATATAATTTTGGGTCAGTAAATGTATCTTTATATGTATATATGTACTGTATATGTATACAGGTGAAACTTGAAAAATTTGAATATCGTGATTATGCCATAATCATCAATATCATTGATGATTATGGCTTACAGCTTATGAAAACCCCAAATTCAAAATTAGAATATTGTGAAAAGGTTTTCATAGCTGTAATTCATAATCATCACAATTATAACAAATAAAGGCTTGAAATATCTCACTTTGCATGTAATGAGTCTATATAATATATTAGTTTCACCTTTTAAGGTGAATTACTGAAATAAATGAACTTTTGCACGATATTTAAATTTTTCGAGTTTCACCTGTATGTATATGTAAATATGTATGTACATTTACTTACCCAAACTTTCTCTATATATACACACATCCAGAAGAATATGATTATTTCTCATGCCAATAGAAAAATGTCACATAGCAAAAAAGTCTTTATGACAAATATCATTTCTTTAATATTTCACATTTTTTTATAATATTACACAGACATGTTTAGTCAGATTCGGGGATGTATGTGCTAGTTGTGATGATGGTCAATGATTTCTTGATTTCAATGCCATTCATTACGTCAGTCCCTTAACTGTGGTCATGTAGATATAACAAATTTCAGCTGAGCAGAATCTATCCTAAAGGGACTCGAGTGGATTCCTCCAACTACATGCCTCAGGTGTTCTGGAACGCCGGCTGTCAGCTCGTCGCATTGAACTTCCAGACCATCGGTGAGCAGATCCATAACAACACTTATTCAGATAGGACTTAAAGGGATAGTTCACCCCACAATGAAAACTCTGTCAGTAATTACTCTCCCTCGTGTTGTTCAACCCCGTAAGACTTTCGTTCATCTACAGAACACAAATTAAGATATTTTTGATTAAATCTGAGAGCTGGATCACTCCTCCATAGGCTTCTTAAGGGATCGAAACTGGCCGGCCCAGAAAAGTTATGAAAGACATCGTTAAAATAGTCCGAATGACTACAGTGGCTCAACCTTAAGTTTATCAAGCGACGAGAATACTTTTTGTGCGCAAAAACAAACAAAAATAACGACTTTATTCAACTATTCATTTCCTTCTCTGTGGGCCTCGAGATTTCACGTACTGAAATTACGCAAAGCTTCTGGGTTGTACGTCACACGCAGGCTCACTATTGGCCGTGCAACATAGAAGCTTTGCGTAATTTCAGTGCGTGAAATCTCGAGGCCCACAGAGAAGGAAATGAATAGTTGAATAAAGTCGTTATTTTTGTTTGTTTTTGCGCACAAAAAGTATTCTCTTCGCTTGATAAACTTAAGGTTGAGCCACTGTAGTCACTCGGACTATTTTAACGATGTCTTTCATTACTTTTCTGGGCCGGACAGTTTCGATCCCTTAGAAGCCTATGGAGGAGTGATCCAGCTCTCAGATTTAATCAAAAATATCTTAATTTGTGTTCCGAAGATGAACGAAAGTCTAACGGGGTTGAACAACATGAGGGAGAGTAATACTGACAGAGTTTTCCTTTTTGGGGGTGAACTATCCCTTTAACTGTGATATGAAATGTCAAGTGTAATGGTGTGTCTTACTCTGCTCTCTCAGATCTGTCCATGCAGCTGAACCTCGGCATGTACGAGTACAACGGGAAAAGTGGCTACCGACTCAAGCCAGAGTTCATGAGGCGACCGGACAAGCATTTTGACCCCTTCACAGAAAGCACAGTGGATGGGATCGTAGCCAACACCTTATCAGTGAAGGTCAGGTTTATTACACTTACTAGATTTATGACTATAAAGCTGCAGTCCGTAGCTTTTTTTGGGTTAAAAATGATCCAAAATACATATTTGAGAAAATGCATAACCAGCCAGTGTTCAAAACTCTCTGCTTGCCGTAGCTCGATTCAAAGCGGTAAGCTTGTAATAATGTTTGTAATTCCAGTGGTACTGGTGCATTTCAGCGGGAGATTTGAGCATGTCTTTGCGTCATTACGTCACATCTGCACACACACATCTGTACACACACATCTGTACACACAGGGCCGGCCCTAGCCCTTTGGTTGCCCTAGGCGAGATTGATTTTTGCGCCCCCCCCCCCCACCCCCCCCCCCCTCCTACCCCCCCCCCCTCCTTTAAAAATAATGAGTATTTATTTAACTAAACAAAAATGCTCTTATAGTCACTCCAAAACTTTAACAAGCAAATTATGACTTGAACTGTAATAAATTGTTTATACAAATGCTAAAAAAGAAAGTTCAAGGATATTTCAATCATCCTACATAGTTGCATTGTTTAAATACATATTATCTGACCATGTAACTTGTAGTAGATAAATTACAATTACTACCACCACTAATATTATTACTAATCCATTAGGCTGCTACAAGGCTAGGGGGGTACGGGGGCATGATCCCCCGTAAGAAAATTTTGTGCATTTTAATGTTAAATTCATCAATCTGGTGCACTTTGAGAGTTCAAAATTAAAAGCTCCAACCCATATTCAGTGTTCAAATTACCGTAAACAAAGAAAAATTCAAACCTCTTTTAGTTAGTGTCTGTCTACATTACATTACATAATAATAGTTATAATATTAATCCCATGATAATACTCATTGTAAAACAATGCACTGAAAAATAAAGGAAACTTTCATAAGTTTTGTACTAATTTCTATACTAATAGAAAGAGTATTTTTCTGTACTTCACATTAAAGATGTGATTGGGCCAGCCCAGTGTCAATCAAGAAAACAACCAATGGGCCGCTGATCTACGCGTTTCATGTGGTGTCAGAATAAAGCTTTTTTTTTTACCAATGCATTACACCAGCACTAACCCAGCGCCGCCGATTAAGCAAAACAAAACGAATGGGCTATTTCTATTTTAGCCCCCGGCCGCTTTTTTGCTTTATTTATCTTTTTCGACGACAACTCACTACTCGTGCCTGTTCGCTCAGCGCTCACGGCGCCCGCTCGCGATATTATTGGAGGGGGGTCCCCTGTCAAAATTCTATGATGAAATCTTATGAGGGCGCCTACTCCGCTACACATACCGGTATACCCACTTTTTGCGCCACTGGCAGGCTTATGTAATTGCTCCACTCGTTGCAGTGTTAATGAAGTACAATAAAAGCGGAAAGTTCCTTATGCGGCTCTGGCGCCCCCCTAGGGTTTAAGGCGCTTGCGCCCTTAGCATTTTATGCCACGGGCCGGCCCTGTGTACACACACATCTGTACACACACATCTGTACACATAAAGAAGAGTCTCGGCTAGTAGGCTATGAGTGTGAGGATGCTGGAGGTGGAGATTTATAGCCTTTTCTCACTGCACTTGATATAATTAAACTTATTAATTTGATGGCGGATCCAGAAAGGTTCAAACGACAATCACCAGAGACAACTAGAGACTCACAACTCACCCGCTGTAAAATACAAAAGACTTCGTTCGGAGCGGCTACAGAAAAAAGAGACTGCAACCGGCCCATGCAAAAACAAGGATAATATCGGAAGGACATTACATGTAGTCACGCAATGCTGATGTTGACATTAACAATTTGAGAATAAAGTATAATTTGCACAGTTTTGCGTGATAAGCGTTCGTTAGATTTAATCAGCGCGATTTACTGCAGTGTCAGAACCAGAACAAAAGTGGATGTTACTCACTTGTTCAGACATTTTCCGGTGAAAATTATTATGTTGGTCATACTTCCAAAAAGAATAATCTGTGATTGTGAATGCCAGTATCCACACCGGCGGCGACTGACAGCCGCACACTCTCCTCAAACATTGTGTTCATCCGCGCTGTGCCGTGCCGAGGCACAACCCACGTAAAGTTGATAATTCCGCGAATGACTGCAATTGCAGGTTTCGAACAGAGATGGCGACAAAGAGGAAAAACTGCGGACTGCAGCTTTAAGCTGGAACATGAGACTGTTGCCAAAACTCATTTGCAATGCACTTCGATGCAATTTATAATTTGACTTGCATGTTTTTTTAATTTGATGCATTAAGTGTTTATATATATGTTGCATTTTGATGTTTTTGTGCAAGAAAAATGTCATCGCCTCTTCCATTAGATCATATCAGGACAGTTCCTGACTGACAAGAAGGTGGGCGTTTATGTGGAGATTGACATGTTTGGACTTCCAGTTGACACAAGACGAAAAGCTTTCAAGACAAAGACGTCCCAAAGCAACGCCATCAACCCTGTGTGGGACGAGGAGCCCATCGTCTTCAAAAAAGTATGATGTTTTTGCTGTTCTAATCAACAGATGGCTGGAGAGCATGAGATATAGACTTGTGTTGTTTGTTGGTCAGGTTGTGTTGCCCACCCTCGCTTCCCTGAGGATAGCCGTGTTTGAGGAGGGAGGAAAGTTCATTGGTCATCGGATCATTCCCGTCTCAGCCATTCGTCCCGGTGAGAGTCTCTGTCATGTTTATTAAAGTGCTCCTATTATTCTATTTTAAAAGTCCCTATTGTTTTGGAGTCTCCTGCGATAGTTTTACATGCATTTCTCTCAGTGTCTGAAACGGTTCGTTTAAGGATTCAGTCTCTCTAAGCTCCGCCTCTCTGAGAGCTGCTCTGCTCTGATTGGTTAGATGACCCAGTCTGGTGTGATTGGTCAGAAACCAAATGCTCATTATCATATCTGAATCTGACCTCTTGACACACAGTGATACGAACAGTAACGATGGCGTGTGTTTTACCGTATCGATCTCATCACAGTGGATTTGCTTCTCGACATGAACAACACGAATCAAACTCGTCCAGTCTCAGATAAACTTGTGTTTGAGGGCGGGGCAAAGAGACGCTGTTCAGCCGGCAGCCAATGGGGTGACATTATGCAAATTAGTTACAAACCTACGTAGGTTCAGCCATAGATATCCATAATAAAGGCTAGATGTCTCGTCCGCGCTGCTGGCCAATGGAGGTCGACGACTGCACCTGGCGGCCATCTTGTCACAGGCTCACTCGTAACATTGTGTTTTAATGGTGCATGTACTTTTTAAATAACCATAACTTGCTCAATTTTCTACCGATTTTCAAACGGTTTGGTTTGTTATAAACGTCAGAGATGTAGTTATGACACTGCACACTTATGAATAATAAGTGTATCAATAAATAATCATCCAGAATTATAGCAACGTTAATAACGTTTGTAAGAAACCAAACCATTTGTAAATCCATCAAGATTTCAAGGAGATAAGAGTATTTGTGTTCGTGCTGATCACTCATCTTACATCAGGCACCACAGAGACCGCCAGAAAGCTTGCCTGTGACAAGATGGCCGCCGGTGATGACGATAGAGACTCCGCCGTAAGAAATCTAGCCTTTATTATGGATATCTATGGGTTCAGCAGGAAGTGAGACTGAATTACTGACGACTCGTTTTAGGCGGTTCAGAATCACTTCTTTCTTTTAGGACACAAAAACTCCATTTATCTTTGCAGAGGTTTTACATTCACAAACAGCTCTATTACACACCACATGAAAGGAAATATTTTAAAAAGCATAATAGGGCACATTAAATTAGCCTGAACACTTTACTTCTAGACTAATTCCAGTTTGAGATGTTCTGTCATTTTTGTTCTTTATAAACCGTGATCTCATCATAGTATTTACATACTGATATGTGATTGGTCTGTTTTTCTTGCATTTATTTAGTCGCCTTTACATTGCAAAATGGTGTTGCGTTGTGTCATCACGACATCAAATGGCATTTATGATGTGACATTTCCTTTATACAGATTAAACTAGCGGTTCTCAACTTTTTTGACTTGAAGGTCAAACACAATATTCAATATATAGGCTATATTTAACCCATGCTGAGTTTTGATTTAATTAACTACAATTCATTTTGTGATTACAGACATTATAAGAACTGTATGTTTTTCATTAAATAATAGTTGTTAAAGGAAAAATAGAAATATGATTTCATCTTATTTTTTTGTTTTAAAAAAACAAATTTATTTGAATTTACGAAGAGTTACAATATTGTAATATAGATACATTTAAGGCTGCAACATGGAAATGCAGAGGGGTTTATTGTATTAAACGATAATTTTCTCATATTCTCACAGGTTATCGCTACATCGGTTTGAGAAATGAAAAGAATCAAGCTCTAACTCTTCCTGCTATATTCGTGTATATCGAGGTCAAAGACTACGTACCGGATACATTCGCTGGTAAGAAGTTCATTACTATAATCTCCGCCATCTTTAGCATCTGATAAAAGTACCATAGTACTACTGTGGTGTCCATATGAATACCATGGTAAATATGAGTGAATCTCACAAGCTGGATCATAATCAAGAAATGATATTTTGCATCAAGCTGCTTTGCATTATTTGCAACATATGCGACAGAAATATTCAGTGTGAATTATGACTCACCAGTACCGTGGTATAAATCAGAGTACCGTGGTATTCGTCACTGTACAGCCACTGTGAGGAGCTTTTCAATCTTCATCCCAGCGGTGGTTTAATGCTCATTTGCATATAACTATGAGATGGGGGATTTTGGGACAGATTCACGTCTCGAGTACCCAGAATGCTCCTGTTTGTGTTAAAAAGTGTTACAGCGGCGAGGAACAACAACACTGACCTTCTCAGCAGCGTTTCACACGTGTGTGTCTACTCGTCTGTTCTCCTGTCAGACGCAAATACTGATGGGACGATCTTAAGAGACGACTTTTTTTTCCCTTTGTTTAATTTAAATAGAAGCTTTGCCTTATTAAAGCCACATACAAACAAAGTGACCTCATCTATTTAAAGCTAAAATGGGGCATCACTTGTAAATATGCAAATATACAAAGTGATATAGACACCACAGAAGATGTCACAACTTTAATTTCATGTTAACTAATGCCAACTAATTATCAGAGACTTTTTTTTTTTTTAGAAAATATTGAATCTAACACTCTGTTATTGTAAATGAAGGCCTTTTAAAAAGATGAAATGACCCATAAAATGCCAAGGAAAAAAACATTTTCAAAAATGTCTTTTAATTAAGAGTTTCTAGCTGTAATTAAAGTTCAGAAATATGAGTGAAATGTCACTGCAAGAAGAAGATCAATTCTAATTTCTTTGGATATTATTTTGGATATATTTAAAAGGTTTTATTGTGAAAGCATTACAGTTGTTAACTAACTAAAGTGCCTTCAGCTCATAGTCTCTAAAGCAGAGACTGGTTTGAAGGCAGATGTGTGTGTTTGACGTGACTGACGTGTGTTTCTGTGTTGAACAGATGTCATTGAAGCGCTGTCCAACCCCATCAGATACGTCAACTTAATGGAGCAGAGATCCAAACAGCTGGCGGCGCTCACTTTAGAGGAAGGAGAAGAGGAGAAGGACACTAAAGAGGTTCGGTTCTGTCTCGCTTCAAATCTTCAGACCTGGAAGTTGGAGAGGGAAATATAAACCATCAAAATATGAAGAAAATTCATTATATATATATATTTTTTTTTTTTTAAATGAGGGAAGATTTAAAAACTAAACTTGGGTAAGGTATTTATCTGACAAAATTATTTAGCAAAAAACAAAAAAATTGCATAGAAAAACAAAAAGCTCACTGGAAAAAGCATACATTGACTACAACATAATCTGTTATTAATATTTCATTGATTCTCTTTTGTTTTTGCATTTGTTCATAATTTTTTTTTAATGAAAGCCTGACCAAAGATTATGTCGGCTCAATTTGGCATGTTATCATAAATAAAAAATGATCAACTCCAAGCTCAAGGTCAAGGTCAAAGTTTATTTCTATAGCACCTTTTAACAACACGAATGTTGACCAAAGTGCTTCACAGATACACATACAGTTAAGTAGAGCATATAAAAACTTAAACTAAAAACTAAATAAATAGAATCTTTTTAATAAGCACAAATTTTAAACCTAGCGACCTCACAAGAACTGCAACCCCGTAGTATTTCATAGATGCAAAAAGCATTTTTAAGCGAATTTTTCAATTTAATAACCTTGAGAAAAAGGTAGGTTTTAATTGATGCTTAAAAAACATTTAAAGTAGGAGAAGCTCTGATCAATAAACTACGCAATATGTTTGAAAACCCTTAGCAGTTTTTTTAATAATATTTGAATAAAGGCCAGACATGTCCTAGGCCAGACATCTGTGTGTGTGTGTGTGCGCGCGTGTGTGTGTATTTATTTATTCAATTGAAAAGAGCCTTAAAAATGTATAAGAAAAAGCCCTTTAAAAGGGGCAAACCAATGCTAATGTCATATATTAAAATGAATTTCTCTGATGCGATATACATGAGCATCAGTTAGTGCTAGATTTATAATGGGATCACTTCACTAATTACTCTGTCTAAACTCTAATCACATTCCCGTTCGTTTACTTATGAATTAGGCCATTTCTCCTTCATTTCAGAAAGCGCTCTGTTGCTGTTGAACTGTGTGTGTTTGACAGAGAATGGTATTTGCTGGTGTTCTTGTTGTTCAGGCGGATCCAGGTGTTGAAAACCCCTCGGAGGTTAAAAGCGAACCCAAACCCGCCCCGGTAGAGAACGGATTGAGTCACGCTCCCAGTGCGGCTCCTAAACCAGCGTCCCAGATCAGCACACAGCCACAGTCCTCAGGTCAGACCTTCACACACCTTCTCTTCTGCTACACATCATTACTGTCGTCAAACAAGACCGGATAGAAGAATGATGAATGTTATTAGATATGCATAAATCTTGATATGTTTCAGGCTCAACGAAACCAGCGGCAAAGACTGAAGATCTCATTCATAGCGTCCTCACTGGTCAGTGCTAAACACATCTAATGGCTTTTATCACCTGTGTAAAAGATTTGAAAGAGACCCGATTCAGTGAAATAAAAATCTGAATAACTGCATGGTTTAAATGAATATATTATCATATATAATATAATTTTATATGATGAACTTATGTTTTTTTCATATTACACTTATAGTGTAATAATAGTAGAATAAACAGAATAAACAATCCATGGAAATACTATGTAAATAATATTCCATACACACACACACACACACAATATTTAAATGTATTAAATATATATTAAACAAATATGTAACAAAGTTAAAGGATCACAGTTATATCATTATCAATTGCCACGGCTCTCGGCAAGTGTGTGTGTGTGTGTGTGTGTGTGTGTGTGTGTGTGTGTGTGTGTGTGTGTGTGTGTGTGTGTGTGTGTGTGTGTGTGTGTGTGTGTGTGTGTGTGTGTGTGTGTGTGTGTTTTGTAAACATAAATTATAGAATAAACAATATTTAAAAAATAATTAAAATATATGAACATAAAATAATATAAGAAATGTAATACATATGATTTTGTTTTTGTAAACATAAATAATAGAATAAACAATAGGAGGTTATTTAAAAAATAATTAAAATATATTAACAAAATAATACACAAAATGTAATATATATATATATATATATATATATATATATATAATTTTGTGTTACATATATGTCAATTTACATATATATATATATATATATATAACATGAAAGAATAAACAATAGCAGGTTATTTAATATATATATATATATATATATATATATATATATATATTAACATGTAAAATAATACACGAAAATAAATAATACAAATAATTCAGTCAAGTGTGCAATATACATGTTCATGTGTTACATATATGTCAATTTACATATAATGTTTATATATATAAAACATGAAAGAATAAACAATAGCAGGTTATTCAATATATATATATATATATATAAACATGTAAAATAATACACAAACATAAATAATACAAATAACTGTGCAATACATGTTTCTCTATCTAAAAAGAAGCCATATTTTGCTTATGTTATATGAGACATCAAATAAAATTCTGTTTTATTAGGTAGCTGTTGAGTCTAAATCATTTCGAAGGTTCTCTATAACTTATTTAAACACTGTTCAGATTTAGAAAATCCAATGACACGAGCTTCAGAAAAGGATAATAAAATATGGAGGAATATAAAGGAGTAATTTCCCAGTCCATGAAACCTCTGACTGTTTCTGCCTCAGAGATGGAGGCGCAGGCCGTGGAGGAGCTCAAGCAGCAGAAGGGCTTCGTTCGAGAGCAGAGGCGACACTATAAAGAGATGAAGGACCTGGTGAAGAAACACCACAAGAAAACCACTGAGATGATCAAGGAGCACACGGCCAAATACAACGAGATCCAGCACGACTACCTCCGCAAGCGGGCCGTCCTGCTGAAATCTGCAAAACGAGACGGTAAGAAGAGGTAGGTAGACGTCCTCTGATCGATCGCTGTGGGAGTGTGTGTCCAAACATCCGCTGAACACACTGGGTCTCACACACTGGGTCTGCCGTCAGGTGCCTGTCCTCCAGTCCTGAACACGGACCCTCGTTCTTCGAGCAGGAACTGAACACTCTGGACCAGGACAGCGGACAGAAACTGTCGGACCTCAAAGAGCAGCAGCAACAACAGCTTCTGAATCTCCGGCAGGAACAGTATTACAGCGAGAAATACCTGAAGAAAGAACACATTAAACAGGTGAGGCGGGAATCCACAACTGAAACTAAATTACATGCAAATGACTCTTTTCTCAAGTGTCACCGGCCCACCGGTGGGCCCAAATCCATTACATGTTTAAAACAGTAATATCCTATACTAAACCTAAACTAATCTTGACAAGCTTACAATCTCTAGTTTCCATATTTGGTGACTGATTTTCAAAATAAATTACAGAGGAGCCGTAATTTTTCAATTTGCAACAAGAATATTTTCAAACTCCTAAGGCGTGTTTAGACCTTTATTTTGAAATAGTGATGAACATGAAAAATCATGAAAGAAGGATAGAAACCTCAGTTTGTTTTCATGCCAAGAGTTCAAAAGATAGGTTCCATTCAATTATTTTAGAAAAAAAGGTCTGACATTTTTTTTAAATATAAAGAAAAAAATGATAGATTCACCATTTGTGAGGTGTATACTTGCACATACTTGTTCTTTTTATGTTTTCTTAGAGGTTGAATTCATATCAAAATCTGCCAAACTTCTCATATTACTTCTGAATAGGATGTCTACTTCATAAATTGTATTAAAATTGTGGAAATAATGGTTCAGATCACTCAAAACACATATGGAAATGGAGGCACCCTTATATGGGCAGTAATGGAGTCTGGTTGTGTCCTAGTGGAAGCGTTCGGTACTGCGCCCAAACAAAATCTCACTGAAAGCTCATTTTTTGAGATATCAACCTAAAATTTGAAACACAACTTGTTCAGATTTTTGGCTTTGATTTTTTTTAATTTTTTTTTAGTTTTAGAGTCACCCAGGTTTTGAAAATATATATTTTATATAAAATATGAATAATTAATTTTTTTAAATTGTACATTTTCATAAACTCAAACTTCTATAACTTTTTTTTCTGTTTCTGTTAATTTATTTCACTTCTACAAAAATCTGCCAGATGTCTTCTTTAAAACGAGACCAATCTTACGTCGATATTCCAAAGCATTCTTGAATTACAACCATTTAAGTTCGAAATGTGCATTTTCATGTTTATTCAAAAAAAGGGTGGTGACAGTTAACAGGTTAAAACCGAAAAGTCTCTTTAAAGACTCTCAAGTAAGTCATTGCAACTTATGTTTTTAAATTTGCAACTTTTAAGTAATTTTAACCTTTTTTTTTTAAATAAATTATACAAGATTCAACACAATTTTTTTTAAGTCAGTTTAGTATAATTTAAGTTGAAACGAATTTGATTTGATTGTACTTAAAATTTTAAAGCAAACTTACATTTTACATCAGAAATATTACATATATACTAAAAATAATTGCCAATAAGGCCCAAACATTAAGAAATTATTTCAAATAAATTTGAAACAAAAACAAGTGTTAATTAACTTGCAAATTACACTTTTATTGATTTTTTTATTGATTATTGACTCTTTTATTCATTTGCAAATTACTCTTTTATGACTTTCATATATATATATATATATATATATATATATATATATATATATATATATATATATATATATATATAATTTTTATATAAATATATATATATATATATAAAAGTGTATTATTTTATGTTAATAAATTGTAATTATTTTTTAATTAACATGCTATTGTTTATTCTATTATTTATGTTTACAAAATCATATGAATTTAAATATAATATATTTGAATTATTTTTGAAATATTGTTTATTCTATCATTTATGTTGTACAAAACACACACACACACACACACATGAGACATAGAGCCGTGAGAGAACGTTGATAATGAGCGTCACCTGTGCGCCGCACCGATCCTTTAACTTTGTTACATAATAATGATAATAATATAAATTAATAATGCAAAATATATAAATATATCCCGGTATACCCCTATATATATAAATATGTCCCTGAGCAAGACACTTAAAGGAGAACTCCGGGCAATTTTTAAGTGAATCTTGATCGTTAGACCTTTGTGAGTACTGACTATAGGAAAAAAAACGAACCGGATTGGTGCTTGCTACGCGGAGCTGCGACCGCGAATGCCCAGAGCTCCCACCCAGCTAAAACGGCAGCTATGGGGGCATCGACATAAAGAGCGTTTTTAAGCCTCTTAACAGACACAAAATGCAATTAAAATGTCTGTCCAACATGAACAGGGACCCTACATGTGAACAAGATGCGTTTAGCAACTTAGCCATTGTTTCAACTCACCTAAATAGTCTTTTAGACGGCAAGCTGTAGTCTCGCGCTGCAGTCCCGTGCTGTAGCCGGAAAAGGTAAACAATGTCCAGGTGGGAGGAGCGTTGATCATGTGCGACGAGTTATGATCAGAGTTGCTTACAAGTGAAGAAGAAATGGCTCCTCCCACCTGGACATTGTTTTTTGCTTACTTTGTGTGAGAAATCAAGAATAAACGATTTAAACATTTCTGATGTACAACTTTAGAAAACCTCTTCTTCTTAATGAATGGGTCAGGAAGACTGATGGTGTGTTCTCTGTGTTCGCAGGTTATCGAGAAGCTGACCGGCATCGCTGAGGAAAGCCAAAGCAACCAAATGAAGAAAATCAAGGACCTGTGTGAGAAGTGAGTCCATTACCAATATCACAAGCGTCTTTTAATAATTCATAAGGTCATGTAGCGTCAACCTCGCTGTTCCGTCTGTGTTTACAGAGAAAAGAAAGAACTGAAAAAGAAGATGGACAAGAAGAGACAAGAGAAGATTAATGAAGCCAAATCAAAGGAGAAGCACTTGACAGAAGAGTAAGAGTTCATCTGTTCATCATTTCCTGGATAAAATGTGTTTTGGTTGAAATAATTCTTCGAGCATCCACACTAATCCAGATACATGTGAAAACAGATATTTTTCGCCACGGTTTGGCCTTCTGTCCGCACTTGAGGCGGCGTTTTGTCTTTCGAAAACTGAGATTTTTTAAGAATATATATCGATTTGAAAACATCGTTTCCTCACTGTAGTGTAGACTGTGAAAACAGAGGTTTTGAAAACATTGACGCGTGTTTAGTCATGTGACACACATTGTACCAATAGATATATATTTAGGGCCTAAAACTAACTTTTTGCCACACCTGCCAATGGCCGGTTACTTAAGAAAATGTACCGGTCATAAATATTTTTAGGCCATTAAACTGTTTTTGCAAAAACAGCCAGTTATGACACTAGAATTTTAGATAGCAGTAAAGATTCACAGTTCTCTATTTCAATTTCAATACCACAGATAAAATTACTAGCCTGGATGCCAGCCGAGCTTAGCCCCGCCCACAACATGTGAGGTCGGGAGGTTCGGTCTGGACTCTGGACTCGATCCGTTGTGAAGCAAGTATGCCCGAACCAAAGCTGTTCGGACCAATCAAATTGTGAGGGCGGGCTTTATAGAGCGCTTGGGTTGAATTCGTTTACAACAAAGATGGCCGCCGCTGGAGAACTGAGATGTGTGGATTCAGCCGCCGCGTCTGTTATAGAAGATGTAGACAGCGCATTCATTTTAAAGGAGGAACAGAGAACCCCGATCAAGGCATTTGTCGATCGGAAAGATGAATGAAGAACATGCGTCACTTACTCCGTTGCTCTGATTGGTTGTAGGTCTATCCAATTGAATGCAGAGGCATTTTTTTTTCCTGGTTGGGTTGAAACACGGCCCATAATCACAGCCCAATGGAGCCGTATCAGACTCACATTCTGACTAGAGTCTGAGTATGACGACGTCAGGCTAAAAATTACTAGCTTTAACATTATTAAAGACGAGTTACAGTAGTTTTCAGGTAGAGACATTAAATAAATTGATTGATTGATTGATTGATTGATTGATTGATTGATATTAATCCTGATAGGGAAACTGGTTTGCCACCAACCATACAGCCATCAAACACAATACACAACTAACAGACAGATAAATAAACAATTCTGCATTAGGAGACTAATAAACCCTGATTAGGAGACACAATTTGAAAAAAGATTCAATTTCAGAGTTCAAAAATATAAAAAATAAACACTATAGTATTTAAACACAAGAATAATATTCAACAATTAACTGTTCATTGAAATATCTGACCGCTGCGGGAACAAAAGACCTTCTCATGCGCTCACTAGAGGTGGCCTTCAAAAAGCAGGACAATTTTTAATTTCGAACTTATCCTCTTCTCCACAGTAACCTCCAATACATCTGGGTTAAGACCAATAACTGAACCAGCTCTCTTGATCAGCTTATTTATCCTATTTTTGTCCTCAACAGATATACTGCCCCCCCAGCAACATTTACATTTGATTAAATAATCAAATGTAAAATTACACTGGATATAGTCTTCACTGTATAAATTAAACAGATTATTCCTTATTAACATTTCAAAAGTTATTCAGTCAAGAGCTGTGAGTGATTTTTTCTTTGTCCTTTTGTTGTTTGATTAACATTAAAAACACAGACAGCTGCAGGAATATTAGGCTCTGTCACTTTAAGAGTGAATGCACTGATCCAATATACTGATGCACACGTGTTGTCTTTCTCAACTGTTACGTTCACTCAAGCCATAACTAGTTGTGCTTACTAGGATACTAGCCGAGACAGGCATTTTTTGACAATTTTGTGTCTGTTCAAGTGGGAAAAGATGTGAAACAGCTCAATTCAGCATCCGAATCTGCGACGCGGCTCACACACAACTTCCCACACAGAGCGAGAGTTCACTTTTGTGTATTCTTGCGCTTGAATATATAAATTACCAAGGCTTAAACTCTTGCGATGTCAGGAGTGTCGTTGATGTTTGATTACGTTCATGTTCTCACAACATTGCATTGTTAAAATTCATAAAAATGTTACCTGCCAACTGGTGATTAATACTATTTCATATACTCACCAACACCGATTTGTTTTTCTCGCATTTGGAGCTTGACGAGTGATAACTTTAGGCCCTGTATATTATATCCTATATTTATACTGGTGTGTGCCTGCTATGTGTTATTCACGTTTAACAAACGTAGACGCAGCCGAAACATGTTGAACAGTGTGTTCAGATGCAGTGAAAGATTTTACACAGAAATACACACTTCAGCACATCAGAGAGATTTAAAATTGGTGTGTTTTACAAAATAAGAAATGCAATGCAAGTCACTCTAGATAAAAGCATCTGCCAAATGCATTCATGAAAATGCACAAATTTGACACAAAAATATCTGGATTCATATCAGTAGAGAGATGAACTTATAAGAAATAATGCAGTCTCAAAAGTGAAGTGCTTATATAAAATCTGTGTCAAATGAGTAAAGTGGGCAACTGACGTTTCATTCAGGCGATTCTGTGAGGGGAATTGTAAGCATAATTGATATTAAAATACTTTAAGCTACAAAGATGCTTACATCATAAACTCTTGAGATATTCACTTACTCCAAACTAATCATTAATCGATTTGGAGACAAAAAAAAGAAGATTAATTTCAGGTTATTTTCATTAATGTTCTGGGAGGCAATTAAAGGAATGGAAAGAATTTTATTATTCTTTATAAAACTGGCCTCTAGATGGCAATAAAACAAAATAAATGCATCACTTGAACCATAACACACTCTCTCTCTCTCTCTCTCTCTCTCTCTCTCTCTCTCTCTCTCTCTCTCTCTCTCTCTCTCTCTCTCTCTCTCTCTCTCTCTCCCTCTCCCTCTCCCTCCCTCTCTCTCTCTCCCTCTCCCTCTCCCTCCCTCTCTCTCTCTGATTTTAGGGAGAAACTGGAAATCAACCGGTCTTATGTGAACGACGTGGTCCAGCACATTAAGAGGGTAAAGAGTTTCCCCATCTCTCAAGATCATAAATGAGAATAAAAATGATTCTTTACACTTTTTGTCTTTTTCGTCTCTAGCTGGAAGACGCTCAGACTAAAAGACACGAGAAGCTTGTTGAAACCCATAAAAGCATTCTGCAACAGATATTAGATGAGAAACCCAAGGTAAGAGTTAACAAATGATATGGTACCAGAGTAATACCTTGTTTTGGATACATACCATACCACGCTTTTATCTCTCATCTCATTTGGAGATTAACGTCACATAAATGAACACTGCAGAATTAAAGATATTATTATTACTAGCGCTGTTACTGTTATTGCTATGAAAGTGAGTGCTGTTGCATTCTGGGAAGTTTGACAGATGAGTGTTGGATGAAACATTACAGTAGTTGCATCAATACATATTTCACAAACGTCATTGATTTTCTATGTCATTCACTATCAGGCCTTTATGCTCAACAATACTTTTTCGTCAGCATCATTAACCCTGTAGTGTAAAGCCTGGCAAGCCTTTTTTTTTCTTCTTTTTTTAATGGAACAGTTTATTAAACCTTCAGACAAAAAAAAAACGTACATAAAGGTTTTTATGTGTTTTGGTTGAGTATCATATTTACTCCATCAGGTTTTTATGTCTCATATAGTGAGAATATGAAGGAAATAAAACACCTCAGTTTTATTCAGAGACTCAAAATGAGCAAAAATATGCAATTTGATGCAGATTCTGATATTTATATGGACAAAAAGTCCTGTTGAAATGAAATTCTGATGATTGTAATGTAAATCAATGAGATCTTAATAACAGTATGGTGGAGACTAACATAAAATACACATTAATATCAGTCATCACTATATCTGCCAATAATGTCTAAGTAAGATGATATTTAATGCTTAGTTTTATAAATCTCTGCAGTTTTAAAACATATAATGCAATGCAATACAATGATGATTGAGAGATGAACAAATAAACCTTCCTCAAAATCTGATGATCATTTTTGAGACTCGCATTTGAATATGATTTTACTCAAATATGATGCATAGATAATCATGTAAACCGAAGATGCTCCAGTCCAGTAAGTGTTGATCTTGAAATATTACTAATGACTAAAAATCAGTGCAGATTTTATGAGGTGGACGTTTGTACAATTGCACTTAAAAGGCTTTTTCTTGCTAATAAAGTAAAGCTGTCAATCAGGCGACAGAAGGCAGATTGTGTAAAAGGTTTTTCAGATCATGCTGATCATTTAGAGGCCTTAAAAAGGTGCATATCAAATATGATAACAGTAGGCTTAATGAAGTTGAGAAATTGTTCTCTCAAATGAAAATTCACTCATCTTTGAGAGTCCATTAAGTCCTGTTAAGACTTTCTGCAGGTTTGTACTGCGATGAGGGCGAGCAAATGATGCCAGTTTCAATTCAGCCCTTTAAATATTTCATGAACTGTCAGGATTATATGATTTGGAGAATTGCAGTGTGATCCGGCACATTTTTAGATGCAGAAACAGAACAAATGTGCCTTTTAATGCTCAACATAGAGATCCGACCGGATTCAGATGTGTGGAAACTGCCTGGATTGCAGCTCTTTGATTGGCTCATGAACTGTCACTCACTTCAGACCTGACCAATCATTTTACATGGAGTCAAGACTCCCTCCCCCAAGCATATCACTCTCCAAATTCAGTGTTTACAGTTTTTTACAATCACTTTTCTTCTATTTTCAGAACCTTGATGTACACAAAACTTAAAGCGGTTATCACTTGTTGTAACACAGGCTGTCTAATGTTCAAAACATTGCATTGTGCATTCAAATCTTTAAAGAAATCTTGCACTTGCACAATCATTGGTTCAAAAAACAAATTTACTGTGAAATACCATTGAAACATAACTATAGATCGCCCACACACAAGCAACCGATAGCTTCACTGTGTCATTGTTCGTACAATCATTAAATATTGTAGAACAAAATAGGTGATCCAGGTTTCATTATGGTACTACATGTACAGTAAACACATCTCTGTGAAAGCACTGCAGTCGTAGAGAGAATACACACATAGTGGAATCACTGAACAAAGTTTGTAATTTATTGATGCAAAACACTACAATAGGTTTATTGGAATCAAAGCAAAAATATAAAATATTAGGCTACATCCATGGATATTGTAGTCTAATTGGTGACAATGAATCTCGTTATCTTGAAACTGTCATGATTTACTGTAAACATGGAAGATTGTGTGTGTTTCCATACAACTATGCATTAAGAGTAACGCAACAGTTACTTATCATTTTGAGCGGTTGTCTCAATTGATAGTTAGATCATTGTGAGGAAATGAATAGACACTCATTTGAAATGTAATTGCTTTTGAAATAGTAGTACTGTGATGTGTCATATTGAACAGGTGATTTTTGTTGAATGAACAAATGGTCTAAGTTTTATGTGTATGTATCCAAGCAATTGAGAAAAGGGTTAGAGTTTTGAAAAATGTGCATTTTGATCATTGGTTGTGAGTTTTGTGTCTAGAGTTGTGAAAAATGACATCAAGGCTCTGAAAATAGTAACAAAGTGACTGTAAAAAAACTGTAATGTGTATAACGAAATTGCTATGAGTGCATTCTTATCTATAAAGGAATCTGGTGAAATATCTCCATGCATCTGTTGATTTGGCCCGGATCTGCTGCAGCATTAGTGAATATTGATCCGGATCTGTCAATACCGTCACATGTCACATTACTGACCCGTTCATGCCACGACTCCTGCGCTCACAGCACACACACCTTCACTCACTGAACCGCGGCACGTTTGCAGTTTAGGATATTAGTATTGCTGCATGACCATATTATTATTGCATGTTTACAGGGATATCCTTATTTTTTGCTCTTTCAATTTAATTTTTAGTCCTCTAATAATGTTTATTTTTTTGCACCAAATGTATTTTACATTTATCGTTACATTTATTTTAAATTTAAAATACATTTAAGATTATTATTAAATGATATTTAAATATGTTAAAATATTTTTTCAGGATCATTTTCCACTCTCTCTCTCTGACTCTTACAGTTAAACATGCGGTTATTTGCTTTTTTATTGGACTTTTCCCACATTTTATTGTTTTTAATAATAAATAATTTATTTTAAATTTATCATTAGATTTATTTCAAATTTAAAATAAATTACCATTTAAGTTATATTTAAATTTATCTGATTTATTTTTTTCAGGTTCATTTTCCGCACCCTTTCTCTGACTCTTACGATTAAACATGCTATTGCTTATATATATATATATACACTCTTTATTATGTATTTGTTTCTTTTTCCCCCTTGGATTCCTATTATAATGTTATTCAATGTTTGTTTGTTTTTTGCAACAAAAACAGGCAAATTAATTTTTTTTCATATTAATTTTTCTCTCTCTCTCTCTCTGACTCTTGCAATTAAAAATGCTGCTATTTGATTCTTTCATAGACATTTCCACATTTTGATTATTTATTTGTGTCTTATTGTTGGTTAACCAGTTTGGTTTTTGAGAACCAAATAATAACGTTCCAAGAACATTCTTTATGGTTTTTTTTTTTTTTTTTGCAACCATAAAATAACGTTACCAGAACTTTGCAGGAAGGTTATTTGTAAATAACTCGTACAGAACGTTCCCTAATGGTTATTTTTAGTTTTAAAACCATGTGAACTAACCTTCCAATTACAACGTTGCAGATGTTTTTGTATGAGCTTGTATACAGAGCTCTGAAATGAGTTTAATAGAGCGTTTAATAAAATGTAGAAATTAGATCAATCAAAATGCATACAATTTCCGTTAAGAAGTCTTTCCTGACTAACCAAAAACAAACCATAAAGAACGTTCTGGGAACCAAAAACTAACATTTTGGGAGCGTTCTGGGAACGTTTTTTTTTTTTTTCTGTAGACTAATATTTTGACCCGTGTTCACAGCTTCAGAACGACCTGGATCAGGAATACCAGGATAAATTCCGGCGGCTTCCATTGGAGATCCAGGAGTTTGTGCAGGAAAGCACCAAGAGAAAGACTGAGGATGTAGAGCAAGAAGTTCTTCCTTCTTCCTCTTCCACGCTGGAGAAACTCATGCAGAAGAGCGCACAGTCTGAAGACGACACAGAAGAGGAGAAGAAAGACTGATCCGACCCTGTCAGAAACCTTCCGGATCTCTTCCCACTTTACCGTTCTTTCCGTTTCGCTCCGAGAGATTTGGACAGCTGATGGAGGAGGCTTGATGTCACGCTGGGAGGTTTTTTATTTCAGTTGGTGTATTCTACTTGGCTGGCTACACACTAAAGTTTCAATATGAATTATTTCTAATGTTCTGTTGATGTGCTTCTCATAATAATGAGTGAAAACAAAATGGAAGAGAATGCAGGTCATGATACTGTATAGAGATACTGTAGCGACCAATTATCTTTAATAGATGAATCTCACAAAAACATCATGATCAAAACAATCCGAGTCATATTTTGTGTTCGTGTTCGAAATCGCTCCCTGTTCAATATTCCCTGCATGAATCCACTGATATAGCCCTCTTGAAGGAGTGAATGAAAACGAGTGAGTGAATTCGGACACTACTGCTGTTTAATAATCATTTGAAACTTAACAAACTTGCAGTTTCAGTAGTAATGAAAAGATTTATCTTGAACTCTGTCATGTATAAACCTTGATTAAACTATTTAATAATCAATTAACAGCCTGTGTGATATTACGCTGTAGCCACATTGGACCAGCGGTTTGGAAAATGGATGGATGGATGATTGATTAATTCAGCGCGCGACTCTCACAGTGCATTATGGGTATTCTCTAGCCTTTGAGTGCGGCTGAATGTTGTATACTCGTTAAAGGATTAGTTCACTTTAAAAAAAACTTTTGCTGATAATTTACTCACCCCCATGTCATCCAAGATGTCCATGTCTTTCTTTCTTCAGTCGAAAAGAAATTAATGTTTTTGATGAAAACATTCCAGGATTTTTCTCCATATAATGCACTTTGCTGGGCACCAAACGGTTCAAGGTCTAAATGACCGTTTCAGTTCAGCTTCAAAGGGCTTTAAACGATACCAGACGATGAATAAGGGTCTTATCTAGCGAAACGATCGGTCATTTCAAAAATAAATAAAAAAGTTAAAGTGTTATAGGCACAAATGCTCGCCTTGCGAACTCTCCTGTTCGAACTCGTTCATCAAAATGAACAAATCTTTTTTTCGAGTCAATGACTCGAAAAAAGATTCGTTCATTTTGATGAACGAGTCAATGACTCGAAAAAAGATTCGTTCATTTTGATGAACGAGTCAATGACTCGAAAAAAGATTAGTTCATTTTGATGAACGAGTCAATGACTCGAAAAAAGATTCGTTCATTTTGATGAACGAGTTCGAACAGGAGAGTTCGCAAGGCGAGCATTTGTGCCTATAAAACTAACTTTTTTATTTATTTTTGAAATGACAGATCGTTTCTCTAGATAAGACCCTTATTCATCGTCTGGTATCGTTTAAAGCCATTTGAAGCTGCACTGAAACGGTCATTTAGACCTTGAACCGTTTGGCTACCATTGAAGTCCATTATATGGAGAAAAATCCTGGAATGTTTTCATCAAAAACATTTATTTCTTTTCGACTGAAGAAAGAAAGACATGGACATCTTGGATGACATGGGGGTGAGTAAATTATCAGCAAAAGTTTTTTAAAAAGTGAACTAATCCTTTAATGCGGTGCATTGTGGGATTGATTGAGTGCACTCGATAACGTCCACTATGGTTTCAGACACAAATAATGCCCTATTAAGGGGAATAAGGGGCGATTTCAGACACAGCCTTGGAGTTTTTGGGATGAACTATGACCCGGATGTGTTCTCGACAGGCTTTGTGAGATTCACTCTTAAGGCCCGTTCACATCAAGGACGATAGCTGTAACGATAAAGATATAAGATGTGTCCCAATGCACTATAAACTATGTACTTTACTGTTTTGAATGAACTTTAAAAGGTTATTTTGTCATTCAACATTTGAGTCTGAAGCCCCTCCCCCTCCTCTACTACATTCGCCATGATGTCATTATCATGTGACCATCCGGCATCAGTTGCGTCGCTCATGGGATAGAAAAAGTGTCCAGCGTATGCACTAGGGATGCACCGATATGAACATTTTGGCCGATAACCGATAATTCATTATATTTGAAAGCCGATAACCGATATATTGGCCGATAAATCTAAATCCAAATTTTTATATAATTTTGGAGAGCCTGATTACAAAAATAGTAGTCTCACCATTAAAAGCCATGTCCCAAACACACAATTATAATGTTCTCGTTATAATGTAGCCGTGCTGTAAAACTGTATTTTCCTTTTTGAAATTATTCCCATCATATTTCAAGCAAATCAAAACCATCATGTTGAACAGTGCGCATCTGAAGTGTCTCAGCTGAAGGAAATAATACATTATTTATCGGCTTTAAAATTTCAGCCAAATTTTTCTTATCGGGCCGATAACGATAACATTAAAAATGGTGTCTGATATATCGTGCATCCCTAGTATGCACACTTCAGAATCTCGTCATCTGATTACTTTTCGCCTACTCTTTTATGAGTACTGTGAATTCAGACATACTTATTTTGTCACATACTGTTATACTATACTATACTATACTAAACTATACTATACTATACTACACTCACCTAAAGGATTATTAGGAACACCATACTAATACTGTGTTTGACCCCCTTTCGCCTTCAGAACTGCCTTAATTCTACGTGGCATTGATTCAACAAGGTGCTGAAAGCATTCTTTAGAAATGTTGGCCCATATTGATAGGACAGCATCTTGCAGTTGATGGAGATTTGTGGGATGCACATCCAGGGCACGAAGCTCCCGTTCCACCACATCCCAAAGATGCTCTATTGGGTTGAGATCTGGTGACTGTGGGGGCCATTTTAGTACAGTGAACTCATTGTCATGTTCAAGTAACCAATTTGAAATGATTCGAGCTTTGTGACATGGTGCATTATCCTGCTGGAAGTAGCCATCAGAGGATGGGTACATGGTGGCCATAAAGGGATGGACATGGTCAGAAACAATGCTCAGGTAGGCCGTGGCATTTAAACGATGCCCAATTGGCACTAAGGGGCCTAAAGTGTGCCAAGAAAACATCCCCCACACCATTACACCACCACCACCAGCCTGCACAGTGGTAACAAGGCATGATGGATCCATGTTCTCATTCTGTTTACGCCAAATTCTGACTCTACCATCTGAATGTCTCAACAGAAATCGAGACTCATCAGACCAGGCAACATTTTTCCAGTCTTCAACTGTCCAATTTTGGTGAGCTCTGGCAAATTGTAGCCTCTTTTTCCTATTTGTAGTGGAGATGAGTGGTACCCGGTGGGGTCTTCTGCTGTTGTAGCCCATCCGCCTCAAGGTTGTGCGTGTTGTGGCTTCACAGATGCTTTGCTGCATACCTTGCAGATTGAGAAATTGAACAGGTGTTCCTAATAATCCTTTAGGTGAGTGTATAGTAGTGAAGTACGTGATTCCAGATGCAGCCATTGTATTTTCGGTTAATTAAGTGCATCATACGGGTATTTAAAGTGCACTTTTTCCTTTTGGAATTTTCCGTGTTATCTCAATACACTATTTATCCTACGAAATGGCTTTGGGATATTGCATTTGTATGTGAATCGGGACGCATCTTTAGTTCTAAAAATCATCCTAAATATAAAAGAATAGCAGAGTTCACACCACAACGATAACGCCTCACAGAAACAACATCGCTGGAGTCACTTTCAGAATGATTTTTCCCAGCTGATGAAGGATAAACATATTTACAGTCAATCATAATCCATCTGTCTTTCAGAGCTAGAGCACTTAAAGCTGTAGACGACAAAACTGCTTAGAATAAACAGAACGTGCGTGTGTGTGTGTGTGTGTGGACGATATCGCCATCTTTATAGTTCTCGTTCTTGGTTTGAACGGGCCTTTAACAGACATGAGAGTTTCTGAAAGCTTCATGGTTTATTTGCACTGAAACGGATGATGATTATTCGATTGCTGCTGTTGGTTTGGTTTGACTGTGCTTGCTGTATATATCACAGGATTGATTTTCCACCTGTACTAATGAAACACACTGGTCTGAGGTGCTGAGAGCCTGTCCAACACTGACCTGGAACAGTTTCAGGGATGCATGCTTACAGTCAGCCCAGCGCTCGTGCTTCTACACATTTGTAAATGTCAGCAATATAGCTTGTGTTGTAATGTGATGAACTATTATCAATTTGTGAAGATGTGTTTCAAGTTATAAGCTCTCTTTCTTTTCGAACCCATAGGTCGTTTTAAAAATATATAAATGCATAGAGTGTTTTATTTGCTGTATTAAGGGACCATTTCATTTCTTCCAGTTTCTACAGGAAACTGTTTTAATTCTCTCTTTTGTTATTACAGTTTGTCGTACGGGCAGAATTTCCCGGTTAGCATCAATATCACTTTAATCACTGCGTGAATTTCTTTGAAACATGACACTTTTCACCCCAAAATCAGTGACAGATTGAAATGACCAGAATAGGCATTGCACTTGTCTCTTTTTTCAGCATAAAAGGCACTATAATTATATATTCAAAAATGATGCATACATTATTTTTATGGTTATTTTTTTGCATTACAGTAATGATATTCCTGGCAGGGGACGATGTGCTTTAATGTCATGAAAATGTTACAAAATATTTTTATAGTCATTATTTATTACTGGTTTTGGGGTAAAATGTGACCTGGATTTCTTGAGATTCACCTTAATTATAAATAAAATTAGTAATGCAGATGAAGGCAAAAAAATAAATAAATGGATATGCACTTTGGATGTCCCGAGGTATTATGCAATCTTTCTACATAAGTCAGAAAGCATGTAATATTTCCTTTTTATTATATTCAGTTTTGGATGTATGTTTAAGTGATATTTGATTGTTAATTTTTTTCTACTTTATGCCATTCATCTATAATTAGTTATTTCATTAAGCACTTTGATTATCTGTTATTTCTACTTGCTACTTCTAGATTTTCATTTAACTAAGAATTTTTACTTTTTTTTTAATTATATCTTTTTAATCTGATCCAATTGGGTTAGTTATGTATTTCAAGTTTATTGACACCAATTAAGTAATGGGTTTAAGTTTGACATTTCGTTTTCTGTATATTTGCAAGGTTTCGATATTTATTATGCTCAATCGGGTCTATGTGAAATACTTAAAAAGGGCCAAAATGTGTTTCCTTTCACTTTCTTTTCAGAGCCGGTGACAGATTGCTTTGAGGAAACCTTCTTCACACACAAATGTTGAAGCCTTGCATAATATCAATTTGCTTTGAAAAGAGGATGATTTCAGTGAGGTCATTGAAGCAGCTTTATCGTTTACTCAATGACTTAATTTCCCCATAATCACAGTTTACATGTAACATGAATCTTGTATATTCACTTCCAGTAGTGTTATTGAATTTTTACTACACGATTCTGTGCCATCGGTTCCTTTCCACCAAAATCTTTTTTGCAATGTAAGATTACTTGAATTACTTTTATGACTCAAGAATATTTTCGATCGTTTTGAAGTGAAGTCCCGTGCCTTTGAATGTTGAATCTATGTTAGATGTGGAATGTAAAAAGTGTTGATGAATAGAGCTCATTTTTTGTATAAACCTTACCGTAAGCGCACTTTTAAGATATTTATACCACTACAGACTTAGATAGGCTAGATATGACGTGTCAGACTATTGGTCATGGATGCAACTGAATGCCACTTTATTATTTCCAACGTCTGTTGACAGAAAAAAATCCCTATTTAACATTGAATGACATTTGATTTTGTCCACTTCTGTTATTAGTTTGACAAATATCAAGATCTTTGGAAGACAAATATTGTTGAATGTAAGTTGTGCTCGTGTTGTGCATTGGTTTTAATAAAATTGTTCTTGTGAACTTTGGGCTTTGAACAATATTGCTCATTTTGGTCGCAACTTTAATGTGTTATGGGTGTGAAATAAAGGTTTTATGACCTTTCAGACCTATTTAACAGACTATCACTCGTCTCACTGATGATAATATTAAAGCTTTAATGTGCATACTCGAATGTTTTAAACACTTTAAAAATGTTTTATGATTAATAAGTTATGACAAAATGTTATTACATTGCTTTAACAAAATGTTATAAGTTATAGAATTAACTTATTTTTAAGTCAGTTTAATGTAGCTTAAAAATGTAAGTTGATTTGATGTACTTACAAGCAATTTTTTTTACAGTATAAGCCTACTAAATTTAATTATTTAAATGTTCTGTTGAGATTTCCTTTGATACTTATTTCCTATAATTTTCCCTTTATAACCATGGTTTCTTGGAGCTTATTGCTTTTATAAAATAGTCCATAAAATATATGTATTTTAATATGTATTGCAGTGGCCAAAGTTCACTCCTGTAGTCCTATTACTAATGAGAAACTGTAACGCGCAATATGGCGGAATAAAAGAGCCAATCGCTGATTTGTAAAGTAATTGCGTCACTGACTCGCGCTAACGACTGCACATGTGCTTTGGCTAGTCTAGCCTGAAAAATAGCTTCTTTTTTTTTGCATAAGAAACATGTATGGGACAGTTCATGTCAGATTTTGTTGCTGATTTGAAATGTGAAAGGTACTTTGGTAATACTGATGTAATGAGGTCACAGAGTAGCCTAATTTACAATGGCTTCGAACACGTCTGGTCTCAACAGACAGATATTATTGAAGGTCAACCCCTATTATATAAAAACCATCGGGTAAGCATCAGAAATAGATGATTTTAACATTGCTTCTGTTTGCGGTTAATTTGACCCAGAAAAAAAGAACAAAAAAAAAAAAATGACAACAGGCTATATGGATGGATGTTCTGCTACGGTGTGTATCAGAGCATGAGAAATGTAATTAATCACATATTTAATATCTGATACAGTAAATCAAGTAAGCAATTTTATGGAGGACAAGCGAAGAATCAAACTGCATTCTTGTTAAGGATCATTTCTCATAAGATTAGGAAAAGTCAGCAGTCTGATGCAGTTTGTTTTGACCTTTTAAGACACTTATATGATGGTTCATGTTTTTTAACCATAATTGGTTATTATAAAGTGTTATTAATGATATTTAATGAACATAAAAGCCTGGTTTGACAGACAGGGCTTAGATGAAACCAGGATTATGATTTGTACAGTGTGTGTGTGTGTGTGATGCAGAATGCGGCCTGTGGGTGTCGCTGTTCAGTCACATGAACGGGTTTAACATCATTCCATCAAAATCAATCACTGGAGCAGCAGTACAGCGGGTGAGTGAACTCAAACTCAACTTTAAACAAATACAATTATGTAAACTCTAACAATGACACATCATCTGTTAAATATCCGATGAATTACCCGATTAGTTCGGATTATTGAGATTAAATCAACTCGACAACAATCATCTGAATTGAGACAAACTGATTCAGTCAGTGTGTTTGGTTCACGCGTTTCTTGTGTATCTGTCGTTTGTTTGTTTTATGTTGTAAAGCGATTTAATTCAGAACATTATGAGTTATAGTAAATGTATCAGTAATTGTTTAAAGTCTTGCATGTTTACATACATGTAAACATCAGATCACACACTGTAGGGTAAACCGGGGCTAGTTGTCACACTTTTACTTTAGTGAGAGTTTACTTTTTTTAAAGCCATTTTTGTATATGCACACAGAAAACCCCCCCCATTTTTTTACATTTCCATTTATATTGCCCTTTAATTAATTAATAAATAAATAAAAATATGTAACCGAACAGTGTAACTAGTTGTATCAAGGAATCTAACTTTAAACAGTGTAGCCTATTATAGGATTTTCAGCTAAATTTAGGAAGAAAAGCAAATATGTAACAACAAGTGTAAAAAGTAACATCTGTGAACAAATATTGTCATTAACAAAATGTATAACTTAAGTGTACAACATTTAAAATGCTGAGTTCAAAGTTCAGCATTTCAATTGACTCTGCGTTCCTTAATGACTCTTGTCTGAATGTGCGAGTGTGGATTGATTTATTTATTCAGTTCACTGTCATTTAAAGAGCTCAATAATACTCCATGTGTATTATACTAAAGCATACAAATGTTTGAGATTATAATAGTTTTAGAACTGAATGAATTATTCCATGTGATCTACCCAAATACAGATAATTTTATCAACATAACATTTTACTGCCAAACTTACAAATCTTGTGCTTTAATACAGATCTGAACAAGAGTAAAGATACTCGTGTAAGTTTGTCCATGTGTTTTCTGAAGTTATGACATATTTTGGTATTTGGTTTTTCATTCTCTCTCTCTCTCTCTCTCTCTCTCTCTCTCTCTCTCTCTCTCTCTCTCTCTCTCTCTCTCTCTCTCTCTCTCTCTCTCTCTCTCTCTCTCTCTCTCTCTCTCTCTCTCTCTCTCTCTCTCTCTCTCTCTCTCTCTCTCTCATTCCTCTAATCTCTATCTCTACTAATTTGTTACTTTTATGAGAATTTATGAGTTTTTGAGTGGGTATATGTGTAGCTACTTATGTACATTTGAGAAAATAGATGTTTATGAGGAATGTCTAAACAGTGTGTAATTATAAATAAAGGTGTGTTAAAGGTCTCTCTCTCTCTCTCTCTCTCTCTCTCTCTCTCTCTCTCTCTCTCTCTCTCTCTCTCTCTCTCTCTCTCTCTCTCTCTCTCTCTCTCTCTCTTGTGTTGTTTGTGATGTAGAGGTTGTTTTATGAACTGTTATGAACACTGCATTTATATATAGAGCTACAGTGAACATGTTTTATATCAGTATGATCTGGATTTCCTATATGCATTTATGAAATCACCTTGCTTTCCCAGATTTCATTAACCATGAGAACCAACCTGAGTGTCAGAGTGTTTTCAGGAGAACAGTGTTATTTTTCTTCTTTAAAAAAACAAAACAAAACAAAAAAATATTAAACCTGAGAATTTTGCATAACCTGAGAAATATGCATAATTCCCTTAAAATGATATTGTTTTTGCGGATCCGTGTGAACGGATGACAACGTTGTCGTCTGTACGCAAAACTTTTCAAAAACGCAAAGGAAAAACGTTTCCATTCTAGTACATCATTTTTATGTAAATGTACCCTAGACCATTAAATATCATAATGAATTTTAACAATATTGTTTGCATTTTTAGGGCCCGATGGTGTGAAGACCCCATTGGAATTGCTCTGTTAATTTTATATTGTATTTAGGAGAATATTATATCATTTTTACGAGAATTAAACCCATTTGCCATAAAAATAAAGTATTCTCATTATCCTAATGTGTAAAACGGTGAGAACAGAGTGAGATTTTTGCATGTCATGGATCATTTGTTAGGCTGTTTTTATTCAGGAAGATCTTAAGATGAAATGATTTAAATCTCCTTAAAGTTGAAGATATTTCTGATCCGTGGAATAGCAAAAAAAAAAGTAGAATATGTGAACGTGCAAAACTCTTGCAATGAGCAATAATAAAAATAGTGATAGTTTCATCTTTTGGGCTGGTCTTTTGAGATGTAGTCAGGCCTGATTTATATGAACCTCCCATACAGGACTGAGAGATCTACTCTCCTCTGTAAGCGCTGAATCCTGTTGTCTTATATCCCATCCTGTAGGTCAAATGGCGAAACCGTACAAGTTCAACTGGCAAAGGTCCGTTCCTCATTTCATGCAGGAAGGGGCATATTTTGACAGATTTGATGAGGTATGAATATTTCTCAGATTCATTGTCTTTGTTGTTGCTGAAAAATGTATTTGTGTTAAATCATGAAATCTAGTTTTAGAAGAGGAAGGAACTAAATCCAAGAATATATAATCATGCATTTATATATATATATTGCATGTATTATATATGATATATATATGCATGATATATAATTTTCTTTAAAATTGTAAAAAAAAAAAAATCAAATTTTTAGACCATTAGGGACCATAATGATTGTAAGCAGCAATGTGTCATTTATTTCAAGTTCTTATGGTTTTAGTATAACTATAATAACCCTGTGTTTTACTGCCTTATTGTTTTGCTGATTGGAAAAAAAGGTCATTATATTTCATTGTTTTAATGGTAATGCACTAAAAAGTTTTAAAAACTACAATTTTAAATCTCCTCGATGCATTTCAGTAATGAGAATTTGTTCGGGAAAGTGTGCTTAATAATTAAACCGCTCTTCATTTGTCTGGTACCCGGATTCATTTAAAGGGGTCATATAATGCCATTTTTGTACACGCTAATGTGATTCTTTAGAGTCTAAATTAAAACTTTGTAATATACTTTAATTAAAAATTCTCATTAGTATTGTAAGAAAACACTTATTTTACCTGGTCAAAAACAGCTCTGTTTTCAGCACGCCGTTTCAGTGCATATGACTTTAAATGATCATGAGCTTTGCTCACCCCGCCTCTCTGTTCTGTGCATACACGTTTGTAACACAATACCATAACGCGTTGTTCAGTATAAACGTGGGATTATGAATTATATTGAGAACGTCGTACATAGAAAACATGCCGTAATGTACCCTGAGTGTAAACCTTAGACGCATTCATTGTGAAGCGTGCAGCTAGCGATTTGCAAAGATTAATATAAATATTAAAGATTAATAAAACGATACACTCACTTCAGTTATTTTGGAGGTTCAGCAGGAACACGAATAGTTGGTACTTCTTAGCAAAACCAGCTTTATACTGACCCTCCTCGTTTATAAGCAGTCTGGTGTGTGAAATGATTCGCGCAAATATGAGAGCATTGACGTTGCTCGTGGGGAATATTCCCTTCGAAAACAAACTCAGCCACTGCGTCTTCAGCGGTTCGGATTTAGGAACATTAAAATGACTGTGTTCGTTATTACACCCAAGAACAGAACACCACAATCGCTTAGACACCATTCTGCTCATAGACAGTGCTCCAGCATATCAACAATGACCGCGCCGGTCCGGTCCGCGCCGCACAGACTATGATTGACAGCTCTCACGAGCGAGGGCGGGTCTGTGTTGAAACCCGGCTGTCAATCAACAATCGTGGGAGGGGCGTCCGTTTTATTGACGTCACAAAAACGAACGGCTCAATTTGAGGCAGGGGAAAACATATAAGGAGATTAAAACAAAAACACTGGATGGATTTGTATCATGTTATGATGGTTGTGTACAGGCACTGCCAACACACATTTCAGTACAATCAACTTGAAAAAGTGCATGCACCATTATATGACCCCTTTAAGATGCTAAACAAAACAGAAAAGCTGCTCTAAATATACCATGTTTTATGTAATGTTTGAAGTAATGTCGTCATTGATGCTTATGGACGCTGGTGACTTTAATCGCAGAGGATATTGTGAACATCTGTGTTCTCAAAGACATGCGTCCCCTGGGAACATCCGCTCGGGCTGGAGAAGTTTATCTTGGAATAAATGTTTTCTGGAAGGATGTATTCTCATGAACGACGTGTCAGAGACGGGATCTGAGCTGTGAAACCAGCGCACAGATTTCCCATGAGGCTTTCAGAGCACTTGGAGGTCTCTCCCTCTCTATTGATATGAGATGAAATTCAGCTTTATTTGTTTGTTATCATTATATCTTTGCCATTATCTCTTGAATACTTAAATTTATTCTGTTGATATTATGAAGGTGGTTTATTTTACTATGTTTATTTCTTCCCAAGAAGCAACAAGGAGTTTCTTTCTATCTTTCTAATGTGCAGTTTCTCATAGAGTGATCCTTAATATGAGCTTGTTTATACATTTATAAAACAAGATCATAAAGTGCTATAAATATTAGTTGCATGCGCATCAGGGTCTATTAAACTAGTAAAATGATAACAAACGTGCTTGAAATGAAGCTCAATCTCAGCTGACCCAGAACAGTGTTTATGCTTCTGCTTTATTTCTGTTTTGCAGGATCCGTTTGTCTTTGAATCAAACTGTTTTTTCAAAGCGGATGCTTTCGGATTCTTCCTGACGTGGAAAAGTGAAGGAAAGGTACAACTTGTGTGAGAACGTAATGCATACTATACTATATATAGTTTGTGGTCGTCTATGGCTGCGTTCCAATTCATGTGCTATACTTTAAAAGTATGTACTTCACTGGTGATGTGAAAGCGTCATATAGTGTTGAGAGAAAAAAACACACGGATAAGTCACATTTTACTATTACTGTACATTCAGAAATCATGTAAAATATGTTTACAAACATTATAAACTAGGGCTGTCAAATGATTAATCGTGATTAATCACATCCAAAATAAAAGTTTTTTTTACATAATATATGTGGGTGCACTGTGTATAATTATTTTATATATATAAATACACACACATGCTTGTATATATTTAAGAAATATTTTCATGTATATACTGTATATAGATTTATATATAATTTGTATTATATATAAATATAAATATTTTATATATAAATAATATTTTTTTCTTAAATATACATGCATGTGTGTATATTTATATATATACAAAATAATTATACACAGTGCACCCACATATATTATGTAAAAAAAACTTTTATTTTGGATGTGATTAATCACGATTAATCATTTGACAGCCCTATTATAAACATGTGTTTTAGTTCACCTCACTTCACAACAAATAATTTCAGTTGAGCAGTATTCAGAACAGAACAGGAATAAAAAATATAAAAAGTATAAAACAAACACAAATTATAGTGCCATTCATTATAAACAGGGTTTGAAATTAACTTTTTCACTCACCGGCCAATTTGGCTTCTACATTTTTAAGTTCTAGCTTTTACTACTTTTTAACTTTTACTAGCCAGAAAAAAGAAATGAACCAGATTAACTGGGTCACAGCTTATACTGTATATATATATATATATATATAAAATAAAATTGGGATTTCATCCATTCATTTCTTATTCAATAAAATCCTGTCATCCAGCATCTCCTCCTTTCATCTTCATCCTCCTCCTTTTCACCAAAACTGTGTTTTAGGAGGACAGATCAATACAGTACACAGAACATGTAGGATGTTGGAAAATAGCAATGTCTTTTCTGTTAACCAAACGCTTTTTAATCTTCGCTATTGCTTCAATGCATATGAACAAGCGTGCCGTTATTTGTTGCGTAGTGACGTGTGTGTTCAAGTAAGCCAGATATGAGCAGATTCTGCGCAATATGCTGTATTTAATATATCATGATAAATCATGGGTTGAGTATTTGCTCTAAATCTGCACAGATTTGGCTTACACGAACTTTTCCAGCAAAGTGAGTAAACATAATAAGTAACACACCAAATTGGCTCGTGATTTGACACGTTTCCCGATACAGTTGATTCTTACCCGCATTTGGCGGCTGTTCATTCATCAAACCCGGTTTACATTAATAATTATTACTAGTGAATAATTTAACAGTTGATTCTTACCTGCATTTGGCGGCTGTTCATTTCAAACCCTAATTATAAACATTTATTATAAACATACACACGTTTGAGTATATAGTATGACACTATAATTTCATGTCAACAATAATTTTAGAATTTTTGATCATCAAAATGTTATTTTTTCCCGTAAATATAATTTCTCTATACCTTCAAATAGCTTGAATTTAACTCTGCGCCCTTGCTTCATGTAGTATAAGCGGACATGAATATGCAAATTAGCCCCGCCTCCCACACATCGGATTATCTGATCCACTCGGTCATGTGACCGCCACGACACATGCGTGTGATGCTGACGCAGGAGCTGGCCAATAGAGAGGCTGCGTTCTGACGAAGAACCTGGAAAAGCTGCGCTGTGTTTACTACGTCAACAGCGTCGGAGACTGACGTGGAAGAGAAGAAATTGTTGAATAAAGTCGTTTTTTTTTTCACAAAAAGTATTCTCGTCGCTTCATAACATTAAGGTTGAGCCACTGGAGTCATATGGACTATTTTAACGATGTCTTTACTACCTTTCTGGGCCTTCAAAGTTGCAATGACGTAGCTGTCAATGGGTTCTAGCTGTCAGAAAGCTCTCAGATCTCATCAAAAATATCTCAATTTGTGCTCTGAACGAAGGTCTGACGGGTTTGGAACGAAATGAGGGCGAGTGATTACTGACAGAATTTTCATTTTTGGGTGAACTATCCCTTTAAGCCAAAAGCGCTGGCGAACGGACCGAGGGGAACCCACTCCAAGACATCCCCAGCCCCCCTCCACCCCGAACGGACTGACCTACGAGTGTTTAATCCGTCTCTTTTCTCCACTTTCAACCACTTCTGTCCTGATTTCTTCAAGGGAGGGTCCAATGGACGGGTAAATGTATGGCTTTTTTTAGATCTTTCGATCTAAAGGACAAAATAAGCTTCAGCAATTTACATATAAGACGTAAAAACACACGGAGAGCATCAGCTTTCATTTCTTCTCTGACGCCGCAAGACCAGCCGAACGCTGAGTGTGTGTTAGAAATCAGGAATGAACATTGAGCTTTATGTTTTTCATCGTCAAAACAAACTTGGGTCTTCAGCTGATAGTTTAAATCCCGTCTGGCTAGCGCGCTTCCCATCATGATGTTTAAGCATTAGGTCAGTAGACGGAGAGTAGACGGTCTTTTGTGGCTAAAAACGTGCTTTTGACCTCTGGAAGTGTTTGAAAGTGGACAAGCTCAAAACATTTTAGACCCCGTTTACACCTGTATTTAGAGTCATCCACTTGTGATCCGATTGACCAAACCGCATCTTAACACCAGGTGTAAACGGGGCCTGACCTCCAGTTTTAAGGAGAAAATACTCTGCAATAGTGTTGACTCATGAATCTGCACATGGTTTGTCTTAAAGCACATTAAAAACACCACACACATAATCAACATTAAAAACATGAATTTCACCACAGGTTTTTTTTTATGCATTAATTTTTAGGCTCGTAACTCTTCATCTGTGGTGCAAAAAAATACATGCCTTATCATAATTTTGATTTGTTTCATGTCTTTTTCATATAGGAGGGTCAAGTATTAGAGTTTTCCCTGATCAACAGCATACGTGATATCAGTGTACCAAAGGTAAAACCAATAAATTCAACATGAAACCCTATTTGCTTTCTTAAATCTCTTTGGCATTAATACAATTAAGTGCTACTCTGTTTTTTTCCCATTAAAAATCTTGTTTCATTCATCAAGCAGATGTTCTTAAATAAATTCATTTTTCAACAAAACTGACAGCTCTTTAATGACCATTATAAATGTACATTTTGATGTGGTTTGAGTCGTTATGATGATGGACTGCTGTGTTGGTGTTCTAGTGCTCTGTTTCACACACTCGTCTCCCGAACTCTCCGCAGGACCCAAAGATTGTCTCTGCGCTGGAGGCCACGGGGAAGAGCGAACCTAACCTGGAGGGCAGGATCATCTGCATATGCAGCGGCACAGACCTGGTGAACCTGAGCTTCATGTACATGGTCACGCAAAACACCAGCGCTGCCAAGGTAACGCTCGCTGTGAGCGGGCCAGGGTTATTACAGGTTACGAAAACTACAGGTCACACTTTATTTAAAGGTGTTGTAGTCACACGTTACTAACATGTACTTACTATAGTATTAACAGGAAATGCATACTTACAAGTAACTAATCCTTAACCAACCCCTAACCATAACTCTATAGTAAGTACATGTAAGTACACTTATTTGAGTAAGTTCAGTGTAATTACGTCACCTTAAAATAAAGGGCTTATTTTATTTCAGCTAGTTTTTTAAGGCAACATCTCTAATTGTCATTTAGTTTAACTTGATGTACTAAAATAACTAAAACTAAAGAAATCATAAAAACTACATGATTTATAAAAAAAAAATTACAATTAAAGTGAAAATATAAAATATTTATAAAAAAATCTTCTTTTTTTAAATATTTAAAAATTATTAATAAAAACTATAATAGGTTCTCAATGATACTAAAAAACACTGGGTACAAAGAGTAATGTGGGAAAACATATATATGCACAGTAATAAAAGATTATGGACTAAAAAGTTATTTTGAATTGATCTGTTAAAGAGGTTTTCATGCACTGATTTTTACATTTGATCACATAATGTGTTTTCCTTGACTTCCACTCACTGCGTCAACACCTTCAGATATCAAAATAATGTGAAACATTTTTATTATAAATATTAACAAATCTAGCATGAACTATGATAATTTGAATTTACATTTACTCATTTAGTCGACACTTTTATGTAAAGCGACTTTAAAATACAAGATTGTTGCAAACTATTTGCTAACAGTCTTACACGCACATATATATGAAATATTATGGATTAACCGTCTAAACAGTCTTACACACACACACACACACACATATATATATATATATATATATATATTAGGGCTGTCAAACGATTAATCGCGATTAATCACATCCAAAATAAAAGTTTGTGTTTACATAATATATGTGTGTGTACTGTGTATAATTATTTTTAATACATAAATACCCACATATGCATGTGTATTTAAGAAATATTTGCATGTATATACTGTATATAGACTGAATGTAGCCTATATATAATGTATATTTTATATAAATATAAACATTTTATATATATAAATAACATATTTTTCTTAAATATATACATGTGTGCATTTATATACAAAATAATTATACACAGTACACACACATATATTATGTAAACACAAACTTTTATTTTGGATGCGATTAATCGTTTGACAGCCCTAATATATATATATATTAGGGCTGTCAGTTAAACGCGTTATTAACGGCGTTAATTTTTTTATCGCGCGATTAACGGTCTTTTTGGCCTAGAAAACTACTTAACTACTATTTTTTTTCACATGCTTTTGCAACAGGACACGGCATGCACTATGAAACCCATTCATTTCAATGGCTTGCGCCGCGCGAGGACGTTTTGTTGCTTCGTCGACCAAAGCGCAAGCGGATCTAGCTAGACCGGAAACAACAACAGGCACGCCGCACACACTCGTTTGGGCTTGCGAGCCGGCCAAATAGTAGGTTAACGTTACGTTTTGAGTGGATGACGAGCGCGAGACGCCGAAATGGATGCCAATAAGATTCTTAATGGAAAGTTTACTTTTAAAAAGTTGCCAAATGGTTCCATTGACAAGACCAAAGTGATCTGTGTGTTTTGTCGTTGTGAACTGAGCTATCATCATCGCAGCACGTCCAGTCTGAAATACCACTTGATGATGTCCAAGCACACACACACACACACACACACAGCTGATGCGAATTCTCCGCCCCCTCGTCAATATCAGGACCTCGTCAGTATTTCTTTCACCCTTTTATTGATGGACAGTGTTACATTGTGTGAGAGATTATTTGCTCCAAGTGAGAATCTTAGTGTGAAATTGAACACAGTTTATGTTGCTTTCAATAAAAAAAAACATTTGCACAAAGCAAGCCGATCCACTTTTCCATGTTGATAAGAACATTAAAATATGAAAAAAAATAATGGGACAAAAAGAAATCAAGAGACATTTAGAATAGATAAAAATGTGCGATTAATCGCGAGTTAACTGTGACATTAATGCGATTAAATATTTTAATCGTTTGACAGCACTAATATATATATATATATGAATGTTTTACATTATATTTCTACATATAAAAATCTGTTAAATGATATATAGAAAATGTGACCAAAGATTGAACCTGTCCCTAAAGGATTTGATCTGAAGGAAGGTCATCAAACTCACATCTAATTCCATCTCCTGACATCTGCCCGTCACTGCCGCCACCACTGCTGGTCTATCGACTCCTCTCGAGGGTCCGCTCGTGACCCCAGGGATGTGTGCACTTGTGTTGAACTAGCAGCTGCTGTTTCGGGACTCAGTTGGTCTCGGCTTCATGTTTTGTCTGAAACATGTGCTTGATTCATTATTAGATTTCAAGAGTGTTTGCATTAGGAGAGCATTAGAAAGTGACATCCTTTATCTCCTGGAATCTGGTGTAAAAATAGCACACTCATAAAACGCTAAGAGAGAAAAACATGTTTACTAAACATAATCTTCCATTCATTCATTCATTCATGCAACCTTTTAGGCTTAATAATTGTATGTGTTTTCCCCAGTGCATTATTAAAGGGTTAGTTTACCCAAAAATCAACAATTCTTCCATTGCTTACTCATTTACCCTAATATCACTCTATCTTTTTCCAATACAATCAAAGCAGCATGCAGGATCTGTCAAGCTCTAAAAAGCAACAAAGCATGGAAACTAAACAAAATAGCATCATAAAAACATAATGACACTTAAGCATATGAATGAGAAGAATATACAACAGGGGTCATGGGTTTGATTCCCAGGAAATGTATTATCTGATCAAATATATACTTAGCAATGCAAGTCGTAAATGCATAAATTGAAATGTAATGCATTCCACAGAATGAAGGAAGAAATATGGGTTTGAGAGATCATGAAATTTGATCAGTTTTTGTGGTGACACTTTACAATAAGGTTCCATTAGTTAATGCATTAGTTAACATGAACTAACCATGAACAACATCTCTGTTCAGCATTAGTTAATAACGTCTCCGGTTACTTTCGTAACCTCGGTTCCCTGAAAGGCAAGGAACGAGACATTACGGATGTCGTATATGGAACTCCTCTCCTCCTTCACTTCCGCTGAAATCTTATAGGCTAACGCCAGCAGAGCTGGCCAATTGACGCAAATATGCAAATACTGAACATGCAGTATAAATACAAATGCAGCGTCAATCCTTCTTTAGAATCGAACGAACGCTAAATCAATAGCGAACACGGCGGCGAGCGTAATGTCTCGTTCCTTGCCTTTCAGGGAACCGAGGTTACGAAAGTAACCGGAGACGTTCCCTATCAAGGCTACGGAACTTCGACATTACGGATGTCGTATATGGGAACTGTATAAAATCCCGCCGTGGCAGCATAAACAAACCACAGGCAACAGACCCAACATAAGACCGCCCCCCAGTATACAAGCCTCCGATAGGCTGAGATTGGCCAATAGCGAACCTCTAACCTCTGATAGGCCCAAAGGGACCACTCACAAGCTCGCAAAACACTGCCAGAATTTGCATATCCCGAGCAGTATAACCGGGGAAGTTTGCACTAACTATCAGTCAGGGCAACGACAACAGTAAGAAGGCCAACGCAAGCGGTGACACAGTAAAACACAACCCACAGAGCAGCTCATGAGCGCAGCGCAGAGAAGCTCTCATATACTGTGCAAAAAAATCAACTCACCGAAAGTACACGAGACGCTACAGAGGGCAAGTCCAGCTTATAAAATCTGGCAAACATGTTCTGAAAAGACCAGCCAGCCGCAAGACATAAATCCTGAATGGACATACCCTTAGTCCAAGCCCACGAAGAAGCCACCGCCCTAGTCGAATGAGCTTTGACATTAAGGGGGCATTCCTGCCCCTGGCAAACATAAGCCAAAACAATAGCGTCCACGATCCAGTGAGCAAGCCTCTGCTTAGAGACCCCCCGTCCCTTGTTGCACCCACCAAAGCACACAAACAGCTGGTCCGATTGTCGAAAAGCGGCCGAGCGAGAAATGTATTCCCGGAGCGCTCTGACTGGGCAAATAGCACTCTGAGCATCCGAACCCAGGGAGGACGATGGCTCAGCAGACAGTGCAGGCAGAGAAACGATCTGCGCTCTGAACGGGGTATTGAGCGACTTAGGGACATAGCCCGGCCTCGGCCTGAGAGTTACATTACAGTTTCCCGGTCCAAAGCGAATACAGTCATCACTCACAGAGAAAGCCTGTAAATCCCCAACTCGCTTCGCCGAAGCAAGAGCGAGAAGCAGTGCCGTTTTGACCGAAAGCTCCTTAATAGCGATAGAAGCTAAAGGCTCAAAGGGCGGGCGCGACAGAGCCTCCAAGACCAATGCTAAATCCCACGGCGGCACCGAAGGCGGACGCGCAGGGCATAATCTCCTTGCCCCTTTGAGGAACCGTGTCACCGACACATGTCTACCGATAGACTGTCCGTCAACAGGGGGGTGGAACGCCGCAATAGCAGCCACATACACCTTCAGAGTGGATGGCAGGCTCCCTTCATCCATCTTGTGCTGCAGGAAGCGTAAAATAACCGACACAGAGCAGTTCGCTGGGTCTGTACCGCCATCCTGGCACCATTTAGAGAAAACACCCCACTTCAGAGCGTATAGGCGCCTGGTGGACGGGGCTCGCGCTTCCTCGACGGTATCCAAAGCACGCGAGAGAAGCGCATCTCGCCCGCTCAGCGACCCTGCAGCGGCCACACATAAAGATTCCACAGTCCGGGGCTGTGATGCCAGATCGTTCCGCTCGCCTGAGATAACAGATCCTTCCTGAGCGGAATCTCCCATGGCTGCCCCGCCAGTAACTCCACCAGATCCGCGAACCATGGCTCATTCGGCCAGTTCGGGGCTATTAGAGTCACCGCCGCCCTCTCCTCCCTGATTTTGCACAACACCATAGGCAAAATCTTCACCGGAGGAAAAGCATAGAGACGGGCTTTCGGCCAACGCGCAGCTAGCGCGTCCACCTCCTGAGAGGAACGGGACAGCGAGAAGAACGTCCGACAGTGCGTGTTCTCGCTCGTCGCAAAGAGGTCGACCTCCGCCCTGCCGAAACGATTCCATACCAGCTGAACCGTCCCAGGGTGAAGCCTCCATTCCCCTTGAGGAATTCCGCTCCTCGAGAGCATGTCCGCCCCGCGATTTAGAACACCGGGGATGTGAGCCGCTCTCACCGAGAGGAAAAACTGGTCCGCCCACAGCAGAAGGGATTCCGCCTGCTTGAAAAGAGCTTTGGAATGTACACCACCTTGACGATTTATGTACGAGACCACTGAAGTGTTGTCGGTTCGAATCAACACATGTTTCTGCTCCAGCCGCGACCGGAAGGTTTTTAGGGCTAGAGAGACCGCTCTCAGTTCCAGGCGATTTATGTGCCATCCCATCTGCTTCTCTAACCACTGACCCGAGGCGGGCTTCCCCAAGCAGACCGCTCCCCATCCCTCCGTTCTTCCACGGGGCCAGGGCGCGGGCGCATCCGCGGGTGACCATAATGCGCTCGTGGCCGGAATACCACGCACTCGGGGGGACGCGTGCTTTCAGCCAGAGCTGAAGCGGTCTCAAATGCAGCAGCCCCAGATGACACACTGATGAAGCCACTGCCATTCGACCCAGTAGCCTCTGAAATTCTTTCAGTGGGACGAGCCTGCCAGGTCTGAAGAGACCGAGAGAAGAGCTCAGGGCCTCCGCCCGCTCGGGGGAGAGGCGCGCTCTCATCCTCACCGAGTCTAAGCATACTCCTAAGAATGAGGACGTCTGACTCGGTGTGAGCACACTTTTTCTGGGCGTTCACCTTCAAACCGAGCACCTCCAGGTGCCGAAGGAGGGTATCCACCTGGCTGACCAGCGCTTCTTTCGACTGCGCGAGAACCAGCCAGTCGTCCAGATAGTTCAAGACACGCATCCCGCTCGATCTGAGGGGTGAGAGTGCCGCGTCCACGCATTTCGAAAAAGTACGGGGGGCGAGGGCTAGTCCGAACGGGAGTACCGTATACTGGAACACTGAATTCTCGAATGCGAATCTCAGGAATCGTCTGTGACGCTTTACAATCTGAATATGAAAGTACGCGTCCTTTAAATCCACCGAAGCGAACCAATCTCCGGGGCGAATTTGCGCCAGGATTTGTTTCAGTGTAGTCATCCTGAATGCGCGCTTGTGAAGCGCTCTGTTGACGGGTCTCAGATCCAGACTGGGGCGGAGACCCCCTCCCTTCTTCGGCACTACGAAATAGCGGCTGTAGAACCCGCTTTCCCACTCGCTGGGGGGAACCGGCTCTATCGCTTTTTTTCTCGAGCAGGCTGCACACTTCCTGCCTCAGGACATGAGCGTTTTGGGGCAAAGTTAACGACTGAATTACGCCGCGGAAGCGGGGTGGTCTGCGTTTGAACTGAAGTGTGTACCCGTGCCGAATTATATTTAGGACCCACGGTGAAATGTCCGGAATAGCCTCCCACGCTGCCTGAAAGTGACTCAGTGTGGGCTGATCTAAACCTGCGGTCATCGCCGCTGTGTGTGGGCTGTGAATGAACACCTCGCGGCCGCGAGGTGCCCTTATAGTTAACAACCGTGACTCTGCGCTGCTCGTTGGCAGGGCGGGTAACACGGTGTGTGGTGCAGGACGGGAAAAAAACTCTGTTTGTGAACAAGTATTTTGTTTTATTGAACACACACATGCAACAGCATTTACAAAACAATCGCACACGTCGCTCGTGAAACGCCGAGGGACTAGGTGCTGAAGAGCGCGGCGCTTTGGAGCAGGGCCGGCCTGGCGCTCTCTTCCCCTCTTGCCCGGGCGGTCAGGACGACTTCTTGGGTCTCGCTGGAGACGCAACGACCTTCCTGCGCGGGCTTCTCTGGGCCGTCCGCTTCTTCCCCGCACCCTGCCACTGGTTGCTCCGCCCTCTGTGAGCATCCGGCTCCTGGCGAGGTGCTGACTGCCGTCTCGCCGCCGCTTGAGGTTGGCGGCCCGAGGCGGATGACGAGCGAGAGCGAAGCTGCGGTGGAGGCGGCGGCGCCCTCCGAGGGATGACGTGACTCATCGCCTTTGCCTTCTTCTGGGTCTCAGAGTAGCTCTCGGTGACCTTTTCGACGGCATCTCCGAACAGGCCTGCTGGGGAGATCTGTGCGTTCAGCAGCGTCTTTCTGTCCGCCTCCTGAACGTCGGAAAGGGTGAGCCACAGGTGTCTGTGGAGGACCACCATGAACCCCATCGAACGGCCTACCGCCTGGGCGAAGCGCTTCGTGGCCAAGAGCGCGAGGTCCGTGGCTGAACGAAGGTCCCGGATGGCGTCAGCGTCGACCGAGGCGGCGCCATCCAGAGACTTCAACAGCTTCGCCTGCATCACCTGGAGCACGGCCATGGCGTGCAGTGCAGACACCGCCTCCCCCGCCGCTCTATAGGCCTTGTTCGCCTGGTGGGCCGTGAATCTGCAGGCTCTGGACGGCAGGCTGCGGTCCGAGCCTAGGGCGGGAGCCGATGGGCAGAGATGCGCGGCTACGGTCTCCTCGACGGGGGGGATTCGGAGGTAGCCGTGGTCCCCCGCCTCGTCCACGGGGGCAAACATGGCCTGGGTGGAAGTGAGGGTGCGCGCCGATTGCGGGGCCGCCCACGACTTCACGACGTGCTCATGAACGTCAGGAAAGAACGGGGTTCCTCTCCTCGAAGCGGCCTGGCGGTGGCTCGACTGAAGGAACCACGTGTCTAGCTTGCTCTTGGACGGTTCATCCGGGGCCTTCCAAGAGAGGTCCAGCTCCTCGACGGCCTTGGAGAGGATGCGAAAAAGCTCGTCCTGCAGGTCCGCCGGGGTGTCCTGTTCCGAAGCCGTTAAGTCCGGGGCGGTCTGTTCCGCGCCCCAGTCGGTCTCGGAGGCAGACAGAGACATGGAGTCTTCCTCCTCGCTAACCCCGAAAGACACGAAGTCCGCGACCTCGCGAGGGGGGCGAAAGGTGGCATCGGGGAAACTCACCGGAGGCCGTATCTCGACTCCGCGGTTGCGCGAGCCTCATCCCGCCTGGCCTTGAGAGCTCGAAGGGACATGTCCGCGCAGTGCTCGCACGACCCGCCATCCTTGAGGGCCGACTCAGCATGGGCCAGCCCCATGCACGCGATACAGAACAGGTGCGTGTCCGGGGGCACGATGGGGCCCGAGCACAAGTTGCAGATAGTCGCCATCGGATGCAGAAGACAGTAAACGTATCTTCGGCGCACCTTCGACGACGGCGTGAAAAATCCTTAAGTTTTGTTGTAGTATCAGCTATCTAGCACACGATTTGAGCGTGAAGAGAGAGATTCTAAAGAAGGATTGACGCTGCATTTGTATTTATACTGCATGTTCAGTATTTGCATATTTGCGTCAATTGGCCAGCTCTGCTGGCGTTAGCCTATAAGATTTCAGCGGAAGTGAAGGAGGAGAGGAGTTCCATATACGACATCCGTAATGTCGAAGTTCCGTAGCCTTGATAGGGAACTAATATTTGTTAACGTTAACTCACACATGAATCAATTCACATTAACAGCACGGTTAGTTAACATGAAATGAGTGTATAGAAGTGCCAATAATTGTGGGACACATGATTTCAAGTTTTTTTTTTACGACCAAAGTAATATACTTGAATAAAAGGTTGGATTTTTCTCTTTTTTTGCATTTGGGTTCTATGTTGTTTTAAAAAAAAAAGGAGAATTTTTAGAAGTCCTCGACCACATCTTAAACGGGTGCCAATAATTGTGGAGGGCACTGTATATATATATATATATAAGGCATTGATTTGTTGGTAAACATAACATTAATAAATGCTTTATTATTGGTAATTAATGTTAATAAAGAGTCTACAAATGTTATTAACACATCAGTTAATGTTGAAATAGTGTACAATTTTCACTCAATCCATTAATAAATACTTAATTGAATGCAAGTAATGATAGTAAAGTGCGTATAATCATGAACAACAATTGTTTTCCGCTGTAGAATTATGTTTACCAACAAATCAATGCCTTATATATATGAAAGTGTGTTGATAAGGTACACAACAGTATTTTTACATTTAGGATAACATGGTGAGTTAGAAATGTTCATACTTGGTGTGTGTCAACTGCTACGTAAATTAATGTAAATATGTACAGTAAGTTAACCTTACAAAACAGTAAAGCTATTTACAGGCACTGTTCATGGTTAGTTCATGTTAATTAATGCATAATGTTAACTAACCGTGCTGTTAATGTGAATTGATTCATGTGTGAGTTAACGTTAACAAATATTAACTAATGCTGAACAGAGATGTTGTTCATGGTTAGTTCATGTTAACTAATGCATTAACTAATGGAACCTTATTGTAAAGTGTTACCGTTTTGGCTTTCCTTTTGAATCGAAGCCATGACCTTAATGTTGCTAGTGTCATGCTCTACTGTTTGAGCAATACATCTGATGTGTCCTTCTGAGAAACTAAAATCTGAATCGATAAATCTATCGTCATGTTAGCTCAGTTGAACCGTGCATTTGTTTGGTTTCATATTTTTGTTTGTCTCAATCATTTTGGCCATGAATAGACTGTAAACTCAGTGACATTTGAAGTTTTCCCCTTGTTTGCTTGCGCATGTTTGCAGAAATGGACAGACGGCTTGCGGTCACTGATTCAGAACTCTCGAGCGAATAACGTGTGTCCGATGACCTGCCTGAGAAAGCAGTGAGTGCCACCAGCTAATACATCACAGCTAACACAAGCCGCTCGAGCAGTTTCAGCTAATGCACTGTGTCAAGTCATTTTAAAGATTTTATGAAGTATTCAAGGAAGCGTCCAGCATCCATATTTCAGTCTAATTACTTATATAAGCTAATTACCCAGAAAAACATTATTTGAAGAAAAACTTATTTAAAGGTGCATTGCGCAACTTTTCATGTTAAAAATACCTGTTTTTCTATCCTATACATGCTTAAAGAACTGCCTGATGGGCTGAATGAGCCCTTCTCTGCGCACTGAGATTGCCTCTATAATCCTGTACAGTAAAATATATAAGAGGGATTCGGGCTCGAATTTGAGACTGGGCGTGACGTCATGCGCGTTCACGCTCACCAGGCTATGTCTCGCAGGTTTGTGTATTCGCCGGCGCCGCCATTCTCCGCATCAGCGAAGACAACTCGTGCGTCAAAGGTAAAAGATGGATTCAAAGAGACCGGCTTGTAGTCCATTCCTAACCCCAACGCAAACTCCACGTAAAGTAAAGAAAATAAAAATTTTGTCTAGTGCCACCAAAAGGGCCAAATTGGAGTCAGACAGGCGTCGGAGTAAGACGAGAGTCAACCTCGGGAAGGCATTCAACAAATGGAGAGATCTCCGGTCTGCTCTTGGTCTCAAACGGGATCCTCAGTTGGCTTTTTTTCTTGATAAAACGGTAAGATATAGCCCAGTCTCTAATGTTTGATACGGCCAATCTATGTATGACAACAAATGACGATGCGTAAAATGTGTAATGCTTTAGCGTAAGCTAGATACATGTACAATCAGAATTGGTTTTACTACCATTGACAGTTTCATAAACTAGGAATTGTGTTCGGAAGAATAGTACAACATGAAACATAAAACATATCCAATAAAAGATGAGCGTGCACAACTCTGGTTGCAGTTTCGCTTGTCGCCAGAGGGGGCGTAGTTCTGCAAAAACTCAGAGACTTGCGTTTTGCACCTTTAAAGTATATTCTTGGTTGAAGTCAATGTGCTGAGAAATACCACTGATAAATAATTTTCTCTGATCCCTCAGTTTGTATTAACAAGCAGAAGTCGTGTTTACAGTAATGCACTTAAAATGAAAGTCTATGAGGCAAGACGTTAAAGATGGTTTCAAAGCAGAAATATGAAGCATCCATTAATTCCACAGGAAAATACCAAATACATGTTATTTACGGCGTTATTTTAGGTGCGAATACTGTTGTGACGATCTAGAAGATTTTTATAATGTCTTGTCACTTTCATGTTCATGTTTGTCCTTTGTCTGTGTTTGGATTTATGTTCTGCAGTTGGATGCGGTTGTCATTTTTGAGCAACGTGAATGGAAAAATCCCTGTCAGGAGGTACTTCCAGCATTCTCATTAATGTGACGAGGTTTTTACATGCTTTGGGGGATATTTGGTAATGCCTGCTGCACAGTGAGAGATCACATCTGTATATTTTACAGTGATTATTGTTCATACAGTGAATAATAGACTTCAGTTCCACTTAAAAATCTCAGAACATTTGAATTTGATAACAAAATATCACATTTCTGGTAACACTTTAGTTTAGGGTTCAATTCTCACTATTAACTAGTTGCATATTAGCATCCATATTACTAGGATATTGGCTGTTTATTAGTACAAAAGCACATATTAATGCCATATTCTGGATGACAATATACTATATTCCTTAATCCTAAACTTAACCACTACCTTACTAACTATTAATAAGCAGTGATTAGGAGTTTGTTGAGGCAAAAGTTGTAGTTAATAGTGAGAATTGGACCCTAAACTAAAATAAGAGCACATTTCAATATCTCTGTGTGTTTAGAAGATACAGTATACACTACATAAAGATGCACACGCACCTCAAGCAAACAGAAGTTTTTTCAGTTTGAAATAAAACAATAGATCTGTTAAAGAGGAACAATCCTGCTGTGTTTTAAAGGGTTAGTTCACCCGAAAATGAAAATGATGTCATTAATGATCATGTCGCTCCAAGCCCGTCAGACCTCCGTTCATCTTCAGAACACAGTTTAAGATATTTTAGATTTAGTCCGAGAGCTTTCTGTCCCTCCATTGTAAATGTGTGTACGGTATACTGTCCTTGTCCAGAAAGGAAATAAAGACATCATCAAAGTAGTCCATGTGACATCAGTGGGTTAGTTAGAGTGTGTTGAAGCATCGAAAATACATTTTGGTCCAAAAATAACAAAAACTAGGACTTTATTCAGCATTGTATTGTCTTCCGGTTCTGTTGTGGATCCACGTTCAGTGCCGCTGCTGACGTGTGTCTGGTGTGTGTGTGTGTGTGTATTCTGGTTCTGTTGTGGATCCACGTTCAGTGCCCCTGCTGACGTGTGTCTGGTGTGTGTGTGTGTGTGTATTCTGGTTCTGTTGTGGATCCGCGTTCAGTGCCGCCGCTGACGTAAGACACTGCTGACGTGTGTCTGGTGTGTGTCTGTGTGTGTGTGTGTGTGTGTGTGTATTCTGGTTCTGTTGTGGATCCGCGTTCAGTGCCGCTGCTGACGTGTGTCTGGTGTGTGTGTGTGTATTCTGGTTCTGTTGTGGATCCGCGTTCAGTGCCGCTGCTGACGTGTGTCTGGTGTGTGTGTGTGTGTGTGTGTGTGTGTGTGACGTAAGACGCTGATGACGTGTGTCTGGTGTGTGTGTGTGTGTGTGTGTATTCTGGTTCTGTTGTGGATCCGCGTTCAGTGCCGCCGCTGACGTAAGACGCTGCTGACGTGTGTCTGGTGTGTGTCTGTGTGTGTGTGTGTGTGTGTGTGTGTGTATTCTGGTTCTGTTGTGGATCCGCGTTCAGTGCCGCTGCTGACGTGTGTCTGGTGTGTGTGTGTGTGTATTCTGGTTCTGTTGTGGATCCGCGTTCAGTGCCGCTGCTGACGTGTGTCTGGTGTGTGTGTGTGTGTGTGTGTGTGTGACGTAAGACGCTGATGACGTGTGTCTGGTGTGTGTGTGTGTGTGTGTGTGTGTATTCTGGTTCTGTTGTGGATCCGCGTTCAGTGCCGCCGCTGACGTAAGACACTGCTGACGTGTGTCTGGTGTGTGTGTGTGTCTGGTGTGTGTGTGTGTGTGTGTATTCTGGTTCTGTTGTGGATCCGCGTTCAGTGCCGCCGCTGACGTAAGACGCTGCTGACGTGTGTCTGGTGTGTGTGTGTGTGTGTGTATTCGGGTTCTGTTGTGGATCCGCGTTCAGTGCCGCTGCTGACGTGTGTCTGGTGTGTGTGTGTGTGTGTGTGTGTGTGTGTGTGTATTCGGGTTCTGTTGTGGATCCGCGTTCAGTGCCGCTGCTGACGTGTGTCTGGTGTGTGTGTGTGTGTGTGTGTGTGTGTGTGTGTGTGTGTGTGTGTGTATTCTGGTTCTGTTGTGGATTCGCGTTCAGTGCCGCCGCTGACGTAAGACGCTGCTGACGTGTGTGTGTGTGTGTGTGTGTGTGTGTGTGTATTCTGGTTCTGTTGTGGATTCGCGTTCAGTGCCGCTGCTGACGTAAGACGCTGCTGACGTGTGTCTGGTGTGTGTGTGTGTGTGTGTGTGTGTGTATTCGGGTTCTGTTGTGGATCCGCGTTCAGTGCCGCTGCTGACGTGTGTCTGGTGTGTGTGTGTGTGTGTGTGTGTGTATTCTGGTTCTGTTGTGGATCCGCGTTCAGTGCCGCTGCTGACGTAAGACGCTGCTGACGTGTGTCTGGTGTGTGTGTGTGTGTGTGTGTGTGTGACGTAAGACGCTGCTGACGTGTGTCTGGTGTGTGTGTGTGTGTGTGTGTGTGTGTGTGACGTAAGACGCTGCTGACGTGTGTCTGGTGCGCCCGAGCTTCGTCTACAGTCTGAGGGAGACGCACGCTGGAAACAAAACAATCTTCGCAAACATGTCTAAGGATTTCCACACAGAGGAAGACTTGCATTTTTTTGCCCAGCCATATTTATTTGAACCCGAATACACACACACACACACACACACGCACCAGACACACGTCAGCAGCGTCTTACGTCAGCGGTGGCACTGAACGCGGATCCACAACAGAACCCGAATACACACACACACACACACACACACACCAGACACACGTCAGCAGCGTCTTACGTCACACACACACACACACACACACACACCAGACACACGTCAGCAGCGGCACTGAACGCGGATCCACAACAGAACCTGAATACACACACACACACACACACACACACACACACACACACACACCAGACACACGTCAGCAGCGGCACTGAACGCGGATCCACAACAGAACCGGAACACAATACAATGCTGAATAAAGTCCTAGTTTTTGTTATTTTTGGAGCAAAATGTATTTTCGATGCTTCAACACACTCTAACTAACCCACTGATGTCACATGGACTACTTTGATGATGTCTTTATTTCCTTTCTGGACAAGGACAGTATACCGTACACACATTTACAATGGAGGGACAGAAAGCTCTCGGACTAAATCTAAAATATCTTAAACTGTGTTCTGAAGATGAACGGAGGTCTGACGGGCTTGGAGCGACATGAGGGAGAGGCATTAATGACATCATTTTTGGGTGAACTAACCCTTTAAGACACTGATACAGACACGTGATCTTGTGGTGGCAAACAATTTTACATCACTGAATAATAGACAAACATGATAATTGTCTCTACAATCATACAAGGTGCCAACGAGTTGGGTCTTTATAGTTGTTCCTCCCCCAAGGTTGTTTCTCGAGGCTAAATGAAGATATGTCTTAGCCATAACTAACACATTGTTTAGATTTGTCCATCATGTTATATCCTTGAATGGAGACCCTCTGTCTCGGTCATACACTTACTCACACATTAACTTTAGTCAGGTCATATACAAGGACATACACGTACATATATTCATAAGGATATGTATCGACACTACATTAATCGAATTACCATCATATTTCTAAGATTCTATAAATATAATTTAATGCAAATGTATTAAATTACTTCCACAATCTATTGAAGGACATTCGCATATTTAAAAGAGTGAAGTCTATCTTTATAAGTGTTGAATGTGTCTGATTTTGTTCAGTATCACAAGAACCTTTGCCTCGGGCAAAACGGAGAAGGGTATTTTCCAGGCACTGAAGGATCTTGGTTTACCCAGTGGAAAGGTAATTTTTAACAGCACTTACTTTCTCTCAGATATCATCACATTTATGTAGATCCAGGATAGAGATGTTAGCCATGATATAACTGTACAGATGTTGATGTGAGCCACATGATGTTTTTACAGGTTTCCTGTGGGTGCTTAAAAAGTCTTTAAAAGTCTCAAGTTTAGTTTTATTACATAGACCGTAGACCCGCAGTTTCACTGACAAGGCTAAAATACCAAGTCCCAGACTAAAATACATGTTTGAGCTGTTTTAACTAAAAGCAACTTGCACTGACAGATCTTTAAATATATCAGTGGCACTGTTTTGTCTCAAGATGCACACCAGTCATTTTTCTAAGGCACGTTTATAAAAGCTTCTTAAATATCCTAGTTGAACTAATCCTGGCTTAATCTAAACCCTGTCTGTGAAACCAGGCGTTACGGTCATAATAAAACAGGCTTTTACAGGCTCGAACTTTCAGTTCACAATAGATTGCTTATTGATCTACTGTTGATGAATTATGACAATGTTTACCTTATGGTGTTAATCAGTGCTTTAAGTGGCCCAAAAGAGGTGGCGGTACTCTATTTTTTTTTTTTTCTGACTCCCCTCCTCCCCTGAGGTAACAACAACTATATTGAAGGGGTTTTATATAAACAGCAGTCAACAGACGACCTTATAAAAAAATAATAAATCCTTTTATTAGTTTGTAGATTTGCTTTAGCTAGAAAGAGCTACTGAACATAAATAAAATGTACAAAATGTGGAAATGAATCCAAATGGAAAAACTTGTGAAAAGATATATTTTGATTAGTCAAATAGCAAATATAGTGAAGCTCTATAGCCATCTAGTGGTTAAAGTAATTTTTATTGTATTTTAAAACGGCATTTTCAAAAAAATGACCAAAAATCTTACATTAAACCATGTAAAATTATCCATGTTATCTCCATGAATGAAAGTTAGAAATCTGGGTCTTTTATAAAGTGAATTTGACATAAAATGCTATTATTTTTTTTGTAAAAAGCCTATTTAAAGAAATATTTATTTATTTATAGAAATTTAAAATATATCATAAATCCTCCCAAAAATGCACAAATGTTGAGTAAAATCATTAATAAACAGTAAAATTACATTTGTAAAAAAAAAAAAAAAAAAAACTTTTATTCTTTTTCAAAATTAAATGTTATTGTCTGGGGTATAGAGCTTCACAGTCCCGCCCATAGCCCGAGAGAGCTTCAGTGCCGGAAGTAAATTTCCCATTCATTTCTCCCATTGACGTTTTGGAAAAACCGTATCTAAAGAGTTTTAGAGGATGTCTGAGGATAACCAGCTACAGCTGAACTCATAAGCATACAACATATCATTTCGAGTGAAAAAACGAAGAGAAAATCCAAATAAAATCAAAGGTACAAGACTGTGTACATATTTTCATTTCCGAGCGAAGGAACTACTCATCCCTTAAACCACCGCGCCTCACTGAAGACGACTGAAGCCACAACCGCGAAAGAGCCTTTTGAGCGACTTCCAAATCTGACGACGGCCATGCGAACTTTTTCCTCCAGTGAATTTTATATAGTGAATGTGCAGGGAAACACCTTTTCTGATTTAATGAAGCTTATATGTAAAACACATTGAGCATCTGGCTCGCTCATAGGCTGTACTGCGGCAACTGCACATCCAATGGCGCGGGCGCCTCTGACGTGCGACCAATGAGCTAGCCCTACGTCATTACACGATCTTCAGTCTTCACGGACCTTCGCGGGGTTTAACCAGGACACGGCACGCACTATTTGTATTTGTATTTTAACCGAGCAGCTAACACTGACAGCGGCAAAATCGACGCATGCGCTTTTCACTTGTAAAACTCAAGGGTGTATGGGTAATGTAGTCTCTGCTCTCGGTGGGATGAATCAGGAGGCGGGCATTGTGAAGGGAGCTCTGAAAAGCGGCAGCGCAGCCAAAGGATTAAAACAAATGTGCAAATGAGCGTACCGGTACGCTAAAAGCACGTTCTGGGCGCAAGGAGAGGTGGCGGTACGCTCAAGAGCTACATTTGGAAGTGGCGGTACTGAGTACCGGTGCGTGCCGGCCCACTTAAAGCACTGGTGTTAATGTCATACCTGCAAACACCACGTCACATTTCTAAGGGTAAAACCGCTATATTTCTGCTGTTTCTTAAGCGCCACCTGCTGTCAGAAAGTAGAATTGCATTTTCATTCAGCCGGTGGAGTGAAAAGATAATGTGCATTCTTAACTTCCAAACAATTATGACAATAATATATATAATCATATTTTAAATGAATATAAATATAATAATTTATAATTTTGACTTTCTTAAAAAAAAAATGGCTGAAATGTGAGGTTTATCATTTTATAAGTTTTTGTTTTTGTAAAAACCTGTTATTTGAGCTGTAAAATTGTTTTAAAGGGATAGTTCACTTTGAAATTAATTTTTTATATGTTTTAGCTTACCTCAAGGGCATCCAAGATGTAGGTGTCTTTGTTTCCGCAGTAGTTTCAATTTTGATATTTTTAGGTCAAACCGTTCTTGTCTGTCAGTCATATAATGCAGGTCTATGGTCACCACCTCAAAGAGCATGCACAGAGAAGTCCAAATTAAACATGATTTAATGACTCGTAAATGTAAGTACACATTGATGGCCTAAGACACGAAACGAGCGGTTTGTGTGAGAAAACAAACAGTATTTATATCGTTTTTACCTCTTGTAAACACAGCCACGTCCAAGTGATCTGAGGGCGCCGGCGCTTCGGTCTTTTCCGGAAAGCACCGGAAGTGATCTCTCGCGCGTGTACGTCACTCATTGTTTTCACAGAGATTTCGGACGTTTTACCTTTCACTGTGAAGATCTAAACATATTTAGATATACAGGAAATCGCAATGGAAGACGATTTCGGTATATCAACAGACAACGTAGAATTTATTTCAAAACCATATTTATTTGAACCCGAATTCACCGGGGCTTTCCGGCACTTGCACAGACCGAAGCGCCCGCGCCATCAGAGTACTTGGACGTGGCTGTGTTTACAAGAGGTAAAAACGATATAAATACTGTTGGTTTTCTCACACAAACCGCTCGTTTCGTGTCTTAGGCCATCAATGTGTACTTACATTTACGAGTCATTAAATCATGTTTAATTTGGACTTCTCTGTGCATGCTCTTTGAGGTGGTGACCATAGACCTGCATTATATGACTGACAGACAAGAACGGTTTGACCTAAAAATATCAAAATTGAAACTACTGCGGAAACAAAGACACCAACATCTTGGATGCTCTTGAGGTAAGCTAACACATACCAAAAATTAATTTCAAAGTGAACTATCCCTTTTAACCCTGTATAAACCCTGTTTTAGCATGACAACGATGAACTGAATATTAATGTTTTCTGCATACTGCACAGCATGCAATATTATATTCTACATTCGTCGTCACATGAACTCTTTATGCTGCATGTTCTCTTTTTGGTAACATGCATACATGCAGCAATAGTAGGCTATTATGGTTACTAATATCTGGTTCTAATGAATTGTAACCCATCCAGCTGGTTTGTTTCTGATTGGAGGACATATGATTCATATTCATGTCTTTTACCAGAACGATGAAATTGAGCATGAGATCTTCACGTTTGACAAGTTCTACAGCCTGACGCAGAAGATTTGTCCCAGAACTGATATTGAAGAACTCTTCAGGAAATTGTAAGTATGCAACCTGCACTTTAGCTCTTTATTATTTTAAATATACAGTATATTAAATGAAAAATGAGCAACAAATATAAAGCTTTATTATTCAAAACGTGTGAAATCATACAAGGTGTTGTGAGCTTATTACTCGTTTATTTCTTTTAGTGTTTTGATAAATGATTTGTAAATAGTAAAATATGTATTTGTATCTGTTATTAATATCTATTATAGTCATTATAAAGTTAAATTGACCCTCTTTTTCTTTACACGTGGGATTTTATTCCTAAGAAAAGTCGAATGTGATTTAAAAATTTTCTTTTTTCCCTCAGTATTTTTTCCCTCAATTTTTCTTCTTTTCATTTCCTTTTTTTGTGTTAATAATACCCACCACCAAAAATAAAAACAATAGATTAAAAATAAATAGATTTTTCATCTCCAAACATATTTATATCATGCATTTGTAACCACACCTGTAATACATAAAACTTAAATAATAATAATTTATCATTATATCAAATATCTCTATAATCTTTGTATCGAAATGTATGACTTACACCTGCAAAAGGACTGTTTTCTTTGTAAATATGTCACATTATGTAAGTGAAATGGCTTGTGAATGCAGTTTCATGCTGATTTTTAAGAGATTCCTGATCAAATCTCTTCAGTGTCCTCCAATAGTTTTGTGTCGTGTTCGGTCGAGAGCTTTTCCCACGAGCTGCACAACACTAAACTAAACAGTGTTATATTTAAACATGCACTGCCTGAGGAGCTGTAATATTAAACTAGGGATGGCCCGATACCATTTTTTTTCAAACCGATACGAGTAGGAGTATTTACATTTGTGTACTTGCCGATACCGAGTACCGATATTTCTACCGCAAAAGTAATAGGCTCCCAGAAAAGAAGACGACTATTTTAGAACACAGGTTAGAAGACTGTTTTTATTTTCTTCTCTGCTTGTTTTAACAAGTCTAAAAATAAATAAAAATTAGTAAAATAATAAATGTATTAACACACAAACCACTGTTAATTTAACATAAAAGCAAGCAGACTACTGCGTGCATGGTCTGGCATGACTGAATGCGCGCAAAGTGCGCTCCCTTAATAAATCCTAAAAGCTGACAGTTCATCGCGATCTCACACATCTCTGTTATTATCAATGAAGCTGACTGCACAATCAATCTTTCATAATATCCACACTTTGTTTGTTATAATTAGAGGATTTGCAAGCATACAGAATTCAGCACTGAACAAAAAAGTCCGTTTTGAGCGGTGAGGGGAGTCTATCTTAAATGCTTCTGATTGGCCATTGCGTTCAAGAAATCAACACATATGTCTGTGATTGGCTACATCGCTCAACGCTGTAACCATGTTATGAATAGAAACTCTGTCCTGTAAATCGTTTCTATTTTGTTGTAGTTGTTCTTGTTGCTTTTCTGCAAGAGATGAATAAAAATCTATTAGTTTTTATGTTTTATTCATAGATATTTCTAGTTTGCGGGAGTCCCGCGAATCGTTTTATTCTCCCGTAACCCGCACACACAGAGTGAGTGCATTACCGCCCGCGCGCGCGCTCGGCCATCAGATCTATGATGCGTCTTCAGATGTTTAATTAGATTGCTGGTGTTAAACGATGTACTTTCTTTCCCTCCTCTCGACACCTTAGCTGAACATAACTCACAGTCTGCCTTGCTGTTGTCATCACCCCTTATCTTGAAATGAGCCCAAACCGCCGACATTATAGGCTACTTTCCTATGCCTCAGTTCACCTCGACAAAGCTCTCGCGGCGGCCAGTTTCGTTTTGCAAAATGTACGTGGTATCGGTGCGTGGTATCGGCGAATTTTTATGAGTACGAGTATATGAGGACAGTATCGGCCCGATCCCCGATGCCAGTATCGGTATCGGGCCATCCCTATATTAAACCATTAATCTCACTGGACTGAATGAGAAACATGTAGTAGAGTGAGCTGTGAAACCTATGTGAATGGAGTGACTCATTCACTGGAACAACGGAAACACTTCTGAAGGTTTGCTGTTGCCTTTCATGTGTTGCTTTTCTTTTCAGCAATGGAGACAAAAGCGAGTATTTAAGCGTCGACCAGCTAGTCCACTTTTTGAACGAAGTAAGCAATGTTTTCTTTCATTAACTTTTAATATCCTGCATGTCATTAGAGTTTATGCATCCTGAAGGAACAATAAACATTAGATCATATATGATTTTAACTTTTGCTCTGTTATGTGTCTTTTCTTCTCTTCTTCAAAGCAGCAGCTTGTTCCTTTCGCTTAACTTTGTGCATGTGTATATTAGTGAAATATGCTTTTAACACATTTCTTGGGACCCTTGATGTAGTTAATGTAACCTGCAGGGTTTTTCTCTTGGGTAGAATCAGAGAGATCCACGTCTGAATGAAATCCTCTTCCCGTTCTTTGACTGCAAATGCGCTTTCCAAATCATAGAGCGATATGAACCTGATGAAACACTGAAGATGAAAGGTGTGTATATCGGACTATATGTAACTAATGTATTTTTTGTGCAACATGTCTTATATTATTGCTATTTATTATATGGCTCTCTTGAATACTTGATTGTGATTGGTCAGGGCTGGCATTGTACAGTCAATACATAATATGTACAGGTGAAACTCGAAAAATTAGAATATCATGAAAAAGTTCATTTATTTCAGTAATTCAACTTAAAAGGTGAAACTAATATATTATATAGAGACTCATTACATGCAAAGTGAGATATTTCAAGCCTTTATTGGTTATAATTTTGATGATTATGGCTTACAGCTTATGAAAACCCCAAATTCAAAATTAGAATATTGTGAAAAGGTTTTCATATCTGTAATCCATAATCATCCAAATTATAACAAATAAAGGCTTGAAATATCTCACTTTGCATGTAATGAGTCTCTATAATATATTAGTTTCAGCTTTAAGTTGAATTACTGAAATAAATGAACTTTTTCATGATATTCAAATTTTTTGAGTTTCACCTGTAAATGTAATTGACAGTTGTTCAAGGCTAATACTTTTTTTTTTTAAACAAAATAAAATAATTTAGGCTTAGTTTATTTATTTATTTGACAAGTAGCTGTTTAAGAATATAAAATATACTGTCATGTTCTCATCGTTCATTTCTGATTATGTAAATCCAGTTTTGTAATCTTGCAGCACCCTCTAGTGTCCAAGTACAGTAACTTACAGATATTAAAGGACCGTCTCTTTTGTACATTTGTGTTTGTGCAGGTCTGATGTCATGTGACGGATTCTGTCGGTATCTGATGTCTGATGAGAACGCTCCTGTGTTTCTGGACCGGTTGGAGGTTTATCAGGAGATGGATCATCCGCTGTCTCATTACTTCATCAACTCGTCTCACAACACTTACCTGAGCGGCAGACAGTTTGGAGGAAGATCTTCAGTGGAGATGTACAGACAGGTGCTGCTGACCGGCTGCAGGTACACATGTCCTTCACATCACTGCACGCTGCATTTCCCATTATTTAGGTAACACTTTACAATAAGGTTCATTTATTAAACATGTATTAACTAACATGAACTAACCATGAGCAATACATTTGTCACTGTTTTTGTTCATCTTTGTTAACGTTAGTTAATACAAATCCAGCTGTTCATGTTAGTTCACAGTGCATTAACTAATGTTAACAAGATTTTAATAAAGTATTAGTAAATGTTGAAATTAACATTATCAAAGATTAACAAATGCTGAAGATGTATTGTTCATTCTTAGTTAATGTTAACTAATGTAGTTAACTAATGAACCTTATTGTAAAGTGTTACCATTAGTTATTTATGTGGGTGCTTTTACATGTGTAACAATGAACTTTTTGTTAATAACAATAACATCAACAGTAATAACAAATATTATTTCATCATTGTGAGATCATTTGTCAGAGCTTTTTAAATGACAAAAAATACCACTCATCAACTTTTATTCATATATTTTAGATTCCTAATAATATATTATTTGAAAATACCATTTGATAAAATACAGATTCTAACAAAAATGAGAATGCTAATGTAGAAATGTTAGTCTGTTTATGTTGCATTTACAATATCATTTGTTTGTTTAGTTATTTGGGTATTTTTAAATGGGTAACGCTTACAACTTTCTTTAAAAACAAACATTATTGCATTATTATGAGATCATTTGTTAAAAAACAACAACTTTGATTCATATATTTTTAAGCATTTGCTACATCTGTTATTCTCTAAAGCATTAGATATTGTTTGAAAAAATGCCTTATCAGTTAGAGTTATTGCAAAGTATTATCAAATATTATACAACCTACCATTTGACAGAATATACATTCTAACAAAAATTAGAAAGTAAACAAGGATATTTTATTGCAAGTACATTTTGAATAATGGCTACATGAAAATAAGAAATATTGTAAAGTGGATGTTTAGTAATAATTCTTTCAATAGACCATGAACAAATATTTAGCAATTTTGCATTTTACTCTAGGTACTTCAAAACAAGACAATATTGATAAAGAATGTGATTTTTGCAGCATATATTATAAAGCCATACTTAAAATTGATGCTAAGTAGCACTGTCATTTTGAGTTATTGTTGACTGTATCTGAAACATGGCGTATTGTTGTGTGTGCAGGTGTGTGGAGCTGGACTGCTGGGATGGAAAAGGTGAAGATCAGGAACCCATAATCACTCACGGCAAGGCCATGTGCACAGACGTCCTGTTCAAGGTGAACACACACACCTCTTGTGTTGTTTCTTCCGTGAATGTTCCAGAACAATCTTATGTCATATCATCCATTATTTAGACTGAAGAACATTTACAGTATGTTATATGCAGGACGTCATTCAGGGAATTAAAGAGACGGCCTTCATGACATCGGAGTATCCTGTGATTCTGTCCTTCGAAAACCACTGCACGTACGTATGTGCTTTATCAATCGGAACAATTTATCCAGGTCGTCTTTAATATCTCACAAACTATTCAAAGAAATGCTCAATAAACACACTGTAATTTCTCCTTTCTGTCAGGAAACATCAGCAGTATAAACTAGCGCGCTACTGTGAGGACATCTTTGGAGATTTTCTCCTTAAACAGCCGTTAGAGGATTTCCCAGTAAGTGTGTGTGTGTGTGTGTGTGTGTGTGTTTATTCAAGAGCTCATAACACAGTTACCTGCTAATGTTTTTTCTTTCATCCTCTCTCTCTCAGATGGAGACCGGATGTCCTCTGCCGTCTCCAAACGAGCTCCGAGGAAAAATCCTCATCAAGAACAGAAGATTAAAACCTGACGTTGAAAAAAGTAGCGATATTCATTTCTACCAAACACCATAGTTACTACGTGTAATTAGTATGGCATCTTTTTCTTTGAACTTTGAAAAAAGTTGAGTGTAGCCACTATATTTTAATATTTTCTGAAGAAAACATAAGTGTTTTTTCCCCATGCAAAAGTCTCTGAAATTCTGGTCTTCATAACTAAAAGTGTGTTGACACCATGTTGGAATTACCGTAATTATGAGATTCCGACTTAGAACTCGTAATTACAACTTGTAAACTCAGAATTGACCCTTTGCTAAGCCCCGCCCCCCTACGCCTGTCAAGCTTTCGTGGCTGCCACGTCTATTACAGTGTGAATGCACCGGTGTCAGACATTCTCAAGGAGATAATTAGTCATTTTTGGCGAACAGGTGAAATATCTGAGAGAGCGAGACAAAAGGGACAGCAGTATGCATTCGAGGGATATATCCACGACATAATATGCAACCGATTAGAGAATAATTTCATCAAAATTGAAGCTAAAGCCTATAACGTTAGGTCCCAGCGCAAGCAGCCGCCGCCTCCTTAGCAGACCATTCACATGGGAAACACACAAATTGAACAGCTATGTTCATGCACAGCAGAGTAAGTGAAATGTGAAAATAATCTAATAATTACAAATCAAACAGTTTATCCATCAATCTAACACCGGGAGAGCCGCGATCGGATTGGGGTAAAGTTACAGGGGTAACGTTAGTAGGCTGTCGATTAACAAAATGCTGAAACATATTTTAAAGTATGTCAGTGAGCCTCCGTGTTGCCTTTAATCGTCTTATTTTACGTTCAAATATATGCATTATGAACAAAGAACCGCCATTATTTCCAAGCAATAGGCGTTTTTTTGTTTTGTTAATCCTGTCGACATTTAGTTGTGAATGGGTCTCCACACTGCTTGATCACGCCCGGGATTTCTCCCCTTTGGCTTTTAGGTTTCGGGAAGAGAAAAAATCCCACCCCACCGTCCAAACTTTTAGAATACCGGGTATCAGATTTGCACAATCCATACGCACAACGCGTCGGCATGTTTCCCTCGCCCGAAAGCTTGACAGACCTCCCGCGCCTAGTTACGGTTGCTAAGCCACGATTGGCCAGTGGCGGTTTTCGGGCGTGGCTTAGCGAAGGGTCAATTCTCTGAGAGCTCTGTCACGGGTTGTCCATGTTAACCATGTTAAATTGTATTTTTGTTTGGGAAGAAGTAGTTACATTGCCAGTATGTCAACAACCTTAATTCTCAAGGTCCTCATAAAAAACTGACGTGTATTTAATGAGTTTTGACAAACATGGTTTTAATCCACAGAACAGCTGGAGCACTTCAGGAAGCACATGGAGGCCGGAGAGCCCAGCATCTCCACAAACATGTCTGAAGATGAGAACGAGGAGGAGACGTCCACCGGTGAGGAAGAGCCATTAAACGGGACCTATTATGACCCCTTTTTACAAGATGTAATATAACTCTCTCAGGTGTCTCCACAGTGTGTCTTTGTGAAGTTTCAGATCAAAATACCCTTACAAATCATTTCTTATAGCATTTTGTTAATGCTCCTTTTTGGCTGAAAGCAAAAACACACTGTTCCCGTGTGTATCTTTAAATGCAAATGAGCTGCTGCTCCCCGCCCCCTTTCCAGAAGAGGGCGGAGCCTTGTGCGACTCAGGGGAGGAGCTAAGCTAACTGGGCAGATTACGTCAGCAGTCGTGGGCGGGGCCTGTTACATTGTGACTTCACGATGTATACAAACCGTGAATTTTGAGACACTGTTTATGATTTATGGGAATATAAAAAAGGTGTGGGTGGATTTGTACCATTATAGGGTGGTTGTGTAACACTACCCACACGCATTTATGTTCAAACACCATGTAAAAGTGAATTTTGCATAAATATGCATAGCACATACACTCATTTCAGTCTGTACCTGGCATACAATGAGATCATATGCTTTTATTTATGATGATATATTGAAATTATTACTTTTAAACTAGAGGTAGTCTATAATTTCCTTGCATACTAATAACAAATAACTACATTTATCCAAAGTGTCTTAAATTACATTCAGGCTATTCAGTATTTTAATTAATGAATTCCCTGTCAATCGACCCCAATGCCCTGTTTACATATATAATACTTTGCAGTTTAAACTATTATAAAAGCTTCTAGTTACAGGGTGTAACAGGGTCATATATTTCTGCATATTCTACTACATTTAATTTAGATGTTCATGACTATTTTTCACTCTCTCTAATTAACATGCTGTTATCGGTAACTAAAACTATTACAAATAATGCTTGTTAATTGAAATAAAGCAGAAATAAAGTATGAATATTAGATTAAAAACTTGTTGCCTTGGCAATTAACTGAAATAAAATAAGTTTCATTACTAAAATTACTAAAGCTTAAACTAAATAAAAAAATAAATGAATGCTAAATAGAAATATAAGGAAAACTAATAAAAATTACAAAGAGCACATAACAAATTTACCAAAACTTAAAGCTCCAGTCCGTAACTTTTTTAAGTTAAAAATAATCCAAAATAATTATATTAAAAAAAAAACGTATTCTGCCAGTGGTCAAAACTATCTGCTTGCCATAGCTAGATTCAAAACGGTTAGCTTGTAATAATGATTTTAATTCCAGTGGTACTGGTGGGTTTCTGCGGGAAATTCGAGCATGTCTTTGTGTCATTACGTCACACCCGTACACATAAAGAAGGAGTTTCGGCTAGCCGGCTATACTGCGCGTGAGGAGATGTTTAGATGTATAGGCTTTTCTCACAGCACTTTACATAATTAAACTTATGGCATCCAGAAAGATCCAAACAACAATCATCAGTGTCAACTGGACATTCAGCAGTTATAAAACCCAAAAGACTTCGTACTTCGGATTTAAGGTGGCTAGAGAAAGAGAAAGAAACCGTCTCATGCGAACACAAGGATTTAAACATCGGCGGGGCTTTTGAAAAGTGCTTGAACTCCGTGTTTTGAAGGGGTTCGAAACGGAAGAAGAGACGGCTTTTTTCTGCTGAACAAGTAAGACATTTCAATAGTTCAATCGTGTAACAGTACGTTTTCTTAATTCACACAGTTATGGAGTTTCCTTTGTTGTGCCTTTCTCGTTTTGCTATTATGGAGAATATTAATTCTGAACTACACAGGTAACCATAAAACACATTAAATTTAACATTAGTCACGCAATGCTGATGTTGTTAACATGAACAATTTAAAAACAAAGTAGGCTATAATTTGCACGGTTGCTGTAAATCTCGTTGATTAAATCTAACGAAGCTTATCATGACGAATGCTTTTTCCCCCTTAGTTGGTCAGAACAAAAATGGATTTTACTTACTTGTTCAGAAGACATTTTCTTATGAAAATTCTTATGTTGGTCAAACTTTCAAAAAGTGAATCTGTGATTCTGTATGACAGTATATCCACACAGCGCGGTGACTGACAGCAGCACTCGCCTTAAAGCACTGTGTTCATCCGCGCTGTTTCATGCCGATTTACAACCCACGTAAAGATGATAATTCAGCCAATCACTGCAGTTACAGATTTCGAACAGAGAGATGGCGACAAAGAGGAAAAGTTCCGGACTGCAGCTTTAAATTAGAATGACAACTGAAAATATAAAAATACTGAGAAAAAAGAAATCGGAAAATATATACTCAGCATTTTATTATATAAAAATGTAAAGGAAAATGTAAAAATAAAGCTAATTCAAAATATTAATAAATACTGTAATAGCATGTAAATAATATTACAATGTTTAAACGGTGTTAAATACATGTTTAACTGGAGTATTTCTACTGTATGCAAATCATTTCCATCATGACTGACTATCCTTTGCATAATTTTGAATATTATTTTCATCATGTCACCGTAAAGTACTCTTGTTTTTTGCTTGTAGTCTGTATTTTGAAGTATTGCATTGATTTCACATTCCGTTTTTTTTTAGTAATGTATTTTCTCCATCTTTAGCGGAGCTGTTAAACGAAGCTCATCCCGAGCGGATTCGCGGATGTCTGATCACTGAGGAAGAGAATCGGGAGGAAGAGGTTCTGCTCAGACCCAGAAAGGTTCTTACAGCATTCTTACATAATGACCATTACAGGGATAATTCACACACAAATCAACATTTACTCACACTCGTATCGTTCCGGTTCCCTGTTATTTGCTTTGATGGGGAAAAAAAGGCATTTTCCAAAAAGAGTCTTAGTGCGTCTACAACCAGGGTTTGAAATCAGGGTTTCAACCAGGGTTTTTCACTCGCCGGCCAATTTGGCTACTCAATTTTAAGTATTATTTTTAGTTACCGGCCATTCAGAACTTCTTCCAGCCAAAACAAAGAAAAGAAAAGAACCAGATTAACTACATCAAAGCTCATATATATATATATATATATATATATATATGATAACATTTGGATTTCATGCATTCATTTCTTATTCAAACAAAATCCTGTCATCCAGCATCTTCTCCCTTCACCTTCATCTTCATCCTCCTCCTTTTCACCAAAACTGATGATCTAATGTCTTTTCTGTTAACCAAATACTTTTTAATCTTCGCCATTGCTTCAATGCATATGAACAAGCGTGCCGTTATTTGTTGCGTAGTGACGTGTGTGTGTTCAAGTAAGCCAGATATGCTGTATTTAAAGGGATAGTTCACCCAAAAATGAAAATTAGCCTATGATTTACCTGCCATCCTAGGTGTATGTGACTGACTTCTTTCAGACGAATACAATCGGGAGTTATATTAAAAAAAATGTCCTGGCTCTTCCAAGCTTTAAATTGGGAGTCAATGGCTGTATATTTTTTTAAGTCCATCAAAGCGCATCCATTCATGATTAAAGTGCTCCTCACGGCTCTGGGGGTCTCCGATTGTACGGGTCTGCCGGAAGATAGTTATTTTGGTCTATAAAGTTTTAAATATGGATATTTTTCTTACACGAACGCATGGCTTCACTTCAGAAGGCCTTTATTAAAGCTGCTGTAGGTAACTTTTGTAAAAAATATTTTTTACATATTTGCTAAAACTGTCATTATGTCCTGACAGTAGAATATGAGACAGATAATCTGTGTAAAAATCAAGCTCCTCTGGCTCCTCCCAGTGGGCCTATTGCCATTTGCAGAAATACACGCTCCCGGTCAGAAACAACCAATCAGAGCCAGGAGGAGTGTCTTACCAGTGTCAATCACGCTCGTGTCCGCGCTGATCACACCCCTCTCTTGCACAGCGCGAGCGCCGGAGCGCGAGCCGTCGTTCAAACTCAAGATTGCCGGCGTGCTGCAGCTGTGCTTATGACGGAGAAACAACCTAAACTGCCAATTCTCGAGTGACACCTGCTCATAAAACAAAGAGGTAAAAGGAAGAAGACTGATGACGATAACCAAGCGAAAAAGAAAGAATTACACAGAGCCCATTGACTCGGTGTCAAAACTCTAGCCGGATAACATGTAGATAAAATGTCACGCACTCTGCTAAGCAACAATTGAAACCTGCTAATTCACTGGCTTGTCATGTTGCTGAAATAATGTACTAGCACACCTTATCTAGCATTATATATCGCTAGAATAATTACTTACACACTGTAACGTTAGTTACCGTTATATTAACGTTATCTTACTAGCTATTTATAACTTATAGAAAGAGTGCAACGTTATAAAGTTACATGTAGGCTATTGCAAAATACATAATGATTTGAGGACCAAGTTTGTAGTCAAAGTATGGGCAGGCCATAGTCAATGTAAAGCAATGTTGTTTTCGTCAACGATGACGATAACGAAATGATTTCGTTGACGCACTTTTTTTTATGACGATAACGCGACGATGACTAGCTAAAAATGGCTCTAAGGTGACTAAAACATGACGAGACGTTTTCGAGTTTTCGTTGACAAGACGAGACGGAACGAAAATGATTATAAGTCTGACGTTCGCAATGCATGTCATTTCTGCCTATTTTGCGTGAAATCTGTCTGTTTTGAGCTAAAAAAAAGTATCAGCAATGCTGCCACTTCCTATCATTGTTTTGGGGACCCATGCATGCCACGCGCGCACCAGATTCCACACAACAACACACCTGCGGCTGCGGCTAGTCACTCACCACACATCTTCAAAGGACCATGGCGGCGAAGCCAATAAACGGGCTTGGTGGTCGGAAACGACGAGGTGATTTATGGACATACTTTCAGTTTCAGTATAATCCAGCGGTTCTCAAGGTGTGGGCCGCGCCCCACTGGCGTGACAGGTCTCCTCCAAAACGGGAGGAAATTTTCCGTTTTCCGGCATTATCTTTATTCGTTCATGCCGAGTCCGCATCGTCAAATTCATCTTTGCAGCGACACCGAAAACACCAGTTTTGTAATAAACAATTAAATGTCTCCTTGCTATTTTTTTACACATTCATAATCATAATCGTTCTTTGTGGCAAGCTTTATGCGTGCGGTCGTGCGCTTGAGTGCGGCTATAACGCTCAATATCCCGTATAGCCTATTTAAGTAGGCTAATTAAATTAATATAAAGGGGCGATTTGTCCACTAATGGCTTAAATGAACAACTACTAGTCGACTAGAATAAAAACTTTAGTCGGAGGCAGTTCTTATTCCACATATTCTCGAACCAGCAGGCCATTCTGTGTTGAGCGCGCGACCCTGAGCGGAATGAGCGAGCGGAGGGATATTCAGAAATGCGCTCTCCGCTCACATGCTCTGATCGGAACAAAGGAATATTAAAGTAATTAATCATTAGTTTATATCTTATACACTGCCCATACACTACCTATCATTTTAATCCCATATCAAACACAGTATGTTATGTCTATTTTATCTATTTAAAAAAATATATATATCACGTTTTTAAGTAGGCGAAAGGCAGATAGCTGTGTGTATTCTTCTTCCCTTTGCCACATCATATCTCTGTGAGATGGGCTTTTCAGCTGTTTCACTTTCACTGAAAACAAAGTACAGATCTCAGCTGAACATTGAGCATGACTTTTGAGAAATTGTGCAATTCAAAACAGGCTCATTGCAGCCACTAATGCAGGGATAAATAGACCTGTCTTGCCAAATGGATTTCTATTCTTTTCTCTTTTTAACAGATTGCAAAGTGGCACTTTTATTTCTTTTCTATTTTTGAACTTGATACCAATTTTGACACAGCCGCATTTTATTTTCTCTATTTTTTAAAGAATTTTTTTTTTTTTTTTTTTTTTTTACTAAAACTTGACTAAAACCTTTTTTTGTTTTCGTCGACTAAAACTTGACTAAAACTATTACGTTTTTAAGTGACTAAAATGTGACTAAAACTAAAAAGCATTTTCGTCCAAAAGACTAAGACTAAGACTAAAACTAAAAGGGCTGCCAAAAACAACACTGATGTAAAGCATATTATTGACGTTTAGTCCCTATTAGTGAATGTGCCATATAACTTTTTATCCGCTGTTATCGGTGGCCCTGTTTACTAGCCTGCGCGTTCACGACGGGCTCCGCTGTGGAGGACGAGCTGTGGAGGGAGGGCTGTAGCGCAGCAGAGAGCAAGGGGGCGGGACCTGTAAGTTGTGCTTGTTCAAATTTTCAGGCTAAGTCAACGTTTTCTCAAAACTCCCTACTGCAGCTTTAACCCCGCAGAGCCTGTGGAGCACTTTTATCATGAATGGATGCGCTTCCAAAAAAAATACCCATCGACTCCCAATTTAAAGTTTGGAAGAGCCAGGACATTTTTTTTATATAACTCCGATTGTATTCGTCGTCACATACACCTAGGATGGCTTTAGGGTGAGTAAATCATGGGCTAATTTTAATTTTTGGGTGAACTATCCCTTTTATATATCATGATGACTCGTGATTTGAGTATTTGCGCTAAAACATAATAAGTAACACACCAAATTGTCTAATGATTTTACAGGGTTACCCGATACAGTTGGTATTTACCCGCATTTGGCGGCTGTTAATTTAAATAAAAATAAATAAATAAAATTACAAAAAATAAAACCAAACTAAAATCATTAATGCCAAATAGAAATATAAAGAAAATTGATAAAAATTACAAAAAAGCACATTTACCAAAACTGACATTAATATAAATTAAGACTAAGCATAATTAAAGTATCTGCTTATTATAATATCAATGATGCTAAAATAACACTGATACGCACTATAAAAGCATATGGTGCTTATCAGTGTTATTTTAGCATCATTGATATTCAATATTAATAATTGTTTTATTAATATTGAGTTAGTTTTCATTTTTATTTCAGTTTGTTTCAGTAATTTACTTTAATATATTTATATTGTTTTTAGTATTTTTTTTTTTTTTAGTTCAAGTTAAACTACAATGATTTCAGTTTTCATTTGTGTTAAAAAAAAGAAAAATCCTGTTAAACATCTTTCTTTTCCACAGAAGAAATAATCATATTTGTGAGTGAACTATTGCTTTTAAAGAAGTTATTATTTCTATATGGTTTAAATACATTTTTAAAACTGGCACCTTAATGAACTTTACATCAAAGCTTCTGGCAGTTCTTCTCTTCTTCAGTGAGTGTGTGTCATCAGAACTGGAAATGGAGACAGTGTGTGTTTTCTGTGATTTGGTGAGTGTTGTGAATGTGACGCAGAGTTCAGAACTAACACACAATTCACTTCAAGCCTCTTCTCATGATAATGGACTGGAGAAGCGTTTATATTTCTGCCAGATTTACCCATTACTGTCTTTTCTACTTCTGATGATGGGAATCTCGCAGACACACTCTCATCTACATGCATAAAGACAGAAAATGAGTCTGTAGAAATGTAACTTAGTCTTCCAGATTTGAACCACCACTTCTGAGCGGGTGAGATTTGCCTGGACGGACACAGCATCCGTATTGTTGTCATGCATTCACTGGTGTTTATGTTTTGCAGGCGGACGAGACGAATGTGGCCGATGAACTCGCATTGATTCAGTCGTACACGTATGTGGCGGCCACTACTAACATCCACCCGTATCTGTCCAGTATAGTCAACTACGCTCAGGCCGTGAAGTTCATAGGCTTTGATGAAGCCGAGGGCAAGTACATTTTGCACTAAAAAAAAACATCATCCATGTTTCCATCCAAAGTTTTGAATTTAACTGGAATATCGCATAAAACATTTGGGTAACACTTTACTTGAAGGGGTGTGCATTACATTACATTAAACTGTCATGTGGTTGGTTTTGACATTGGCTGTCATGAGGCATTATAACTGTGTCATGAATATTTTTCTTGACCTCAACTACAGTGGTACACATTGAATTTGTCATTAAAATGTTATAATGCCTCATGACAGCCAATGTCAAAACCAACCACCTGACAGTTTAATGTAATGTTAACCCATAAAGATAAGTGCTTTCTTAAGTTTGATAATTAATCTGCTATGTCATGTTTATGACATATTTATGAGAATTTATGTTGTCTTGGTAATGTCAAGTTGTCATGGCAAAGACAGGTTATAATGTATTGGTTTATGTCAAGTTGTCATGGCAAAGACATCTCAAACAATGTCATATTTGCATTAAAAATGTGAGCAAATGACACTTAATGACAGTTGTCATAAACATGCATAAAACCTCCTTCATATTCATGACGTGTGTCATGTCATGATTATGAAGGTGTCATGTCAGTCTTATGCACACCCCTTCAATTTAAGTGTTACCAATATTTGTGAATAAAGCACGTTTCCATCTCATCCGTTCAAACTAAATCATCACTTCCTGGGAAATTGGTGCAACATATCTGTAATAAAAATGTACATTCCTGCAATTGGGCTCTTTTTCCCTCCAATGAGTCAAACATGAAATAACAATACATTACATTGTTCATGTTAGTTCTCCGAGCGTCAGACGAAACACAATAAACGCTGTCATGTCCTCTTGCGTTCGTATGCTCACACTCGTGTGAGACGCTTCTGGAGGGAATTAAACCAAATCATTCTGATCACACACTTTGACTCGGCCGTTTCAGAGCCAACAAACCAACATTAGAGATGCTGCGACGCCATTGGTCCGCTGGTTAGTCCAGTTATCCAATCACAGCCTCCGCTGAGGCAGTGTCACCTGAAGTTTCAGGCATTTATTCAGTAAATGTGTTTCCATCGTAGTTTATGCGCATGACTTCTTATCAGATAAAACCAAATTATCCACCTTAATTAAGATTTATTTATCCACATCTTGGCTTTTCCATCCAGCGCTTTTTAAAATAGAATATCCCAAAATTTGCATAAAAATAGGTGGATGGAAATATATTGATAGAAACATATTCTACACAAGTGTTATTTTAGTATTATTTATGTACTATTATAACTTATATATGAATAAAATATTGAGGTAACATCATAGATTTTTATTTCATTTATTAAATGTAATCGGTTTTATTTAATAACAAATTGAATCATATCATTAAAATGTAAAATGTAGTTTCTCTTTATTTTTTATTTGTGAATTTATAGAGGAAATATCATAGTTTTGTTTATTTTGTTTGTGAATTTTATTTTTAATTATTACATATTTAGTAGCAAGTTAAATCACGTCATTAAAATAAAATGTCAGTTTATTTTTTATTTCATGATTTTTTTTTTACTTTTTTTTTTGTAAATTTATTTCCATTTCCATTTATTTTATTACATTTTCATCATTTCTTTTTTTTATTAGTGAATTCATTTTATTACATTTAATTATTTTAGTTGTTAGAAAATTAAATATTAGAAATGTAATACTAACCCCTAAAGATTTAATGCCTTTTATTCACCTATAGATTTTAAAGGGTAAATAAAATATAGAGGTAATATCAGTTTTGTTTATTTATTAGCAAATTAAATCATATCTTAAAATAAAATATCATAGTTTCTCTCTCTTTTTTTTAGTTGTGAATCCATTTTTTATTATTAAATGTTCATTTAAAAAAAATTTTAATTAGGGAATTTTTTTAAAATTTATTTTTCATTTGAAATTGTTTAATTTCTTTAGTAATTATGTAATGTGCTTCTGTCATTAACATTTAGGGT